CGGATAAATAAGATTTAAACTTCAGGAATGGCAAAAGGGGGGGGGGGGGGGGGGGGGGGGTTTCAAGCGCTCAACTGTGCGGATTGTGAGGAATAAAGATGAAAGCCGCTTCTCATATAGTCCAGTGATATGTAGTGTAGCGCATTTTCTCGTTGAAGCTTCGCGGCCAGATTGTTGGAACGGTCGTCGGAATACGGAAGCATGGACGGTGCTTTAGGCAGCAGTCTCTTAGCACGAGGCTGATTAGTATAATGGGAGGCTGGCTGTGCCTCGTTCAGCCTCGCTAATGAAACAGAAGTGCAGGTGCTGGACCGACCGGTGAAGCACTGCCCCAATCCCCTTGCTTTCTGTGTAACGTGGACCCCTGTTTACACGTCACTGGAAGGAGCGGCTATACGCTTAGGGGCTAATGCAATTGTGTGTAGATCACAAGCCTCAGCCTTTGGTCATAAAATCTTTCTTTGAGGCTACTCCGATTAGATGCATCTATGAAACAAGTACGGGCCCGCTCTGGATGGGAGGATTCAGCAGCAGATCTACAGGTAGCGCCTCCAGTTTGTACGGTCCCATCTCTCGAACGCAAGCCTCTTTTCTTCCTCGGACTTCCACGACCGCCTATAAGTCTCAGCCTGATCCAAGTCGAAATACTCTTCGAAAAACAAATTGGCCGTCGTAATGTTGCACCTGTCCAGCGTCAGCGCATACTCCAAATCGTCATATACAACCAGAAGTGGTCACTGCTTCTGTGCCTATTTGGCTAGTTGGTGTTAAAAGACTTACCATGCCAGGTGAAGTTCCTCCTCCAAGATGTTCGCCCGCACGACCTTGATCCCTTCGCTGTACATATCAAACCTCATCTTACGCTTCGTCTCCTCGTCCAGTGACTCGTCGTCCTCAATCGCCTTTGACGTTGCCTCGTCTTCATCCTTCTCGAGCGGTCTCGAGTACCTGAAGCCAATCGGTCAGCCAGCCAGCTCTCCCTCGCACACAAACAAGAGCTCCATGCCGTGCTTGAATCCAAGCAAGAAGAAGAAAAGGGAACTCACATCGCGTACAACACCTTCTTCGACCTGAACGCCTCCCTGTCCACAAAAATGCAATATCCCTCGTCCGTCCCCCTGTCCAACCCAGGCCTCCCCTCCCAGCACTCTATCGCCAATCTCAACATATCATCCTTACCACCATCCTCCTCCCGATCCCATTGCACTATCGCGTACGGCCCGTTATCCTCGTCGACCTCCGCGTCCTCAAACACCTCCTTATGCATCAAGTCCACCAACCCCTGCACTCCGCCCTCCTCCCCCTCGCCCTTGGTCAGGAAGAAGCACGGATGCGCCTCGTCGTTGAGCCCGTAGTCGGCAAACTTCCAGGGCGGGGGGTCGTGGAAGAAGCGGGCGTCGGGCGCGACGAGCAGCTCGACGCGGTCCGTCAGCGGGTAGACGGGGACGGCGTCGCCTTTCTTTTCGCGCTCGGCGCGCAGGTCTGGGCGTGAGCTCCAGTACCTGTAGCTGGGCTGGTGGACGGCGGGCCAGAGGCGGACGAGGTCGTCGGCGCGCAGGCCGACGCGGCTGACGAGGGTGGGGTTGTTGTTGTACTGGTATTCGGCGACGATGAGGGGGATGTCGTCGGTGTCGTCGTCGTCACCGAGACGACGCTCTGCTGGCGGCGCTGCGGGATCGACGTCTAGGAAGAGGGACACTGGACGCCTCAGGTTCTCGTTCCAGCGCACGATGCGGTGCCACAGGCGCCAGAAGTCGTGACGGGACGCGGGCACACCCTCCCGTTTCCAGGGGTATATCACTGCCTTCTTCGCCACCCGGACCTTCTTCTGACCATCGTCATCCTTCTCCTCGCTATCCGGACTTGGGGCGGGAGCAGCGGCCGCTGCGGCCTTCAACTTCTCGTTCAGCGCCTGCGTCGACGCCTCGAGGTCCTTCAGCGGGACCAGCGCGTGCACCTCAAGCACCTCGGGATCGGCCAGCAGGAACGTCGGCGCCGCTGTGAGCTCGTCGAGCGGCTGCGGCTGCGCGAGCTCCTCTCTGATGGCGTCGGCGAGCTCGAGCGGGAGCGCGGGGCGGCCGGGGGTGCTGCCGGCGCCAGCGAGGGCTTGGTCGATGGTGCTCTGGTGCGCGCGCTGCGCGCGGACGGACGTTGCGTCATGGAAGAGCGGGAGCGACCAGTCGTGCAGGATGAGGCCGAGGTTGCTGTGCACGCCGACGTGGCGGTGGACGGACTCGGGCTGGTCGAAGAGCGCGGCGCTGCGGTTGACGGTGATGGCCTCGTCGCGCTGCGTGAGGATGCGGATGGCTTCGGCGAGGGGGAAGCGTTTTGCCGTGATTTCAGGTTGCTGCGATCCTGATAATGTCTCGGCATTGGAATCACCATTGGTCTGGCTGGGTAGTGGAGAGGTTTGCAGGATGATCATCGAGCACTCGGGGTTCTCGCCGGGACGCTTCTGACCGCAGAGGAGGCGGTAGGTTAGGTTGTCGACGATGCCGATTTTCGTCCATCCTTTTTCTCTTGCCTTGCATCCCGCAACGAAGAGCTCCGAGGTTGACCCTTTGAGTCGTCAGCTTTGCAATTTTGTAGAATGGACAGCAGGTCGCAAAACCTTCTTTTCTCTCCTTCTCAAGCTTCTTCTGCCGGTTGCAATCCAAGACTGACACAACCTTCAGCTCTGGCGTGTTTCTTGTCTTTGGGCTCAAGCATCCTTCCAGCGCTTCATCCAGCTTTTCTCGTCCATCTGGTGCTGTGGGTAAGCACAAGCATGCGATGAGAAGGCTGTCTAGCTGGATCTCAGGGAGCTCTGGGAGGTACGACATTTTCGATGGCGTTTGGCGGCTTCACGGCGTGAAGCTGCGTAATATATAAAGAAGTTGCTGTAGTGGTGCAAGTAGGCACCAGCGGCACCACTGTGGGTCTTTTCGGAATATTTGGTTGGTTGCAGAGTGATCGAAGGAATATGGGGTCATGTTGCAGCCTGGTTAGCGCAACTCAAAAGGCGCTTACCATAATTGCAGCATGTGGGGTGATTGGCGGTCTGGTAAGCTGATGACGTAGCGCTCCTTGCTGATCCCTGTTTGTTCCCCAACTACAACAAGCGCGGATAACCTGCGTCGGTTATTCAATGATAAAAGTATACCAAAAGCAAGGTGTGCCTCTGCCGGGAATTGAGCTCACGTCATGGGTAGCTGAAGCTATCGTCCGGACGTGGATGTAGAATTTTTAATGCCACCTCTCGTCCGGACGATAGTTTCGACTCACCATGTTGTTTTTCTGAAGAGAAAAGGAAAAGGAAACAGCTACCGCATACTGACGCCTAGAGACTTACTATTTATCCCGCTAGACTTCGGCTGTAATATCCCTCTATGAGCTTGCGCTCCTACAATAAGTGGGTCAAAGTGTAGCTTCGTGTGGGTTAAGCTTTCTCGCTTACAGCATCCGCTTCTTTATTTCAGCTTTCACCGGGATGACATACGCCCATCTTTAAGTCATCTTCTTCATCCGTTTCCTACCTGCCTACGTACTACCATCGCCAACATCTCCCTTCGAAATGCCCCAGCACGCTCTGTCGTTCCCCTCAACGACTCGCCCGTGATAACATCTACACCTCATCCGAGCCTCCAGTATCCCATGCCTTACTTAATAAGGACTCTAAAGTATAACCTCCACTAAAACGAATGGAACTACAGGCAAGAACGAAAGAAGACCCAAAGCAGCAAAAGGGTCAAATCAACAAATTTCCGCCCACCATAGCCCAGATCATGAGTAAAACACCCAAAACACCTGTACGCTTGCATAACTCAAACAAAACCTCATGCCAGTCCCAAAAAGGCCAGTAGAAGAGGAAAAGGGCAAGAAAAAGAGAAAGAAAAAAGTCTCAAGAGGAGGGAGGAAAAAGGATATACTCCAAACATGATCAAGGGGGATCATCCATCATGATCGCATCATAAATCTATACCGCTTGAGAAGGGATGAATGGGTAATATGATCAAAAAAAGAAAGAAATCAAACACCCTCCCTCGCAAATCAAGATCCAATGAACGCGAGAGGCGATCAAGGACGACTCAGGTCTCAGCGCCGATTCCTCGCCTCAATCTCCCTGATCAAGTCCTTCACACTTCCACCGCCCTCGCTCCGTATCGATGTCTTGCTCTTACTCCTCTCCCCAAGTCCTGGTCTATCCCGCGATTGCCTGTTGGCTGGCGGCGTCAATAATGCACCCCTTCCTCGGCTCCGACTTCTCGCCTCCTCCCGCTCCTTGCGCAGCTCACGCAGGTTCTTCTCGCTCGGTCGGCCGCGCACAGGCGCGTGCGTTGGCGTTTCAGGTGCGGTGATTGTCGTCCCGAGTGTCGAGCTGCTGCTGGCGCGAGGATTGGAGCCGTACGGGGAGATAAGCGAAGCCGCGGTGTTGGACGTCACACCGCTTGACCTGGTGACCTGGGAGAGGGACGGCGGAGGTACCAGTAGTTCTTCTTCGCTGTCGGAAGGCGGGAAGGCGGGGGAGATCGGAGGAGGCCGGTGGAGCGGTTGCAGGTCTGGGAGCGAGCCGGGCCGCTGCATGTCTGGCGGAGGACTGGAGGACATGGCTACTGGAGGGGGGCGAAGCCGGGGTGGAGGTGCGAGTTGCAGAGGCGGCGGCTGCGACGTCTTTCTTGCCTTGCCCTTCGCTGTGGGTGTCTCATCGTGGTCGGAGAGCAGATCCTCAGCGGCAGCAATCGCGGCTGGTGGGCTCGGTACGGCATTGTCGTCGTTGCCAAGACGCTCGACGCGCTGCTTTCCTTTGCTTCCGCTCGAGATGCGCGTACTTCTTGCCTCGTCTGATGTCTCGCCGCTGCCCAACTCCGAGTCAACGTTGACCACTCGGAGAGGCTGCCTTGGAACGGTGAACATGACTTGGACGACACGCCCCTCGGCGGCGGCCTCCACATCCCAATCTTCACCATCCACATATGCACCAATACTTTCCCTGCTCTTCCCAGGTTCAGGCGTTGCAATGGCCCAATCTCCTTCATCCCGCGTGTCCGGTGGCCACATTGGTGACGCCGTGTCTTCCGACCAAGCCTTGGAGCCGCGCTTAGACCGCCAAAAGGAAGCATCGCTGTTTGCACGACGAGGTGGGTTTAGATTATCGCTTCCCGTAGACGGGCGGCTGCCGGTAGTTGACTCCCCGATTCCAACGCCGGATCCTGATCTCCTATGCCGTCTGAGTTTGGTTGGACTGCTGGTTCCACTGTTGCGGTCGCCTGCACCGCCGCTTCCAAACCAACCTGATCCGTCATCTTCGTTTGTGTGACGACGACGACGGTGGATGCTGGAAGTAAGTGACTGAGTACGGTCATGAGAATTGCTGTGACGGTGGCTAGACGAGGGTCGGCGTGCGAGTGCAAGGCGAACTGAACCTCGAATCCAGGATTTGCTTCGATCTTGTGTAGCAAAAGAGTTGTCAATTGGTGTTGAAAGGTCCAGAGTATCGGAAGAAGCCGTGTGGGTAAGCCTTCGGAGCGCTTCGGTGTTTTGATGCAAAGGTGTCACATTCTGCTCTTTTTCTTTGGGTTGCTCGAACGAGCCTTCGGAGTAGAAATCGACTGGCGTGTGGATCAGGTTTGGGGATTCTCTATCCGGACTTGTGCTTGATGAGTAGGTAACTGGGGCGGGAAGATTGTCAACGTCCCGGGGTCGGCCGCCAAGAAGAGCCTCTCCTTCAGCCTGTAGTTTTGCGAAAGACGTCTTCGCAGTTCTGAAGGAATCGTCATCCGCATTTGTTCGTTCCCCCTGCCCAATGCTCTCGCCCGAACGCCGATTTGCCAAATTTGATCCCGGGGGAATCTGCAGAGATAAGTTATGGCGTTCTTTGACAGGGCTGGTATTCGGCGTGTTGAAAGGGTTGGTGAACGTTGCCAGGATAGCAGCCGAAGCACTAGAAAGCGTCCGCGCTACGCTTGCGGCACCAGAGCGTGCAGAAAGCATGGAAAGAGCCGATCTTGCGCTTTGGTCGCTAAGGTTGGATTCGGTACGGTCGGATTTATGAGTAGAGGCCTGATCAGAGCGTCCTGAGCTCAAGCTACCATTGGCAACAAGCTCCCAATTTGGCGACACAGACCGCACATCTGCCGTCCGCGCCTGGGTTAGTGACGATGGTCCGGGCTGAATGACCGGCTGTTTTCCGCTGGACTTGAGACTCGTTGGAAAGTGGACCATATTCTGCGGGGGAAGAACCGGATGACTCCTGAGGGGGTCAGGATCTATGAAAGGGTCCTGGCCGGGGGTATACGAGGCGGATGACAAAGTAGAAAATCGGTTCTCTGCTGTACGAGGTCGCTCGCTCATTTCGGGCATGCCGGTACGCTCGTTCGTTATCGACTCAATCTCGTCCTCCTCATCGATTGGGTGGATGCCCCCCGAGCCCTGATTTAGGCGGCTTTCGTCGTAGCGGGGCGCTTGGTGGTATGCTCGTCCGTTAAGGCTGCGACGTAGACCTCGTGTAGGACTGGGAATCTCGACGAGCAGCCCAGTCCTCTCGGCCTCTTGAGCTCGTTGATTTTTCCATCCCTGTCGACCGTTCAAGAACCATGGATCAACAGCAAGCGCTGCTGCTTCACGGTCACTGAGATAATCGGCATAATTATCTCCACTGCTATAAGACTCGTTGCCGTGGAAGCCATAGCCGCCGCGAGAGAGATCTCTCTCGATCTCCTTTTCCCGAATTTCCCGCTTCTTCTTGAGATAACGCTTGTACCAGAAGTAGAAGAGGGCCATAGCAAGAACAGCAGCTAGCCCGATGCCCAAGCCAGCACCCAACCCGGCCTTGGACGGAGACGAATCGGAGTCGCTCGATGAATCCGGATTTGGTTGATATTCAGATAGCCAGGTATTTGACGTAACGTTGAAAAAGAAGCTCTGGGTATTTTGCGCCAAATCTGCCCGTGACTTCAGTCGCGAAGAGGTTGAAGAAATGGAATATCCACCGGTGACCATCATAACATCACCAGAAAGCATGACAGCACCATGTCCATATACACCACCCCCATTTGCTAGGCCGGATCCTGTTGTTGAAGGAATCGTCCAGCTCCAGGATCCATCGCCACCGTAGCCTTCGCCAACATTCAGTATCGCCAGCTGCGGATCGGCTGGGGTGTTGATGTCGCCGACCCAACCACCGAAGACAATTATCTTGGAGCCATCTGCAGTTAAGAGAGCTGTGTGGCCTGATCGAGGTTCGACCTCGGTGGCATCGCTCCGCTTGGCCAGATCCGTGTGCTCCTGTGAGGGCTGGTCGACTCCAATGAAGGTCCAGGTGGCCTGCGGCAGCGAGTAAAGAGCGACCTGAGACATGTTGATATAGGCGGTTTCCGTGTGTCCTCCAATCAAGACGAAATTTTGCTGCTGGTCCCTGGCACCATCATTGCCGCTGGAGTAAGTCGGGGGTAGGCCTACTAATGCAAAACCCGCTTCGGAAACTGGGGGACCACGGGTTGGGGCGACATTTAGGGAGTACTGGGTGGTAGTATCGGGCTCAAGCTGCAGCATGGTATTTGAATAATTGGCAGAGCCCTGCCAGTCATCCTGGGTGGCGGCGGCATCAGGGCACATGCCGCCAAAAACAAAGAGGCTGCTGTTAGACCCATCTTCTGAGCTTGAGAATGACAGCCCGCCGGCGAGGAAATTTGGAGCGAGCAGGGAGGTGCTGGAGGTGTCCCCAGGCATGACGTCTGTCTGCGACCAAGTACCATTCCCATCAGCGGCATCTTTATCTATTTTGAAAGTCCAAATCTTTGCATTTTGAGCCGGGTCGGCACATGCGCCGGCGTAAACGGTAAAATTCCCATCGGGCTCGACGACGGGTATGTAGGGCGTTGCATCGGCAGCAGAAGACCAGGGGAGAGCGGAATAGAGAGTGTTGTACTTGAGGTTTGCCGGGTCGAGGGCGGAAGTGACGTCGAGAGAACGCAACTGGGCCTGGTTGGAGGCGCTCGGGGCCGGGCCGAATACATAGACCAAACCGTCTTCTTTGGAGGAGCGGAAGACTCGCGTAGGCTGATAAGGGAGCTGGGCATGGGCAGACTGAGCCAGCAGAAGGAGCGACAGAAATGTCAGGCTGGCCATTGCCCTGGGTTGTGCAGTAGAGGGCCGGCGCGTCGCGTCTTTTGGGCGGGTGCGAGGCGTCTAGCAGGACATGGCAGCGTCAGGCCGTGCGCAGTCTGATATCATGCACGCGGAAGCGGACTCGACTCGAAGAGCGAAGTGGGCGATCTTGCGGAGGGTATGCGGTGGAGCGCGTTGCGATTTGGTAGATGGAAAGTAAGAGGCTGGGAAGGCCGGCAGATGGGCCGCTGTAAACACATGCAACCAGCCTCGCGGGCGGCCCATTGCGCAAGCAGGCTGCTGTGCTCTTTTCTTCAAGCGTCTGGATCCACGTGCAGCCGGCGCAGCTGGAAGCGTCCAATGGAATGGGCGCGAAGCAGATGCACGACATGGAGCGACCCTGGCGTTGGCGTTGACTGGCGTTCCCGCAGTAGCCCAGGCAACGCGGGTTGCGTGGCTGGTTGCAGCGGGCGCGGCGGCTGGGCTCGCCTGATGCCTGCAAGCCCCCACCCGCCCAAGAGCTGCATGATGCGCAGCGGTCCGGAGGCCCAGCTGACGCGCTCGGTTGGTCTCGGGCGTTCGCTGGGGCGCCGTCGCAGCCAAAACGCGCTCGAGGGCGCGTCGCGTCGCGGGGTTGTTGATCTCTGGCAGATCGCGTCGAGTCAGTCGGGCAGGGTCTATTCCAACTTCAACGCTATCTGCTGCCCACCTCCATCACCTCTTCTCCACCGCACCGCGCAATCGCCCCGTACTCGCTTCGCCCGAGCCGTCATGCGCAGCAACCCAAATTTCGAGGCTGACTGCCCGCCTGCCGGTTCCAACCGGTCCCTCTTTTGCACCCTACGTGGCCGCCAAGCAATTTGCACCCGCCAGGCATTCCTGGCGAGCCCACGAGGTCGCGACGTCACTTAAATTGCACCCATTTAAGCATCAAATTTTTTTTCCGGGCGAAATCAGCGGCGCTGTGTGCCGGCATGACGTCGCCGTGTCAGCGACAACAAACAGTCGGTCGCCCGACGAAATCCGGAAACTTAGCATGTGAGATAATTAACGCTTCTATATGTTAGCCGACCAATGAACGCCACCAGCCAAGCTTGTTTCAGCTTGGAAAGGGTCTGTCTGCTCGGAGCCTGCACCGACACGACTCACCATCACATTTTGGCGTACCGTCTCAGCAACCTCTTCCGCACCAGCCGGACGAGCTTCCGGAACCTTCGTGTTGGCTGCGGTCGTGCTTCCGGTTTTGCCGCATCTCGCCTAAATCCCGTGTCGAACATTCAAGACACCACCCATATGCATCTGGACAATATCCTGTTTCGAAGTTGCCAGAAATATCTCTTTGTACACGCGTTCAGTCGCTCCATGCGACCTGTATCAAGACCCGCATTCTTTGCCCAAGCCAGCCGCTGTGACTTATACATATATCCTCGCATTATGCCCAGCATCGCTGACAATGGTTGAGCCACTCTCCGCTTCATCCTTCCGAGCTTGGCTCAATCTGAGTCAAACACCTTGTCCATTAATGAGGACTTGGTTCAAATCAAGTCAAAAGAACGTCATTGCCCTCCTTGCCGCTGCCGTCATCATTATGATCCTTCGATATCGTTCACAGATGCAGGCATGTTTCAAGCGTCGGAACAGTAGGTATTCATAGAAATTCAACCAAGTACGCCTTCGTATACATCATATCCGTCATCGTTCCAAAGGAGAGACCCAGCTCATTCAGACCGTCGTTACTCGTTCGTGGAGTTCGTCAAGGAGAGAAAAGAACAAGTAAAACAAAACAAAACTACCCCAATAGAAAGCACACCCAACTCCTTGTTATCCAATTTCCAAAGGCAAAGAATTCGTCCTGCTTATGCACCAGCCAAACGCCTCCTCCCAATGTGCTTCTGGTCTGGCGAATGTCAGCGATCGTTCCAGTCTCAACCGTGAAGTCCTCATTCACTCACCTCACCCAACAAGCAAGCTCAAAGGGCGACCTGCAACCCAGCCACGAGGTGGCCCAAGAACGTCTCCACACAGGCCCCAACCGTCACACCCAGAAGCGCCCGCGGGTCAACCCCGGGCTCGCGCTTGTCCTTCCCCTTGCCAACACCAAGACCAGCAACACCGCCGAGTTTCAGACCAATTATCCCATCCACCAGAGCGTTCACATTCGTGCCCACCACCAAGCCGAGCCCGTTGTTCCCAGTGTTGACGCCCGCCCCGGCGCCGGCGCCGACATTAACACCAGGGGACTGATAGGTGCGCTTCTTGTGCTGAGCATGGGCCTTGGCGACAATACCGGCGGCCACACTATCCGCCGCCTTGGCGAGTTCTACCTGTAGCTGGTTGGCGAAATCGGCATTGACATCGACAGCAGCACCTCCGTCTGGCTGGGCCATGGGTGTGGGAACGGCGAGGAGAGGCGTGGCGAGAGCGAGGAGGGCGGGGACGATGTACGTGGCGCGCATCTTGATAGCGGTTTTTGGAGGAGGTTTGAAATCGATATAAGATTTGATAATGGGGTCTTCCGAAGCGATTGAGCACGCTTCTTTCGTTCTTGAATTGGGTCGGCCCTGAACTTGCGAGACTTGGAGCTCTTAAGAAGTAGTGAAGAAGAGAGGAGTTGAAAGCTGTGTTGTTCTGGTTGGAAGAATAGGTACTTCCATCCACCCTTATATACTGATATTTGGCAGACGATCCGAGCTCAAGAGTACATACATCTTGGTCCAGACGATATTCTGCGAATCCTCCAGACCCACGATGGAGTCGCACTATCTCGTAGTCGCCGAAGAAAACACCATCCACGGCGCTGGTACTACGGGGTTCGCCTTTCCCCTGGAACCGGAAAGGCGATTGTTGATTGAAGGATATCATTCAATTGGCGTAAATCAGAAGACAATGTTTCCGCAACAAGTAAAACACCCCCCTGTCTTCCTCACCGGAGCAAGACGTTGCCCGGCTGCCCCTGGCTTCCGAGGCAGGGGAATATACACTACAGCAACTTTTCCTGAAAACAGCGAGTTGAAGTACGGCAAAGACCCTCTACTTCAGTATTATTAGAGCACAATTCGAAGCCCAGACCCTGAAGATCATTTTGTTCTGGATGTATCCATCCTCTTGGATACAATCATCTGGTAAGAAAGGGGGAAATTTTTATGCTTGGATATGGAGAAGGTAGATGCCGGAGGGCACTTGAGACTTGGAAGAAGATCACACCAGGCACATGGAGATGTCACTCTGAGCAACAGCAGCGAAAACAAATCAGATAGACGAATAAACAAGGAAGACCGTGTAAACAGCTTGAGCACAAAGAAAATTTTCACCAGAATTTACTTCTTTGTGTTTCGGAGTCTACTTAGCCGCCAAGAAAGGCCAAGAAACGATTCATCCCTCCCTTGCCTTCAGCATGTCATCCATGTGCGGAGCGTCCCGCGTCGGACGTAGAGCAGCCGTTTTCGGCGACGATGGTGGCGGACTCGCCTGGTCGGCAAAGCGAGCATTCACCCCTTGACTCGCTTATTGCGAGTCCTCTGGCTACTGCGGAGCTTTCCAGTAATAGAGTAAATAATTGGTTGATGGATGCTATCTTCTGATTGGGTTTGAAGAATGTAAGCAAGAAATTTGAAGTGATGATAGTATTGCGGAGGCATAGGACGGACAAGACGTCATGACTCTGGAGTGAGCCGAAAGGATCGGTGGGTATGATGTCACTCTAGTAACAGCTATGAGAGTTGTAAAAACTCTGAAAACATTATTGCTCATGCTGAAAATTTCACTGCGCGCTCAAAAACTAATCCAACGAGCCTCATGTAGAGTAGGATTAGGACTGAGAATTACGGTATGCCGTCTTGACCGCCCAGAGGCCTCTCTCAGGACAAGAGTGCTGTAATACAGATTCATCAGCTCTTTAAATATGTCGAAGATATATGTAACACCTCAAATGATGATAATCATTCCAGCAACGCTACCTTGATTCCTCACAGATTATACGGGATATATCCCATTTATGATCTATGAAAGGTACTTCTCCAAACTCAATATCGTATACTAATGCACGCCTTTTTGACAAGTTTTAAGGCTTGTTGGTAGTCTGAAAGATCATCGGGACTTCAGCTGCATTGAGAAGCGTGGCCAAGTCTTCCTTTGGTCAATAGTCCCGGTTGGTCCGGATGTATTCTTCCTCTGTGACGGAATAGGAGCGCCAGTAGCATGTCAGATTGATTTCATATTCACGTTACAATCCTCCGTCCTGATAATCGACCACAGCGCCGAGAAATTTACGTAATTTATTACCTCCGCGGTCTGAAACCACGTCCCAAGGGTGAATATTCCGCTTGGATGGCGCTGGCGATTAGAGCAGGAAGTTGCGGACATTAAGAATGTCTGAGAGGTGATTTTTGTGCTTTTCTCACAGCGTCTTCCTTAAGGTGATGGGCTTCATCGTAAATTCAACTCATCTCCTGTTCAAGAAAACCATGTTGATTCAAGCAAGCGTTACATTCAACTTCAGCTACTGACATGATAATCTCGAAAATTTAAGTCCCAAGACAATTTCCTGGTTCCATCCCCTGTCTATCCAATTGCACCCGTCAATGCGGCATCTTCCTCGACATCCTAATGCCTCTGGAACTCCTCCATCGCGTACACCTTTTTCACGGTAGGGCGATCAGCCAGACGCTGGTGCCAGGCCGCAAACTCGGGGCACTCGGTCTTCCAGTCCCAGTCCTCAGGTGCAATGACAGAGTAGAAGCTCTGCCACGGGATCCAAGCCAGATCGGCGTAGGAAACCTTGTCGCCGAGCAGGTAGGGTGTGCCGTGCTTCTTGAGGTGTGCATCGATGACACCAGTCACGCGCTTGATCTCGTTGCCATAGCGCTCTATGGCCGAAGGAAGCTTCTGTAGATTATTGGTTTAGCAATGATCAGACCGGGGAATGCAGTCGTCTTAGGACCCAAGAAGTAAAGATAGGAGGCGGGGGGGTTCCTCACCTCCGAGTGGCGAACCATGAACCAGTAGCGCTGACCGAAGTACGGTCCCTGACCGGACACCTGGAAGTGCAGCCAAGCCTTTTCCAACCACTCCTCAGGCTCAGAGGTGTAATGGATTTTGGCCTTGGTATCGTAGGTCTTGACCAGATACTCGATGATGGCGCCGGACTTGACTTTTGTTAACCGATGAAAGTTTCATTGACTTGGGACTCCAAACCTCAAATAGCTTGATGCCAGTGTTTGGATCATCGATGGCTGGAAGGCGGCCGTTGGGGTTGAGAGTGATAAAGGGCTCAGCCTTCAGCTCGGTTTCCATGTTGATAGACTTGCATTCGTAGGGGAGCTCAAGCTCCTCCAGAATGATGGCTACCTTGACTGGGTTCGGCGTCGGGCCGTGGACGTAAAGAGTGATGGGCTGCATTGTGATATTGATGGACAGATGGCTGTGCTTCCAGTCAGAAAAGCAGGTGTGAAAGGTTGATGATGAGAGAAAGCATCATTTTCGAATCATTCTAAAGCATCTTTTAAAGTTTACTGGTACTCTGCTGGAGCCGCAACACTTCCCCGCATACTTACACCCTTGTAGTACAGAATCCTTCCAATTGGTGCGCCCTACTACAAGATAGCATGTGCTGACAGTTAGCTTGGTCAGCTCGGCGTCTGAATGGCCGACAATACCGATAAATGCGGACTAGTCCACCAACGAATTACCAATCCAAGAATCCTTTGGCGCAAGTGGGGAAAGCGGCACCCTTGTTCAAACAACTAGTGACGCAGTGGAACATTTTCACTCAGGCTTCATCAGCTCTATGCGCAGCGAAATTATTTATGAACGGATGCCCCAGCGTCCGACATCCGACTGTGCGCCCTGCTCCTACTTCTGCTGCTTACTCAGGCAGTGGCACAACGACACCTCTACAATCTCCGAACCCGAACAGCCTCTCACCTGTCTGAGCATCGTGCACCCACCCTTGAATGTTTACCTCATCGCCATCCTCCAACCATGCCCTCGTCTGACCATTACCCACGTCGAATGGCCTAGTTCCGTTGTATGACCGCTCGGCCAGGCAGCAGCGGCCATAATCATCACTCTGTGAAATCACAGTCAGCGTGACATTAAAAAAAAAAGAAGGTAGGACAAGAAATCATGCACGTCCCAAAGACATTCACGCCCACACCGAGGCCAACCACGGGAAACCCACTCACCTCGAACATGCTCATCGTCCCCGTCCCAATCAAATCCCCCGTCCCCACCGCGCTCCCGTTCCTCGTCTGATGCGCAACCAGCTGCGCGTGCGTCCAGTATGTCTGCCTGTACTCCGTCCTGCAAACCTCAAAAGCCGCGCCGCCTTCCCCGCTCCCAGCCGGCTTGAGATTTACCGAGCATCTGATGTCGATACACGGCAGCTCGTTGTTGTTGCCACTGTCCTTTTCGGAGAGGTAGTCGACGAAGGGCAACCGCGGCGCCATCTGGCGTGGCAGCCGCGCGGGCGCCAGCGCGTCGAGCGTGATGACCCATGGCGAGACGGTGACGCAGCCGGATTTGCCCAGGAAGGGGCCTGTTGGGCCGGCGGATTCGGATGATTGGATGTCGCGGGCTGTAGTTCAAAAAGAAAGGTTAACGAATGAGGACCACTGTTGATTGAAAAGGAAAAGAAAGTGACTTCCGTGTATCCGTTGAGGGAACTGACAAAAAATATTGGTGAAAAGAAAAGCAAATGGGTGGCTATTGTAGGAGAGATCACGTCTGCTATTACTCACCACTCCAGTCGTTCAGCAGGACGAACCCGAAGACATATTCGTCGACTTCTTCAAGTTTGATGCGCTGTCCAATTTTTGAAGGCCTAGCGAGGTACACACCCAGCTCGAGCTCAAAGTCAAATTTCTTGGACGCACCGGCTTGAGCGGGCCCGTCAACCTGGAATTGCCCCCCCGTCACACCGGCGAAGCGATATACGGGCGTATCGGAGACGACAATGTTGCGCGAATTGCCATAGTATCCCAGAGGCGAGTGGTAGAATGGCGCGCGGAAGGGCGGCGGGTGATTGAGAACATCGGCCATCTGCAAAAGAAAAAAAAAAGAGTCAGAAGGCGTTCTTGTTGGAAGCATACTTCTTCATTCTCTCTATTTTCATGTCTCCGTAACGAGTAATAATAGAGCCTATTTAATAGGAAGTAGATTGAAAAAAGAAAACGAAAATCAATTACTCACATTCTCTGCATGCCCTCGACTGGAAACATAGTCGGCATAATTCACCGTCTCCATGGGCAAATGATTGGTCACACTGGCGGCAGGCAAGAACGTACTCTCGAAACCTTTTCGTAGTCCCCCATCTTTCCACATCTCTTGAATGCGACTACGGACAGCTTTTCGCACGCCGGGAGATAGAGCGGCAAAAGCGTTGAGAGACTTTGCATTTTGGAAGGCTGAGTTGGAGTATCCACGAATGGCGGAGAAAGCACCGAGAGATGATAGAGCAGAAAGATCGATGACGGTATTGTGGACTCGTGTCGCAGGGCGAAGGCGAAATGGCTGCTACAGGGTCAGTATTTATATCTCAAAAAGAACAGAGTAAATGTGAAATTTTACCTCGTCGGGTGTTGAGATGATCCCAAAAGGGATATTCTCAACTGGGAATTGCTCCGCGCTCATCGTATAGAAAGTGTGAGTGTACGAAATTCCAAACTAAGACTCGCTTCTCATAGACAAGATGTATAGGAAATTTCAGGCTGCGCTTTTCCAAGCCCCGATTGCCTGGATAGATCTCACTGAAACCACCTGGTAGTTTGGTAAGGCTGTCGTCAGAATAGAAAACAATTCCACTTTCCCTTTACAAAGGTAGATGATTTCAAGAAACTCCAGCAAAGTATTTGTACGGACACCAAGTACTTCTTGTACCAATGCCCCGTTCCGCGGCTCCTCGGTCCCCCGCGTTAACAGCACCGGGATGTGGGCCACCACACGGGCCCGCTTCCCGTGCGCACGTTCATTCAAGACGGCAATCCACCCTCTCCGAGTCAGGAATGCAAAACAGATATGAGGAAGCAGAGGAAGTATACGAGAAAAGTGGTGGAAGTGTTCTTCGGCCGGATTACAGAAATGAGAAAGCCCTCCCGGCGGCCATGTGGCCCTGCGACCAACTATGATTGGGTGAACAATAGCACCGTGAAATAGGCTCATCCTCCGATCGCCCGCCATGCGGGAGCGGGAAAAGATAGCGCTTTAGCGATGCAGCTCAAGGGACCCTGTCGCGGGTCTCGATATCACACAGCCAATAGTAAAGATTAGGTTCGCTTAGAGAAAATGGTGCGCTGAATAAGGGTGTGAGGCAAGTACTACACGGTTTTTTGATCAGTGGTGCAACTAGCTAATCCAGTTGAATATATAGCCCTTCAGTAGATGAACAGCCTTTAGGTATCTTTTTCCATAAGCAGAGCACCAGATGAGCAAAAGTAAAAGACCCAGCGCACAGATTTCCGGCGTCCTTTACATCAAGATTGGCCGTAGAGCAAAGCAGGCAACAGCCAAAGCAGTCACACGAGGTGAAGTTATTCCCGAGATGCGATTTCTCCCAAAGAAAAAAGGCGCGGAAGAATCGGCATGGTAGAAGTGAGATGTCAGCATCGTGCATACAGAGGGGTATCACAGCCGAAGGCTAGCGCGAAGAACGGCAAGGTTCTAGAACAAGAGGTAAGTCTGCCTCAGCAATCTCTTTGCTTGCTAAGGAACATCATCTGCGGGCAGTAAAAAGCCATCGTTCTGATGCGAATGTGATTCCACATTTTTCTCCCGAACGATATCTTCGGCTACCCATGGCACGAGCCAAGAACAAAGTCACGCCAGCTTTCGGCTGTGGTACCCGTCTGTAGGTACGACCTCATCGAGAAATGCAGGGTAATATGCAGTAAGACGGGAAGAGCCATGACAAGGGGGAAGGCGGATGGATGATTCCAACCGAGCCCTGTGACGCAATTCTCCATTCATTTTTTTGTCTTACATGTTCACTGATTACAACATCGAACAATGATGCATTGTGGAAGCGCAAAGTCAGATTAGATGCTGTAGAACTCAATGCTGTGTCTGCATTAGGCAGTCGGGGAAATTGGCGCAAGATGCGATGCGCGATAAGCGTTGCATTATCCAGATATAGCTTGACTCATTAATGGTGCATTACATGATCTCTCTTCAGGACGAATCTCCCGACACAACAATCTCCTTCTCCTTCGGAATGGCGTCGAGCGTCTCATTGGACAGGTTCAGGGTATCGATGACAATCTGGTGCGGCGTGAGGGCGAGCCACTGGCTCAAGCTCATGTCGGAGAAGTGGTCGGCCTGCAGGACCTCGAGCAGAATCACGTCATCGTCGCCGACGTTCTCGATGTAGTGCGAGTTGGACTTGGGGAAGTAGCCGACGTCGCCGGCGTGGTAGTCGAAGGTGGTGGCGACGTCGGGCGGGGTGAACAGGGTGGCGCGGGCGGTGCCGGCGAGGAAGAAGGACCACTCGTCGGAGCTCGGGTGCCAGTGCACCTCGCGCAGGGCGCCGGGCTTGATGGTGACGAGGGCGGCGCTGAAGTTGGGCGCGGCCGGGAACGTCAGCGGGTCGACGATCTTGACGCTGCCGCCGGGCACCTCGTGCGCCTCTTGCTCCGAGAAGTGGTACGTGTAGCTGGCCGGGCCCGACAGCACGCCCGCCGACCCGGTCACGTTCTGCTCCTCGATGTCCTTGGGCGCCGGTGTGCCCGGGAAGATGAACAGCTCGCCCTCGGGGATGTCGTCAAAAGCAGAAGTGTCGACGTGCAGGTTCTTGGCCAGGACCTCTTTCTGCGATGCACATCAGTGTGAGATCAATTGCCAATTGAGACGGAACTGCCTACAGGATTGTGAGCGAAGATTTCCGAGGCGAGGAAAGTGTTGTCTTCCGAGAAGCTTCCGTCATCGAAGACGAGCATGAACTCGGCGCCGCCGTCGAGGGCCTGGATCGAGTGCGGGATGCCCCTGACAATTGTTAGCGCTGCACTGAAGGTCACCGGAAAGCTATCAACCACTTACGGAGGGAAGAACCAGACGTCGCCCTTACTGACATCATCCACAAACGACTTTCCGTCTTCTTGCACAGCCTGCCATTGTCAGTACAAGCACAGTCGGGAGGCTGTCCAATGGTCATACCTGAACGCGGACGGTGCCATTGAGCATCAGGGCCCACTCGCCAGCCACATGCCAATGCAGCTCACGATAGCCACCGGGCTCAAGTCGCATGTCGACGCCCGCCATGGCCGTGGCATCGGGCAGAACATTCAAGTTCTGCTGCCTCGACCATCCGGCGCCCTCCTTCCCGAGCTTCGCGTGGCTGAGACCCATGCTCCACTGCGCGTTGATCGTCTGGCCATGATCGGTGCCGGGCGGCGCGAGCTTGTCACTGTTCTGCCTGTCGACCTCCGGGTTGCGCGGGCCCGGGTCGGTGCCGCCCTTGGTGCCGCGGATGGGCTGCGGGTTCTCGATGTCGGAGAAGTCCAGGAAGGTGCCCAGGTCCGCGTCGTTGGTCTGTCCCGGCGCCAGCTCATACTGCACATTCGTCGTGTCCTCGTCCGTCAGGATGTTGGACGGGTTGTAGCCCTGCAGGTCCGTGGAGCCGCGCAATGGGTCCACTGCGGGTGCGCCGTGGACGGCGCCAAGCGCAGAGAGGCCGAGCAGGAGCGAAAGAGACTGGACCATTGTTCCCAATTGACAGGACGAGAAGCACTGACGAGGTGGAAAGGGAGGTATTCGGGTTCGAGTCACTTGGACTTTATAGGTAGACGCGGAGCCGGCGCAAGACGCGAATAGCAGTGCCTACGCGTGTGCGTATGACCTGGCTCAGAATTGCTTCCCCTCACCATCCCGCCCTTGACGAGTGCTGTCTCCACTATGCCAAGGTGATCAAGTGCTGAGATCTGCATTGGAGCATCGGGATGGGATAGGAGACTAGGGTGATTACCTTGGCCGTTGATAGAGGCCAAGCTGCCCGTGCTCTCTCTCACTCCTGCAGGGATTGCAAATGTTTCGTTTCTGTAAGACATATGAGTAAAAGAAAAACGTGGGGGGAGAGAAATGGTACCAGGCTCATGGTCCGTGAGGAGCGGTGATTGATGACGTTGGAAGCCTTGAACTGACCGGCGGCGACTTTCCGCTTTCAAATCTGCGGCCGAGTGAAACGTACCGTCCTTGCATGGACTCCCATGTACGGGTGGGGGACGGGTGAATGGGACATGCTGCACGAATTCTCTTCCTGTTGTATTGCTCTTGCTCCTCGTAGGTGGAATCTAGACTGCATTTCGGAGGCTGGCTGTGATGAGATAGGGCGCCGGGCCTAGGCGGAAGCTGCGAGCTGACGGCCATGGTGGAGCATGTTGGAGCCCTCGCGGTAATGTCATAGGCAACCCATCCCGGCGGCCACGATGCGGGGAAGGCTGGTCAGCGCATTGCCGACGAGAAAGTGATTCGTCCAGGCCCGAGCTATCCCTGGTAATGATCCAGGGCAGAGCCCGAGTTTGCAGCCAATGCGATACCGCGGAAATGGGCGCCGAGTTTGCCTTCGTCGAAGTGATGCGGAAGCAGACGACGTTGGCGCGACGCCTTATCTGACGAAGCTTGAACAGGCAGCTCCGCTTGGGTGGAGCTTGGGGCGGCTTGAGCGAACGCTTGTCGAAGCTTGTCCAGGGGGGTGGGGCGCGTCCTCCGCATCTCTCATTCGCAGCCCGTTCCGGCCCGCTCGGGAGAATGGACGCCTCGGGCAGTGGCGTCCGCCACTTCAACTGCGATGTTTATTACCCTCAGTCCAGAACGGACGTGAAGGGTCTCGTGGCAGCGGTGACAAGAGCCGCCTCGGTTCGTGATTCTCGCCGTGACCTCGCAGTAAGCAGCCATGACCTGCAGAAATCACGCTGCAATACGATCCCTCATTGGCAGACTCGGCCAGCACCACCCGATGCTGCGTAAGCTGTCTCATTCGGCACAGGCTCACACCTAAGCCCGTACCTGATGACACCATCACACCGGCCTTTCTGGTCTTGCTGCCGGAGATCCGTGGATAAAGCGGCATCTCTACCCCGGCATCACGCGAAGCCACCGTCGTTGCGGATTGAGACACCAGTATTCTCTCCCTAAGCGACCATGTCGTGATAGCTGCCTGGATGCACGCACCACAAACTGCAGCGTACAAGAAATAAGACGAGAAGGCCATGAAAAGAAACTATCTTTTATTGTCTTGGTGCTGTAGTACGAGAGCCTTTTCGGAGTTACCTGACCGCTCCGAGCCTACCATGCCGAACCAACCTTATATCCGGCCAGGTGGCGTCGGCATTAGTACGTCGCCGCCGCCATTGGCTCCCAAAATAGTCCGAATCCACAGAGGTGCATTACGGGTATAGATGAGTGGGACTGCATCACTTCGTTCTCCACAAGACCATCGTATTCCAAAGGCCCAGATAAACACTTCCTACACACATCCTAGAGCTTGGAACAAGTAGGTGCCTCGGGCCGCAATGCTACGTCAGAGACCAAACCTTAAACGTGCAGCTCCCCCTGTCGACTGTACCTCCCTACTTCAATCACTCAGACATTATCCTGTTTATTTAGCTTGGCTGTCCCCAATCCAGCCACGGAAATGGCCCGTTGACGATCTCCCAGTTCGCCTGATTCACACCCTTCTGGTCTACACCTTGCAAGTTCCACTTGTATGTTTGAGGTAGTCATCCCATTTTTAATATTCTTCTACGCTTGGCATTATGCGCCCTCGGCCAACCACCAACCCTCATCCCGTTCGTCATATGTACCCGTAACATTATACTTTATTTTGGCAGAAAATGAAAGGAGAAATGCCCCGAATAGACCAACATCCGTTGAAGGGGACAGGGAAGGAAAACTAAAAATGAAATCGAACGCCTCCCCAAAAAAAGATGCGCCAATATCAGAGGATATCTCTGCAGCATATGGAACGTTTGCGAAGCCGAAACAGAGAACCGGAATCCTTCCTCCTTTGACGATGTCGCCGAAAACGAAGTAGGAGATCATCTATACAGGAGAATTTTTGAGCCACGCAGGCTTAATCCGCGTGCTCAAACACCAAATCCACCTGCTTAACCGGATGCAGCAGCATAGCGGGGAGACACATACGTCCCTCGCCCCACACCTCTTCCGCCTCACCGCCATCATTGTCAACAACGTACCCCAGCCACCTCTTCCACAAGTTGGGCGCGAAGCCCGAGTTGTAGTACCACGTGGTACCGCGGAAGTTGTGCTGGCGCTCGTCCGAAAAGACAGACAATCGGGCGCCGCCCGCCGCGCCGTTGCGGCCGTTGTTCATGATGGCAGCGAGGTAATCCGTCGGCCAGCGGCGGTCGATGAAGACTGGGTGGGGTGCATACACTGCCTTCAACCCGTGGTGCAGCGCGCACGACGGCGGCCACATCTCCGAGAACATGGTGCGCTTGCGGAGCGACGTCTCGCGGTGCATAATCTTCAGCAGTCGCTTGGAGAGACGCGTTGCCGTGATGATGGCCGTGCGCCGCGGCGGCTTGCGCTCCGACACGTTGTAGCCCGTTACGTCGTCGGCCAAGATCCAGTTGGTGCGGTCCGGGTCGAACATAGGGTTGAATGTGATCAGGTCTGCATCTTCGCCCACACCCCACTCGTATTTGTCCTTGGTGATGTCGGGCACTTCGGGGTCATCCTGCGTATCCATCTCGTCGTCTGCCGGCGGCTCAGGTCCCCAGATGGGCTTCTCCGGCTTCTGAACGGCCTGCGCTTTGATGTCGTCTGGTACGTTGGGGTCATCCTTGGCCATCTCAGCCCACATATTGCTCTTCGAAGCTGTGCCGTGTTCGGTCTGGACACGGACCATGTGCTTGAAGTCGTCCCAAGAACCATGTTCACGCGGAACGTAGAAGCGAGAGTTGCGCTCCCAGAGGCCCTTACGGGGTTGCTTCTTAGCCCATTCGGAGACCTTGGAGAATAGATGGTAGAAGTGACCAGTGTAGCGCACATCCATCTCCCAATGCCAAAAGAAATCGTACTCGGGATGCATATGAGCAAAGTGTTGCACAGGCAGGAAGCTAGAGCGGTATGCACCATACACGGGAAGATCGCGGTAGTTGCTCTCTGCCAAACCTCCGTAGATGAGACTCATTTGGCGCTCAGTCCAGAGTGTGCCCATGCCACGGAATTCCTCAGGAAGCGAGTCGTTGAGTACGCGTTGATATGTCTCCTCATCGGACCAGATGGGGGTGTCGTTGTCCTTGAAGTGGATCAAGAAATGAACTTCATACTCGCCGCCAGAGTTGACAGCAAGCTCGGTGATAATGGCACGCAGATAGAACAAGTCCTCATCGTCGTATTGATAGTCGTGCCATGTCCGAATAATGACAGCAGTGCGCGGCAGCAGCTTCCTGGCTTGCTTCGAGCTTCCGGATGTCTGAGAAGTGGCACCGACCGGTTTGAACGGCGTCGTCTCACCGTCTTCCAAGAAGGAGTCTTTCGCGGGCGTATCAATCGTGGACTTCGACCCAGAAGAGCTATCAACAGGCTTGAAGCGCGTTGCGCCCTCGTCATTTCCATGAGGCACTGGCGGGGCGGGGTCATCCATCTGCGGGTCCCTAGCTTCAATCTTCTTTGCAACCTCCTCCACCTTGTGCTCCTCATAGCCATCGAAGTAAAGATGGCTGAGTCCATTGCCAATTGGCTGTCCACGGGGCTTGAAGCGGTGTTCATTGGCCCTGGCGCAACGGCTCTGGACGTCGGCCCATCTGACGTTTCTGAAATCAACCTGGTCGTCGTCTTGCCAGACCTGTTCGGCACCTTCACGATCGCCTTCCATTCCAGCACCACTACCACCGTACTTGCGGCTGTATCCCAAGCCGTACGGTCCAAGGCGTCCGAAGCGCTCAAAGCAGACGTCGTCGCGGAGTTCGAAAATTTCAAAGGATCCCATGACGTTATCCGGGGTGCCGTTTACGACGCCGGGATAGACGCGCATCTGAGGCACGCGCGCCGACTTCTTCTCGTCCAGAAAACACGGAATGACCTCAGCGCCGTACTTGTCCTTGTATTCGGCCGACTTGTAGTCCGGGTAGGGATTGAAAAGCTGCATGGGCGGGAGGCCGTGGTCCTTGGAACGCTCGTCCTCGTAGCTCCAGCCGTCACCGCCCGTCTCGCCGCGCTTCAAAAGGCTACCATCCTCGTTGCGCGAGCCGAGCAGTTCGGACGCGTTGAAGCCTTCTCCAGGGTATTCGGGGACGTTTTCTGCACGTGGCACCAGAGTGCGGAGGCCGCCATGGTAGCGTTTCAGGAAGGGAAACGACTCCCAGGCGGCGGGCGGCGGGGGCTCCTTGCTCACGGCCTCGCCCGTTTCCAGGGCAATATGGCTCCTCCTTCCCATGGCGCTTAGCCAGATGATGAAAAATATGACGGTACTGCCCAAGGCCAAGGCAAACCAGCGGCTGAAGCGCCGGCGGCCGACGCGATGCGAGTAGTAGTGTGAGGACGAGGTGTAGTTGGGCGGGTGCTGCGCCGACATTGAAGCTTTGCGGGCGCGCGAATCGGAGCGGTTCCGGTAGAACTGAGCAGAGGTGGTGGTGCCCTGCATGGTGCCGGGACGTGAGGCATATGCGGATGGTGAGGATTCGGAGTCCTGGTAGTCAAGACTGTCGATGGAGCGGCGCTTTTCGACGTCGTCGTCGGAATCAATGTAGCTGTTTCCACCAGGCAGCGGGTCGTAGGGCTGCAAGGTCCGCTTCGCGTTGCGGATGGGGTTGAGGGAGGGCATTATCTTCGTAGGCACATTAGAGGGAGAAGGGAGGAACAGGAGCAGTGGCGCGCGGCGCGTAAAAGAAGTTGTTTCGGATAGGAGGCGGGTTGCGGCGTAGATGGCGGCGGAGCTCTAGCGAGACGGATCCAGAACCCTGGCAGCGTAACGTTGGCGCCAAGCGGCTACAATTTGTATGTTCAGCCTCCACGAGGGCACAATGCGCGCGCGTGGGAAAGCGATTTAGAAAAGCGCAGGCGCGGGGACTTGCAATGAGGATGTTTGGTGTTTGTCACAGGCTAATCCGCGTGGAGAAACGTCGTCAGTGGTCTCGTGCTGCGAACCCCGGTCGTGGTCCTAGCGCCGCCCAAGAGCCGCTTCCTGCGCGTTGTTGGCGAGGAAACCGCCCTTGTGTCCAGCCCATCTGCACCTAGTTCCATGTGGCTCCCATCCATTGCTCTGCCAGCAATCAAGCTTATTCACCTGTTCCACTTGTAGCCTGTACTACTTTAAACCCTCTGGGACCACAGCGACCAGCGTTACCCGGGGCAAAGGCGCGTAATACCCTCTCTGCCAAGGTCCATTCATTAAGCATATCTGCTGCGCTAGACATGGTTCCTGTCCTGAACATCTCCCACCACTTTTGCTCTAGGAATAACCTACCATCAATCCCATCCACTAGAACTGCAGATAGTCCGTCTTCTGCTTCTTTCGCTGACCTCCATTCTGGCTCTCAGCCTCCTTGATGCGTGCGCTCTTACGCGTACCTTCTCGCGGCACCTTCTCCTTCGGCTTGTTCTCCTTCCTAGGCCGTCCTGGATTCTTTTTCCCATTCGCCTTTGGCGTGTCTTTCTCCTCGATCGGAGTCTGCTTCCCACCCTTTTTTCCCTTGGACCCCTTCTCTTCTTCTTTTTTCCTCGCCTGAGTCTCCTTCTTGCCCGCCTTGGCCTGCTTCGCGTTTCCCTCCTCCTCCTCCTCCTCCTCCTCCTCCTCCGCTACCTCTTCTTCAGCCTCTCCGTGCTCAACTTTGTTCACTTCACGCTTTCTCTTCTTGCCAGACTTCTCCTCGGGCGTACCCTTCCGCGGCTCATTCTTGGATCCAGGCTCGTTTTCGTAGTGTCCGCCCCTCTTCTCGTATTCTTTAGAAAGCTTTGCCGACTGGATGCTGTCAGCTTCGGCTGCGTCCAGCATGGGCTAGAGAGCAAGCACCTTCCAGGCGGACCATTGGCCCTTCCCACTGCCATCTTTGTTCGTTTCATTCTGGACCTCTGCAGGAATCATCAGCCGGGCACGTTGAATTTGAATTGATGCCAGCTCTAACGCACCATTCTTGACTTTTTCGCGCAACTTGGGATCTGTAGGCTTTCCCTTTGAGGACGGCATCCCTGACTCACGACCGCAGCTTGAATGCTGCCAAAATGCCGTAGAGAGCTGCGTCAACGATGCAATCCTTCGCGAGGCTGGACAATGCGCTGTGAAGGAGAATGAAAGCAGCTGCGGCACAGAAAATGCTTGTTATAAGACGGCGAGAATAGCTTTAGCGATGTCTGTTTTGACGGGACAGGATTCTTTGTGTACAAACAGTAAAGGTAAGGGAGCTGAAGGACTGGCTCGCACCTTGGTCGGCCGCGCGCGGCGCGCCGCTTCCAACCAATGACGGCATTACTGCTCCGTTGCGGGTAAGCGCGAACGCCTGCACACGTGCTGAGCTCAGCACTTGAATCCAACTTCACATGTCCATGTTTACTCTCGTTCGGACAGCGAAAGACGAAAAGTGTCGCGGTGAAGCTGGACTGATCTGCTCCAAAGACGACCCGAGCATGTGGAGCCGACATTTCTTCCTACTGGCCGAGTCTCTTGCCAGCTCACAGCGAGTGACTGATGTTTATTGTTTTTGATGCAGGGGAACCGGGGCCCATTGGACCATGCGCGCGTGCAATATGGGGATGCCTTGTCCGCCAAGGTGCCCGCGCATTCCACCGAGGCTGCGACAATCGTATGGCATTCTCATCAGCACCTGCGCCTTTGTCCTTCACGATCTTGGAAGATTTTCGAAATGAAGCGGGAAAATGAAGCGGCAGTACCGAGGCTATGCCGGGGTCACACCTTTTGAGCGAGCTTGACATCATGCCTCGTACCGCGACGTTTCCGGCAGCTCTACGGCGACCAGCTTCCTCGGCCAATGCGGTGGCTGTACACTCGCCACGTCGGGCACCGGAGCGGAAGCGGATGGCTAAGGCACACGGCGGGCGGCGAAACAGCAGCTCGTACGGACAATTGCGGCCGCCGGCCAGCATCGTGTACGGTCGTTCTATCTAGAGTGCGGCGCCCCGAGCACGGCCAGTAGAGCATTCGGGAACTCAGGAGGCGCTATTTTTAGTCGCTTCCGTTGATGTGGGACGACCCGAGGAAATGCTCTGTCACCAGACGGGTGGCCGTCCACCGCTCATGGATGAGCTGTCCACATGTTTTCCACGATCGCCTGGGACAAGGCGCAGGGACTCGCAGTACAGCCATTACGGGCCGCTGTACTCGAACAAGAAAAAAAATCACTGCCGGCGCCATCGGCTCCTTCTGGCCTCACTCTTTTGATCCTTCTGCCCAAGTTGCATTTGTTTCCCGCAGGTGATATCGTGCCAAGCGACGTAACGTTACTCCAGACCTTTCGAGAAGAGGTGGCGGCTGGCAGGTGGCTTTTGTGGGGATGCCCTGGTGATCTGCAGCGCCTGCCCACTGTCGGCCATAGCCAAGCATGTCTATACGAGAGCCGCAGGGTGCGGAGGAGAGCTCGAGAAAGAGGGGCCCTCGTATTTTGTTTGCATCATCGTCGACTGACGAAGTCGCCGCCAACTTCGGCCAGCTATATAAACCTGCCGTCGACTTCGACCTGGGAGACATCAGCCATCAGCACAACCAAGCCAGAGCACTCAACACAAACTACTCCTCCACTTACAACTTCACTCCACAACACCAACCAAAATGCGCTTCGCCACCGCCGCCACCGCCCTCGCCCTCACCGGCTTCTGCAGCGCCGCCGTCCTGCCGCGCGCCACCGAGCACAAGGTCTACGTCGACACTTCCAAGTGCGCCGACAACGGCCGCACCCTGCCGCAGATCTACGGCATCTCCAACTCGACCTCGCAGGACTTCACCGACCCGCAGCGCTTCGACGGGCCCACCTTCACCTTCACCGTGCCCGCCTACTACCAGGGCCACCTCTGGCTGTACAACAGCGACGACCAGGCCGCCTCGAGCGGTGACAACACCCCCCTGAACGTCCAGGGCGTCGACTTCTACTTCTACGACCAGCCCACCGACGTCGAGCGCAACCAGGCCACCGTGCCCGCTGAGGGCGACGCCAACCAGGACGGCCAGGTGTACAGCGTTCCCGACCCCATCACTGCCGTCCGCTTCGCCAGCACCCCTAGCAGCACCTTCATCGAGGGCAAGAGCGGCGGCACTCTGTACAGCACCCAGGAGGGCGACGCTCTGTACGTCTACTACTGCGAGGAGTGGCCCGTCCAGAACTAGAGTAGGAACTTGAGAAAGATGGAAGACGAAGGAAATTGTACAGTACATGCAGACAAGACACGAGCGCGATGAGCGAGAAAAAGGCATATGTAATGTGTAAACGATGAAATGCCAATCATCAACGACAGAATGGAATTCCAACTGTTGTCCAATCTGAAACTATTATTCACATTTTTTGACTCATGAAAGGTGCATCTTGTCCTTCCCTCTTCGGAAAATGGGCACTAGATCGATCCTTCAAAAGCATGACATGTACTAGCCGTGAATCTGCCTGTTCTAAAAACGAGATCCCTACCTTTTTGCACTCCATACGAAACAAGACCAATGGGTTCGCGCGCGAGCAAAGTCTAAACAGAGTTATCGCGTAAAACCTCGTATTTCACCCCCACCGTAACGGCGATTGTGGCTGCGGGAAGGGATAAGAGCCGCCCGAAATAGACGATCGGCGTCATCCCGCCCGCCCCAGGATATGAACCGTCCGCCCCCTCCTATCGTGGTAACCTTTATCGATATCGCTTCATCGGTGGAGCAAGCCCGCAGCGAGATACGAGGACTTAAATAGGCTTTCAGGTCACGCCGACGGAAGAGCACGCGCTCTTCCAAGAATTCCACCGAAAATGTCGCTGACAACTGATCGCAGAGCACACATGTCTTGAAGAAAAAGAGGAGATGCACTTAATGAACTGTATACATTCATCGTAATACTGTAGGCAGAAATACCCCCTGAAACAACTTTTTGTTCCGCTCGCATCCCTGGCTGGATGCAATGCTTCGCTGATTTCCATTCATCATTCCGCTTCAACCATTGCCCGATGGCATGATCGCTTCAACTGTTGCCGGATGGCATGGTAGCTTCAACTTTTTGCCGGATGGCATGATCTTCTCTTTCGCTTCTTCGCTTCTGTGTTTCAAAGAACGAGTATTTTTCCTCCATCCCACCGGTTCGTAATGACCTAGATCACCTTACACCTTTCAATCGTACCGCCAGTGTTGGCACATATCATAATGATTCTGAGTCTGTCTTCAGATCGAGTCGACGAGAGACAGGTACGTATTCGCCTCGTGAGTTGCGATGGTTTCTTCCAAATAGTAGCAATACGCCTGATGAACACCGTTAGCAATGACACCACTCAGGTCGCAAGATGGGTCTTCATACCTTCGTTCCGACCGCGATGCTCCGCGAAGCACGATCCAACGATGATTCGATACTCCTGTTCAGAAGCAACAACCAAGTCCACTGCCCGAGAAAAACGCCAACATCATCAAATTTCCCAAAGCTTGAAATGCGTCAATCATCCTCCCTCCACTTTGGTTGGTAAGCCGAAACACAACTCCCACGTAGGGACGTTACGCCCTATTTCCTACAGCTGCAAAACATGTTGCAAAAAGGTGAACGACAGGAAGGTCCCCATGCTAAACATGCATAACTCTTTTCGTTTCACCGCTTCAGCAACGACTGCACCCTCAAAAACGTCCGCAATGCCGGGAAAATCGACTCGGGCTGCTCGAACCCCAGCTTAATCGTACACAATATCGCCATCGACGCCAAGTTCTTCCGCGCCTTTGCTCTTTCGTAATCGCGCTGCACGTCCGTCGCCGCCCCTGTCCAGCCAGGAGGAGAGGAAGCGTTGGTTGACGTGCCGCCGCAGCCGGCGGAGGGCGATGTGGTGGTGGACCCCGGCGATGCGCTGGAAGCCGTGGAGAAGGAAGAAGAAGGGGAGTTGGCGGCGGCCGCCGCCGCAGCCGCCATGTTCGACGACGACGATGCCGACGACGTTGAGGGGTGACGACTGCCGCCACCACCACCGCCACCACCGCCACCGCCGAGGTGTTCGCCAAACGAGCAGCGAGCCGAAGGAGGCGCACGCGCCGCGACCGTCGCGATCAAAGTGACCCAGAGCAGGACGCCCACAAGGTCACCCCAAGCATCCTGGGCGTTCGGGGTGCGCTGGATGGCGTCCACGATGGCCATGGCGGGATGCGTGGACGATGAGAGCGGGGGGAGAGAGAAGGAGACGCTGTTCGGCGTGGCCGACGTCGAGGGCGGTGTGAATGCAGTGTCGCTGCCGGCGTCGGCGGAAGAGAGGGAAGGGCTGGCCGCCGATGACGAGGGTGGGTGGTTGCAGAAGCCCGGCGCCACCTTCACCAGATCGACCCGTACCGCCATTTGCGGATATGCACGCTCGAAATATTGGCCGGCCGTTGAGATGGGGACCCGGGCGGCGATCGCGTAGGAGTACAGTATCGCGGCGTGGCGGCACGCCTCGTACACAAAGTCGGGGCTGGCGCCGCCGCCACCGTTTCCTCCAGTGGGGTCAAAGAAGGTGCTTGGATCGCTGTTGGGTGGGAGATCGAGCATGCGATTGTGAAAGCTCCAGAACTGCGAGCTGAGCTGTCGTGGATACGGATACTCGTCGCGGAGCGTCTGCCGTCGCACAATATTCTCGGAATGGACGAACAAGTTGGTCATGTCTCTCATGTCCCGGAGTATCTGGAGCGTGCTGTCGGAGCACAGCGAAGAGATGCTGTAAAAGTCATTGCGCGGGCAGAAGATGGGCGACTCGGCCAGACGCGTCGTGGTCGCTGTAGCTATTGGTTGAGTAAGGTGGTTGAAGAAGCGTTGTGGCGGTTCGCCTTCTCGGAGAATCGAGGAGACGAGCGCACCGGCAGAGATGGCGTTTGCGACGACTCCCTGCCCACCGATCTTGTCCAGGCCTCCTCTGTGTTCAGCGATCCGATCCAGCCCTTGCTCATGGGTCATCATCACATCCTCTTCGCCCTGCACCAGCTCTGCTGCAAGCAGTTGGCCGATACACATAAACATTCCGTCGTCAGCCTGTTTTTTCGGATCCACCAGGCTCTCGCGAATCATCGTGTACACCTCCTCCTTGATGTAGAGCGTCGCGGGACTCTCTTCCACGTAGCCATTCAGCATGTCGGAATACGTCGCCTTGATGCAGGCCGTGCTCAGGAACGCGTGTCGACATCCATCCATGGCCGGAAAGTAAACCTTCTTCATCGTCTCCGTCAGCATGAGGTGGTCGAATTGGCGCTTCAAGTCCCACACGCTGATCTTGGGATTCGAGAATTCGGGCATGGTATTCAAGACATCAGCGCCGCGGCCCACTTGGCGAGGGCCCAGCACTGCGTCGGCATACCTTGCGAAGAAAGTCGTCCTGGCCTTGGCCGACTTCCTAGGAATAGTCGCGATGGCGCGGTCGTCATCATTGTCCTCGACGTCCTGATTCTGCTGGGAGCGCTTTCGCGACCCCTTTTCGGCGGCCTTGGTGGGATTGTAGTCCACGAACTTGACCGGGCGTCCAGCTCGGAGCGGCTTCTCACTTACCAGAGGGGAGCTGGTGCTTGAGCTCGGTTGTGTGCTCGTTGATGACGAGGCCGATTTTGTCGAGGCCTGACCGGATTTGGAGCGCTGTTGCTGTTGCTCATTGTGCTTCACGCTGAGCATAGCATGGGAACGGATCTGTTTCAAGTAGTTCCCCTTCTTGAACTCCTCTGGGTTGTCGGTGGTGAGGAACTGGAAGTCCGGCATGATTACATCGGTGGTGTGGGGAAGGTTCCTGATCGGGACCGTCGGTGGCTTCTTTCGCGCACCCGGCCGATCGAGCAAGGGCGAACGAACTTTCCAGGCAGGTATACCAGTCCTGGGCAGAGGTGCACGAGCCGTGGCCTAGCTTGGTGGCTAGGGGCGTTCTCTTGCCTTGTAAATGGGTGCGAGTCTAGCGGCTGGGGTGCCAGTACCCCGAGTGGAGAGGTGGGAGGAGACGTTGCAGGCGATAGAGGAACTGGCTTCCATCCCTCAGCCTTACGAAACGTTGAGCCGCATTGGTGTCCGTGGCAATAATACGCGGATACGACGGCGCTTTGCGGTTTTTGGGGGTTTGTAACGCTGCTGTAATCTCACGGCGGAATGCAATTGGTGGTGGAGGGGGGCGATCAATTGCTGACGGCGGCTGACAACGGCTGAAGTTCTGAATTGGGCCGGCAAGTACGCATCGCGGCCCTTCTCCGATGTCCGAAGGGGTGCTCGGCGCTGACGCTCAACGGGACACTTTCGATAGGCTGCAGCTGCGCCAATATTCAGCTCAGCGTCCTCTTTGCGAGAAGGCGCCACGCTTCCAAGCTATCCGCTGCGCCTAGCTGGCTAGTTGCACATGACTGGGATATCGAGTTGCGCTCTCGTTCGTTCCGATCTGTATTGCAGTTCTCGTGGTCTGGGTGCTGCTCGGCTAGTCGGATTCTGCCAGAATTGGTCGCATGAAGCGAAGGATTGCGGAGCTGAGCAAGCTGTACCTATATATACTTCGCTTATAAACTAGGGGCTTGGCCGCCTCATCCGCCAGCAGTACTCTTCAACACGCTGTGAATCCTCGAGGCCAAAGATGGGGTTGATCCGTATCATCCGTATCATCGTCCTGGTGCGACAGCTCATCGCCAGAATGAAGTGTTGGTGGTTGCCGGCAAATCCCTCCGGCATTTAGACGGTCAGCAACAGCTGATTTGAAGCGCGAAGGAGTGATAGTATCCCAGAAGTCGTGATTAGTGACGTCAATCCTGCCCCGGTCAACCGGAGCGTTCAACACCCGCTTGCGGCCATGCCGGTCGAGACTCATTATTCGCGTGTAGCGCGCGACCCAAACGTAGTAGCAGCATAGACTTCTTTTCTACCTGGGTATAGGTCCATATTCGTCGAAACGCCAGCACACGCGCTGCGCGTACCGTAAAAATATCGTGACAGCTTGAGCAGTTCACGCCCACTCTATTCTTCGTCTGTGAGCTGAACGTCCTCCGCCTCACTGCCCAATTCGTCCTGCACAAGGTTTCCCTCGTCTCCCTCATCTCCCTCGTATCCCTCCTCTTCGTCTTCGTCGGAGTCTTCGTCGCTACTCGTTCCTGAGCCCTCGCTCTCGCCTTCGGAGCCGGGGTCGTAGTCTTCCTCATCCTCATCTTCCTCGTCCTCCAACATCCTCTGCGCCTTCTCCAACTCTGTCTCACCGTCGCCAGCCGCGGCTACATCCTCGCTCTGGCCCTCCTCAGGGCCGTTGACATTGTACATCTGCGCTTTGCGCTGTGCGGCCATCGAGGCATCGTTCAGACCGTGATGCTTGATGTACTGGTCAATGCCCGTGTAGTCGGCCTGGTCGAGCATTGAGAATTCAATCTCCTGGCTCTTCTGCTCAGGACCGCTGGCATTGATAGTGATATTAAGGTTAAAGGTGCGTTGCAGCACCGACGTGTACGAGATGGACTCGACACTACCAAAGGAGAAGTAGACCAGCGGCTTCTTGAAGCCAAAAACGATACCAACGCTTGTAAGGAATAAGAAGCCTAGTCATCGTCAGCTCCAAATCGCATTTTCGCTGGTCGTGCTGTGGCACATATGCCAAGTGATTCTCAGACTTACCCTCTTTGCTTCCTCTAAACGCCTTGACGTGGAATCCAGGCTCACCTTTGAGGTGGCTCTGAGGGATGGTGCTCTGGAACTCCTCTTTGGTCGGGAATACGACCTTCTTTCCAAACGGCGTCAAAAATCCATTCAGTCGCTCCGCCATGAACTCTGGTCCCGTCTCTGCGCCACCTTCCAGCTCCTTTTTCGTCGGCTCTTGGAAAGTCCAGACAATTTGCTCCGGTGGCGTCGTGCCCTCAGGTGCAGTGCTCAGGCCGTCATTGCCCTTTGGTATGATGATGAAGTTCCATTGGCGCTTGGCCTTCTCCGGAATCGGGAGGCAGAAGACTTGCTCTGCAGTGATACGCGACGACGTCAGCATACAAAAAATATATCCAGTGTCAAAAGGCCCAGAACATCAGGACTGGACAAGGAAAAGCGCGTGCAACTCACCAACATCCCTAAAGCCAATACCAAACTCGACGTTCGCCCCACCGCCCGAGCAGGCACGCAGGCCGCCGCCGGAGCTGTCCCCAGCTCCCGACGCGGCCACCAGCTGCAGATGCAGCTTCTTACGCTGCGGGATCGAGAAGCTCACGTCCGGCAGCGTGAAGTCTGCACCCGCCGCGCTGTTCGTCCATGCCCCGATTGTTCCTGCACCTGCTGCAGCCTCGGCGCCGCCTTCGATCTTCCGCTTCTTCGTGGCGGGCTCGTCGGTGCGGCTTGCCGTCGCGCCATTCGTGGCCAAGGTGCTCGGAGGGGGGTTCTGGCGCAGCTGAAGGATGTACGACGAAATGGACGAGAATAGCGGTTGGTGCTGGGGCGATTCGCCTGCATAATTTATCCCCAGTTAGATTTGCCCTCCTTCAAATTTCTCCAATACTGCATGAATTGCGGGTGATGGGGCCGAATCGCCTTACCGATGGCACTGTATACACGCTTCTTCAGCTCCGGCTGGTCGGCGAATGCCTGCTCGACCTCAGGCAGGCTTTCAGGTGCTGGTGCCGGAATGGGTACGGTTTGGGGAGGCGCGCTCGGTGGGGCGGCTGCGGCGGTGGGCCGCGATGAGAAGGCTGTGAATTGCGACATTCGGAGTCGCTTTTCTGCAACGTTGTTGTGGTGTATTGTTGTTGTCGAGGGCCGAGCGCGGCGGCCGCATTGCCCTTGGCCGTTCGCGCCTGGCGGAGCGAGGCGACCGCCACCACGCGATCCGCATTTTGGCGCGCAAGGCTATCCCGACGTTGTTCCTTCCCCGTCTCATCAAACTTCACAATAATAGTTGGTCATTGACGAAATTCAGACCATTTATGCATTGTTCACCTAATGAAAGGCACAGCCACATAAATATGCTGGTGTCTCGTGTTCCTACCCATCATTCCGTTATCCACTCTTAAACTCAAGACGCTCCCGTCCAATTTTTTTCAGCAGATTGTTTTTTTTTGTCCTACGGAAGCCAGTCTTGGAAAACTCAGTGTACTCAAGCGAGTTCGAGAAATCGAACCATGCTCGTTTTTAATCTCCTTCATTTTATAAGCCAGTGATTTGCTGTGGATGCTGCGCAGTCCATTTGACTGGCAGTCGGCGAGAGCAAGCCTTATCATCCGTCCACTTCTAGACCGCTGGGAAGTCCTTTCATTTCAACCAGCATACTTCGATCCGGAGAGGCCATTTTTCACAGCAGACTGCATCTCCGGCTCAGTGGATTCAGTCGCCTCCGTCTTCTGCTGCTCCTCTTTCTTGTTCTCCTCCTTTGGCGCATACTTTGAACCGGCAAGACCACTCTTCTTTACAGCTGCCATGAACTCATCAGGCGAAGCGAGCTGGCCTGCTTTGGTAGCAGGAGGATGTCTGCGGTTCGTAGCGAGGATGGCGCTGGAGGAAGAGCTGCCCACCGTCGAGCTCGCCATCGACACAGACGACATGGAACTGTTGGCGCGGTCCATCATCGGTGCTATATGAGCACCGTTAGCAGAATCTCCATTGTTGTTCTTGGAAAATTGCTGCCGACTGGGGATGCCATTGCGACCACGATTGACTTGAGCAGGCGGACGCTGGTTGCTAAAAGGCCGGTTCGTAGTAGTGGCTCCCCCAACAGGCTGAACTGCATGACCAATGCTTCCTCCACCACGAACAACGGAGGCCTTCTTCCTGCGCGTAGGTAGACCCTGGTCTGCATGGATATCTGAATGAGGGTTGAGAGATCCCGGCCTCGTCATACCATTGTGTCCAGTGTTGTTCGGGATATAGCCGGCGCGGCCACTAACGGCATATCCTCCGCGACGCGAAGGCCCCGAAGGAGCGAAGGGTCTGTTGTTCGAAGCAAGCGGGCGTGGGCTAGAGACCGAGGGGCGGGCTTTTCCGCCCTTGTAGGAACCCTTGCTAAAGGCAATCATCAGATATCAACCCTAGTTGAAAGGAAATGGCGCCTTACAACTGGAGCGCTTTAGCCAGAGCCAAAGGGTCAGCTTCACCCGGGTTGTTCAGGCTCGGGTTCAGAGCAGGTTCGCTACGACGGGCTGGAGGACCAAACATGGTGCTGTTGGGGTCATATTGTTTGCGCACAGGTTGCTTGATGACCTCTCCGCGCGCCTGACGGTTGAGACGGAAGAGTTGGCCGTCGTGGAGACGGTCTTGCGCCTCGGCATCCAGATCACGGTCAGTGGTGGTGAGGTGGAAGTCTACAACGAACGTGATCAGCTTGGACTCCCACTTTGACCAGATCTCGGATCTTAAGACTCACTCTTCCATCCAGCGACCAACGGGTTGGCAGGATTTCCAACACGTCCGAAAATCTGGTTCGGGGTGGCAGGCGGAAAGCGCATACGAGCGAAGTCATCGCCGCGATCGAAGGAGGCGAGCACACTCTCACGGTTAAAGGTGCCCAGCTCGTACCTGAAGGCGTCGGACTGGTCGTTGTCGACGCCTTGAGTGACGCCATGATTGCCGGCAGGATTGTCCAGCATGTTGGCGTCGGCGCGTGCGACAACGACGATTGGCGGTAGGGTTTCTAGAGATCCAGCCGAGGAGGCCCGTAAGCGAAACGGAAAGGTTGTGAAAGGGAGAGAGAGTGGAAGGAAGGAAGGCCACGCAGCGGGAGGTTTAAAAGGCAGGGACGCGCCTTCCAGAAACGACGCCGCTGCCACCAACCAACCGACTCGATTCGAGAACCACGCAGAACGCGTGCGGACTGGTAGCTGTTTTTCATGCAGGGCTCCGTCGCGTGCACATCGCAGTTGCCGGTCCTTTCGCGCAGGTTCTACAACACAATTGGCTCAATGGATCCCCATGCGGCTATAGTTGTGCGAGGACAGTCCGAAAGTTCTAATTTTGCTGCAAATTGATCCTTCAGAAGCGCCTTCCGAGCCTGCATCGGCCAGTTGTGCCTTGAAAGTTAGTAGATTCAAATGAAAATCCTTTTCTTTGAATTGGGAAGATTTACTACAACACACAAAACAGCTATCTTCACACGTAAAATCTCTGACGCCTTATCCCAGACAATGCTTGTAATCAGATACCGTAAGCATCCCATAGATTTGCCGTGAGCTTGCATAACACTTGAAAGTACTCCATTTTGTTCATGTTCTTGCTTTTTTCTTTCGGTTTATTGTCGTTGCCAAAATATTCATTTCCTCCAAATTCAGTGCCATGCACTCCAGATGATCACTGAAGCCCTTGGACTATCTTGTTAAGACGATAACAACACACGGCTGCCTCACTTCCATGAACGACTATCTCCGCGACCCAGAACCGGGTTCAGCAGTTCACTTCTCCAGTAGACTTGATAAATTACGTACCAGAGAGATTCTTCAAACCCCGGTAATAATGCATCTTCGCCGTTCAGAGTGAGTGAAACCAACCAACATCTTTGGCATACAGCGGGACATCTCGTCGGTGTGGCCAAGCCATAGCTCTGAACCTTTACTCTTTCGGCTATTACTCTCTGCTACCAGTTACTATTTCAACGAGTAAATCCAGGTTTGTTTCAGGTACCTATCGACCAGCATCTCGGTTGACAGTACTATGGGTACAACCCGGAACCCAAACATGAGTTGGATGTGAAGGTGGTTGGTTTGAAGACCCACAATAATGAGCAATAGCAGTCGCTCGCACCAACCACCTAAGAGGCCTCCTCCCCCTCCTTTACTGAAACTATTGGCTCGGCCTTCTTGGAAACCTTACAGTTCCTGACCATGCAGCAACAACCGGTCTCAGCGTCAATACGAGGTCGATTCGCTGAGAGATGCAATAAAGTCGAGGTGTTCGAGGCTATTATCCAAATGTCTTTGTTCACATACGTCGTATATTCATGTGCAGACGTATGCTTCAACCGCCCGTCCTCTGTTGCAATACCAAGCGAATCAACCTCGTAACATCCTGGCGACCCCCCCTTTCCAGGAGATCCTCAATACGGCCATAGGGCTGTCTGCACCGGCCCCATCATTTGGGACCGTAGCGAACGCTCGGTTTCGTTTCCCATTTGACAGCACATGCAGGCAGTCGAGACGATCCCCGTGCCGTTGCCCCTCCACGCATTACCACGGACCCACCGGTCGTCGAGGCTTTGAAAACGTCGAGCCCGAGCGCGGTACCATTTTCGCGGGGCGGAGTAAGCAAGAAATACAGTCATCACAATAGCTCTTGTAGCCGGTCTCGCATCCCGTACAGTAAGCGCGGTGTAAGTAGGTGGTGATCTTTGGCGGTAAAATGGCGACGTGTTCGACCGAGAGCAGCGCACACCAGCTCTGCACCGGGCGCACGACTACAGTTTTCGGTTAGGAACTCGTATAAGAAGACAACGGGGATGAAGGGAAAGAAAAGGGGAAGGCGGCGGGAAGGGCCGAGATGGCTCCATTGGGAGAGCTGGAGCTGAGGTGGCGGCTGTAGTTGGTGGAGAAGGCATGGATCTTGAGTATTGAGGCTTGAATATTTGCTTTTTTCAATCTGCTCTCGAACGATTCATTTTCTCTCAATCAGATCAGCTCGGAATTTCGAAGAAGAGGAAAAGAGGAGAAGGCACAGAGGCGAGTAGAATCCATGGGGTCATATCAAGCTTTCTGACAATTGACCAATTTCCTGACCAGGTCACACCAAGCTCTATTCGTGGGTGAGTAGCGTGGGCTGAGACGAGTGTACAAATGAATACACATTCTTCACATGATCCCAAGTGCTCTCTCGTGTACCGCTTGAGACTGCGGCTATGCTGGCTTGGTGACTTTGGGCGACATGCAGTCGGGTTGGCGGCAGCTTACGAACCGCGCCTGACAGGTCAGCGTCAGCGCTTGAGGAGGAGCGGCGCACAGTCAGAGCTAATCAAACGGGGCCGAGGGGAGGGAGAATAGGGAAGCAGGTGCGGAGAAAAGTAGGCGCGGAGAGATGGACTGACACGTGCAGCCCCTTCTTCCCCGCCTTGACGGTGTTTTGTTGGGGCCGAAAGCCGACCCCGAACACCTGTCACCATACACACCCTACATACGCGGGCATGCCTGCCAACGTGCACCCGAAACCGAGGACCGTAAGCTGGGGTCAGAGCCTGATTTCTGCCGGCATGAGGCCACCCGGCGGAATCTTCCCCTTGGCCGGATTACTCTAATCAACGCGCTTGGATGCGCAGAACCCTGCACCTTCGCACATCAAGAGGCGGGATACGAGCAGATTCGCAGTCGATCATACTGCTGGCAACCAACAGGAGTGGAGGCTCATGACGAGGAGCTTGGGCTCTCTCTACGGAATGACGACAACGAACGAACCCTCATCCACAGAATTCCACGGCTTAGAGATGCGAAAGCCAATCTAGAGGACGGCACGGCCTAAGCGTGATGAGCCGCGTGTGCGGCCCGCATGAGGCTTCGCAGCCAATCCCGACTGCCGCCATCCATTTTCCGCTTTCAGATGCCGTGAGGTTGCGGACTATTTTGCCCTCCTAGATTGAGTTTGTGCAACGATTTCAGTTTCATTTCAGTTTCCACGGCTCCGCTGACAGCCCAAGAGGGCCATGTATGCAGCAGGGAAGCCCGCGCGTCCTCACAGACGAGCTCGGTAGTCAGACATGACGTCCGCCTGCAATATATACTGTAGGAGATCCCGGATGTGACTGTCGGCTGACCGGAGGCGGAATCCAAGGCAGCAGTCTTGACAATAGTGCGAACCGGAGCTATAGCGGCGATGAAGGGCTCACCTGCCGCTGGCTCGGTAGACGGGTACCTAGCTTGCTTTTCCCTCTGGACTGGAACGCCCACATGCACGCAACCATAAGTCGAGAAATGCAGGAGTCAGGACCTTGCAGTGGCGCTCACGCCGGTTCCTGAGCCTGTGAGATCAAACCACGAGCCGAAGGGTCTCACCGCGAAGCCACAGAGGGCGTGAGGTACATATGGCGGTACTGGTTTACTCAGCTCGTCGGCGCTAGCCACAGCCTCAGAGATACATGGCGCTCCGAGTGGCTTTGCGCGCGCGATGGAGTCGAGTGGACGGTAGCGGTAAAGCATGCCAAGCTTGATCGGCGGAAAGAAGCTCGCGGTAGCTCGACACGGAGGCTGAGGTTCCCTGCAAATCATAGGGGCGGGCTTGCCAATACTCCGACCCAAGCTGAGATGGCGGGCGGCCTGGAAGATGCTCGTGGCGTGTGCACCAGGTCGGGTTCAGGTGGAAAGTAAAAAGGCACGCAAGGGCGCGAGCGCATGGCCACGGAAGCTTTGGAAGGTGCCGTATTTGGCACCGGGTACGAGGAACTCTGGCTCGCCGCACGTGATGGCCGAGGCAGGGATAGCGGGGCGCTGCCGCTGCACCGCCGGAAGCCAACAAGCTCGGAGCCATGGGAAGTCTGACGTGCCTACCTAGTGCATCGCCTCTCTCGTCACCCTTCTTCCGCGCGCGCCCTTCGAGTCACTCCACGCTCGTGCACCCCGAGGGAGATTATCTGTATCACGCCCAGCAGTGCGCGCTGCTTGACTCCGCACTCCAGGCCGCGCCATTAGCCGGGGCGCGGGCAGGTTATATTGCCCTGGCTTCCGCCAGCGCCATGGGCTGCACTCTTGTCTCCGGCTGACATGCGGGCGCAGCGTGGGCGGCCGGTCACAGCGCAGCGCCGTCGCCCGTCAGCACCATGAAGCAGCGCCGTTCTAGACGCGCCACCCGCCTGGCTCGTCGACAGTGCAGGGGCCTGCCGTTGCGCTGGGGATGCGGAGCTCGCGACACCGCTGCGTACCGGCAGGTCTCACTCGACCATTGGCTGCGCGTCGCACAGTTGGCCAGCCTTGCTTGCCGCCATTGGTTCCGTCGTACCACCCGGCGAATCAGCTCCGTCCAAGCTCGCCGTCCTGCATCGCAGGATTGCCCCAGTCCGCCGATTCCGTCTGAGGCCCTGGCGTCCGTGGCGATCTGCGCTGGATGGCAGCCCTGTGCTTCCACATTTCTCAGCTTTGGCCCTCTTGTTTCCACCGCTCTGGTTGAACGCTTCCCATTTTTCTCCCGCGTCGCTGCCCTCGTGTTGTTGTTGTTGTTGAGAGAGCCCTTTCTCCGTCTCTCGAGGTTTTGTGATTCGACACCTCCGCTGCCAGGCGCGCGCAGCGAGCGCTCCCAGCAGCCATGGCTCCGCTTCTCTCAGGATACCTGATCGCCGCTGCCCTTGCAGCCTTGCAGCCAGCCCATGCCAAAGACCCCATCCGGGACTTCTGCCGCCGCTGGGGACACCAGACCGCCGTAGTCGACAACCGCCTGTACATCGATGGCGGCCAGCTCACGTGGAATCCCATGTCACAGAACCCGCTCAACTACACGAGTATGATTATGCCTTGCTATGAGCCTGCCCGCCCCCTCTACTGACTGCCGTCGCAGATTCTTGGCTGCTCTACAATGATCTCGAAGACTCTTCGTCTGGAATGCCGCAACTCCATGCTGATCTTAACAAGACACGAAATGTGCCTGATCTCAGCGGTGGCGTCCTGTGGGCCGATGAAGTGAACAAGGTCCTGTACCTCTACGGCGGCGAATACACTGACTCCACTCCTGAGGCCTTTAAACCCTGGGCTTACGACATCTTGCTCAACCAATGGAACCAAACCGACGTCAGTGCAGCTGCTGGAATTCAGAGAGTATCCTATGGCGCAGGTGTAACTGTAAATGAGACTGGGATTGGTTACTACCTCGGCGGTTGGCTCAACAACAACACAGTCCCTGGATGGGGAGCTGAGCCGATGCTCACCAGCAACCTCATAATATACGACTTTGTTAACGATGCCTGGACTAACAACACCGGCTATGACCAAACCGGCCGAGGAGAAGGCGTCATGGTCTACCTTCCAGCTTCTGACAAAGGCCTTCTTGTCTACTTTGGTGGCGTCATTGACCCCTTTGACAATGGAACCGTTGTAGGGGTAAGTTATGAGAAACTCAAATCGCAAAGCACTTACTAACCTGAATATCTGACAGGATGCTTTGAGTGTAAGCCACGTCTGAGACAGTCAATCTGGACAATATCTAATAGCACGCGCAGAACATTTACATTTACGACATTGCTTCGACGAAATGGTACAAGCAGACTGCCACTGGAGAGATTCCTGACATGAGACGAAAGTTCTGTGGCGGTGTAACCTGGGCACAGGACAAGTCGTCTTACAATGTGTAGGTCATTCGCGTGCCTCCTGTGGATCCTCAGCTGACTGGCTCAGTTACATCTATGGCGGCCAAGGCATCACAAACACAACAGGCTATGACGACGTCTACATACTAACGATGCCTTCCTTTCAATGGATTAAGTGGTATCCGACCGAGGCTGGACCCGGAAACCCACATGGCATCTCATCGTGCAACGTCGTCAACAGTGCGCAAATGCTCATCATCGGCGGATGGTTTGCACAACACCAGGACTGTGACTCGCCAAGTGTCTGGGGCACCCATAACCTGAACCTGGGAAAGAACGGTCCGCAAGATGCAATGTGGGATTTGTTTTACCCTAACATCACCGAGTACTTGGTGCCGCCAGAGATTGTTGCCAAAATCGGCGGAGAGTATGTTGTCCCCTATGGCGGCTGAGCTCAGAGTACTGACTGCTGTTGTTTAGCTCTCGTGGAAGCGCGACGAACAAGGCTCCGGACACGTGGGATAACCGAGATCTACCAGTATACTTCTCCAGGTTTCCGACGTTCGCAGCTCGCACGGCGACAAGAGATGTTTCCGCGGCAACGGGTGGCAGCAACAGCACCTCATCCGGTGACTCGGGCGACTCTAATGTGGGCGCAATCGTCGGTGGCGTTGTCGGTGGAGTTGGCGGATTGCTTCTGGTTCTGGGCCTGGCGTGGTTCTGCCTCCGACGGAGGAAGAAGAGCAAGGACGGAGTCAAGGAAAAGCAACCGCTGCAAACGAATCCAGTTGAGCTTGCGGCAGATGATAGCACCAATCTCGAAGGTGGGGTTGTTTCCGAGCTTTCAGCAACAAACAGCCATAGATTTCGTAAGGATCCTGGATCGCCGGCCGACCACAACCTCTCTCCCGTCTATACTCAACACAGCGTATCACCTAATACGACTTCACCAATAATAGGGCACTCCGGCGGATTTCCAGTATCACCCACGACGCCTTACGCGCCCGGCGGACCACCTGGCATGGCGGGGGGCTACATGCAGCCACCTTTGTCGCCTAACGCTCCGCAGTACATGTATCCAGCTGGTCCTCCCGGTACTCTACCGCAATACATGTTCCAACCACCGCCGCCAAACGCTCAGCCTTATGACCCTTCGCAGCATGCACTGCACAACGAGCACTTCCCACCTCCACCGTCACCGTCACCACGGGCAGGACATGTCGGGCTTGGAATTCCGTCGGGTTCACATCCGGGGATGACGGCAACTCCCAGCGACTACTCGCGAGAATCGGAGCCCGATTCAGCATATCCGACGACATCATCGAACACGCCGGCGCACTTTTATCCGCAGCCGTTGCACGTCGGTCGAAACGTAACACAGAGCACACACGCGAGCGACACGCCGCTTGTAGGCCAAATCAGCGAAAGCATAGGGTCGGTATCAGGATCCGGCTCTTCGGGAGGGGTGAAACAGCCAGTAAGAGGAAAGTTCAGAGAAGAGGCACACGACTAGTAAATGACCGGGATTCGATAATTTTGGTAGAGTCTTATTAATGTTGGTTCTCATTTCCACCGTCGCACTCGGCGTTCAATTCAGGAGTCAATGTCTGGGGCCGAACGGCACATAGGATTGTTAGGTATTTCTTGTTTGAACAGCGGATCTGCTCGATACCTGGAAAGGAAATATGGGGGCGGACGGACGTACGTCACAAGATGCGAGGGGCGGCCCCTTGCGGGATAATTAATCATGCAGCTTGTTCCTGCAAACCCGGTCGAGTGATTAGAGAGTGACGATCGCATGCCTCAGCGGACAATTGTTGGCTCTCTCATATCGAGATGCTGCACGTGTGGCCGTTTTCCTAGGACCGCACGCCCGGGGCTGGCTGACATGCAGCAGGGCGCCACGCGATCCGACGCAGTGCTTGAGCCTCTCGCTTCGCAGCGCCGTTTGCGGGCGTGCGGCAGAGCGACCAAGGAACGGACTGCATGCTCTGCGTAACGACAACAACAACGCAGCCGCGCGCGCGCGCTTAGAGGCCTCAGGCGGCAACACGTGCGGTTAGGTTGCGCGGCCGCATCTGGGAGAAGATGACTAGAGAGCCGAATATAGAAATAAGGGACAGCCCTAACGCGCCGATCCCCCGAGCGCCGCCCAGCTGTCCAGAAGCGGCTGCGCGGCGGTGCGCTGCTCTGCGGCTGGCTGACGACAGGCCCCAGCACCCTGACACGACACCAAAATCCACAACCCACGCCTGCTCTCTACTCCCCCACGACGCACCGCCGCACCCAGCAGACGACCTCCCCCGCACCCGAGCCCCCCCTTTGCCCAAGAAAATGCTGAGGTAAACCACCGGAATCATCAATGCCTCGCTCCGACGCCAACGACGCCGACGAGGTCCTGGGACTCCTGGGCAACGCCGCCCACCAGGAGCTCGAGCTCGAGCTCGAACCGCAGCCTTCCTTCACTCACCGCCACACCGACGACCTGGGAATCACATCGCAGAGTCCCTACGACACCAGCAGCAGCAATCACGACAACAACCTCCTCACCTCCTCACCGCAATCCCTCTCCCCCTCGCCGTCTCCCGCTCCCGCCACCGCCGCTCACCGACCGCTGCCGCTCACCTCCATACCACGCGCGTCCTCGGCCTCGCCTGCTCCAGATGCTACCCCGTCGCCCGCCCTCGGCGCCAACGGCAAACCCGCGCTTCCGCGGCGGCAGTCGAGCCTGGCGCAACCCCGGCCGGACGGCACGCCGCGGACGCCAAACCGGGTGCGCTTCGACGAGGAGGCGGAGCTGATCCCGCTGGAGGAGCACTTCCGCCGCAGCAGCGAGGGAGGCGCCAACAGCAACGGCGGCCGAGGACCCGCAAGGTACCACAATGTCGGCGGCGGGCCGCGGCAGCATCCGTACGCCACGCGCATGCCGCTGGGCGGCGACAGCGACAGCGACGAGGGCGGCGACGACCGGGCGTGGGCCGACGAGGAGGACTTTTTGTCGAACGGCGCGGCGGGCGGCAGGGGGAGAAGAGGCAGGCGCAGCAACAGCAACGGCGGGAGGGGAGGACGGGAACAAAGGCTGCCGCTGCTCACGGATATCGAGGCGCCGAGCGTCACGGTTGCGAATTCGGATGTTGGATTCGCCCCCGAGGATCTCTTGGAGAGCGCGAGGCCGAAGAGCGGGCTCAGGAGCGCGTTCATGAATATGGCTAACAGCATCATGTACGTTTTGGAATATCCCCTCTCCTTTTGCTGGTTCTATTTTGAGGAATCGTGGAGGGTTGTGGCGGAGCTGTCAGGGACTCGAATCTGTCTCTTTTTGGTTCATGTCCTGGGTTGGGTCAAGCTAATGGTGATTTCTCTTCTTCAACAGTGGCGCTGGCATCATTGGTCAACCTTACGCTTTCAAACAAGCGGGTCTGCTGACCGGTATTCTTCTACTTGTGGTCCTGACCGTCACCGTCGATTGGACGATCCGCCTCATAGTCGTGAATTCGAAGCTCAGTGGAGCAAATTCGTTCCAAGCAACTGTGCAACATTGCTTTGGAAATTCCGGCTTGATAGCTATAAGCGTTGCCCAGTGGGCTTTGTGAGTGGTCCCTCAGAAAACGGTGGAAAATTATGGAAGAAAGTCAAAACTGACCGGCCTGCAATTGTAGTGCGTTTGGCGGCATGATAGCATTTTGCATTATCGTAGGCGACACCATCCCGCATGTGATGGAAGCACTGTTCCCTTCGCTACCCGATACCCCATTCCTATGGCTGCTCACGGACAGACGAGCAGTCATTGTTTTTTTCATTTTGGGCATTTCCTATCCCCTTTCGTTGTATAGAGATATTGCCAAGGTAAGTTTGAGCAGCATCACCCACTGCTTTGTGATCAGGCACTAACAAAAGCAGTTGGCAAAAGCATCAACATTGGCTCTTATTAGCATGCTCATCATCATCGTGGCGGTTCTCACGCAAGGTCCGAGAGTTCCTCAAGACATGAAAGGTCAAATTAGAGGAAGTTTAATCATCAATGACGGCGTTTTTCAGGCTGTGGGCGTTATCTCATTTGGTAAGTGTGATGATCCCAAAACTTAAGCTGTATCATTGCTAACACAAACTTAGCTTTTGTATGCCGTAAGCACACACCTATCTCCAAAATGCATTCCAGCCACGATGAAATGTGCTAAAGTTCAGCAGACCATAACTCCCTCCTTATCTATGGCTCCCTTAAAAAGCCCACACTCGACCGCTTTTCCAAGGTCACGCACTTCAGCACCACGGTATCGATGATCGCGTGTCTGCTCATGGCGCTCGCTGGCTACTTGACCTTTGGTGACAAGACACAAGGGAACGTTCTTAACAACTTTCCAACCAACAACGTCTTGGTCAACGTCGCTCGTCTGTGCTTCGGCCTCAACATGCTGTCAACGTTACCACTCGAAGCGTTCGTCTGCCGCGAGGTCATGGAGAATTACTATTTCCCCGGTGAGCCGTGGGATGCGAGTAGACATCTCATCTTCACCACGACGCTAGTGACCAGTGCCATGGGTTTGAGCTTGATGACATGCGATTTGGGTGTTGTCTTCGAGTTGGTCGGAGTAAGTTTTTTTTTTTTTTTCGCACGGTCTCGCCCATGATATATCCTTCGATACCCTTGATATTTTCTCTCCTCCTTTGCTAATGAATCTGCACGGTAGGCAACATCCGCTTGCGCACTCGCTTATATCCTTCCACCTCTATGCTTCCTCAAGCTCTCAACCAAGAGGTCCGGCCGCACGGAACGCATCTGCGCTATGGCCTGTGTGGCCTTTGGCTGTTCCGTCCTGGGCGTCAGCTTGGTTCAGGCCGTCACGAAGATGATGCGCAATGAAGGAGGCGTGGCCACTTGCAACTAGAGGAACGATCGACGACAGGATTAAAGGAATGGGAGGAAAAGGGAAAAAACATTATTTTTTTCAAAGGGCGGGAACTTGCTATGAATTTTCAAAGAAAGTATGAAAGGATATGAGGGGGGTGGATAATTGATTTGGATCGGAAGGGAATGAATTAGGGACACCAGCATCTGCATTTATCAAGGGAGACGGAATCACCATCAAACGGTCATCTTGGTTGTTTTTCGCTTTCGTTTTGTGTGCGTCGTGTGCATTGCAAGGTATCCGGTCAGGCGGACGGGGTCCGAAGGAGTTTTGGTTTCTTGTTTACGTCTTTAAGAATCGGTTCACGGTCGTTAGACGAGCACGCTGTCTATGCGCGTGTGGCCAGCTTTTACTGTACGCCTTGTATATGGACTGCGTGTATGTATATGATTAGTAAAATGAGATGGCGCGGCCTCGTGCTAGCGTTTTGGATGATAAAGCAGAGCAACTAGGCGCGAGTCCTGTTGTTTCTTATGATGAGAATGCCCGCCTTCCTGTATCTAAAGTTGTTAGTGAGAATGACAAATTTCGAGTCGAAGATCCGTCAAGCGACAAACTATTCGCGGTGAAATGGGGTAGTTATACTATATATTAATTCTTTCATTTCGCTCTATGCGTCTCTTGTAGTGAGTGGTTTATGTCGCCTTCGCAACCTATCTACTAGCCTCTGGAGCCGTACTCATCGTCAAGTATATTGATACACATGCACAATCCCAAAGAAGCGCCACCAAGCATACGCGCATGCCCGTAATATCCAAACGCCTACTAAATCTGTATCCCAATCTCCCAAAAAAGACGCCAATCCAGCGATCCAACAAACATACAACAGAAAGAAAAAGCCAAACACAGCTGATCATCATCTTCTCTCCATGATCAGTCACAACTCGGTATCTGAGCTCGTCCGCTGCCTCTTTTTCGATGGCCGGATTGCGACATTTTCAGTACCTGCAAAATCTGAGCTCGCGGTCCCTGCAGTCACAGCACCGCTCCCACCCAGACGCCTCTGGCGACCACGAGTGGGACTCACATTTCGCGAAGAAGGGCCCAGGGTGCGCAGCGCGTCGAGCGACCTGGGATCGACCGAGCCGCCAGCTTGCGGGTGCCTGCTCCTCCCCTCTCCACCGTTCCCATCTCGGGACCTCGTCCTCAGCGTCTCCCCGGATAACGAAGCATCGGGCGCCTCGATCCTCTTCCCCCTCGGTGTCTCCTGTGCGCCCTCTTCCTCGTCCTCGTCTTCTTCCTCTTCCTCTTCTTCCTCTCCTCCCTTTCGTCCTCCCTCCACCGTCTTCGGGCTGCCCCGCACATCCTTCGCCCTGGGCTTTGCCAAAGCCTTATTCATCCCCTCGAGCAAGCGCTCCGTCCCCTTCCTAAACGTCGTCAAATCCCCCACCACGCCGTCGTAATCAGCGCGAAGATCGGCATTCTCCTGCTTGAGCGCCCAATTCTCGGCCTGCAGCTCGAAGACGCGCTCCTCGAGCGTGCCGATGCGCGCATCCAGCTTCTTCTCGGTCGCCTCGAGCGCGTCGTTGCGGCGCTCGAGCCACTGCTTCTCCTCGGCGCGCTTGGCCACGGTGCCCTCGAGCCACTCGTTGCGCTCCGCCAGCCGCGCCGTCTTGGACTCGTACTTGTCGCGCTGCGACGCCAGCTTCGCCGTCAGCTTGGCCCGCTGGTCCGACAATTTGGCCTCGTACGCCGCCCGCTGGTCTGCTAGGTCTGCTCGTAGGATCGCTAGCTCTTCTTCTAGCCGCCGCGAGTGCTCGACTTGCAGCCGCGGGCTGCGCGGCGGCTCTGGGTACGCCTGCTGCGCTGGTGCGACGGCGTCGGTCGCCGGCTCTTCGTCTTGAGGCTGAGGCTCCTCGCGTGGGGCGTTGGAAAAGAAGCGGAACATGCTGTTGTGTGACGTGCGATGTGTTGCGGCGTGCTTGCGATATGGAGCGAAGCAGGTGTGTTGTGGTTTGATGGGTAGAGTTGCGGGAAAAGCGAGGAAGACGAAGAATTTTGGGAGAATTTATGTGGAAGGGAAGCTGAATGAAGTCTTAAAAAGTACAGGGTGTGAATTGAAATTGAAACAAAGTGCGACTGTCTCAGTTGATACACCGCGGGCCTTGGGTTGTGTTAGTGAATGGTGTCCTGGAACCCCTCATCGGCGAGAGTCAAGAGTGATTGGAATCCATGACTTACGCAAACGGAAGGTGAATTTGTGATACGTTTCTAGAAGGGACGTTTGGTGGTGAAGAAAGTCCGTGTTTACATTGAGCGTCTCGTTGGCCGGCCAACTTGTGGGGCAGGACGCGGCGGTGCATCTCATCTCAGCCACACGGGGCAGCCACATGGACATGCTGGTGCTAAATTTCGCAATTTGTAAATGCTTGCTCTCGTATGAAGATTCGCTATTATAGAACCAATCGATATCTCGTTATTTTACCGCTCTTGTTCTGGCAAGACAGGGTGATCCTCGAGAAAGTGACATCACATGAACCACATCAACCTTTAAAGCACAACCAACTCCATTGTTTCTGTAATACGCCTCGCAAGCAATGCTAAGCAACCGAGCAGACGAAACAGACAGCAAGAAAGTAAACTATGGCCCATACCGTTAAACCCCATTCTAAAACCATTCCAGAACGCGCGAGGACCGAACCAAGATATGCAGGAACAGGAAAACCACGATATGCAAAGCTTTGAAACGCAGAACTCGTTGCTGAAGAAAGTAGCATCAACCATACTTCGCGGACCTCCTCGTCCAAGAAAGAAAGGGAAAAACAAAAATAAAGGGAGAAACCATTGCCGAAGAACATCTCGCATTCAAACCAGGCTGGGTCTCTTCATTCAAAGCTAGCCCAAGAAACTCGCACAAAAGAAAAAGAGAAGAGATAAAAAAGCGAAGGCCTCCCTCCCTCTGCAAGCCATTCGAACAGGAGCCGAAACGAAAACCTGCAAACCAAACCATTAAATGCACCAATGCTACCCAGAAGAAAGGGTGGACCAAACCCAACCTGTCCAAAACCATGAAGACAGAGAAAAAGAGCAACAAACACTATGCATCCGAGAGTAATGCAGACGCACGCACAAAAGCAGCGGGTATTCCATCTTGCACGACCGATGTTTGGGGCGGAAGTACAAAAGGGGGTTGTTGAAGAACAGAGGACGGCAAACGTAATCGTCCTCCAAATAACTTGCATCCATCGACGCAAGGGAAATGGCGTACTGGCAGGCGCTGGTGCACCTTCTCGTCTTTCTCATTCTCGTCTTCCGTCTTTGAGACTCTTAGAAATCTCCTCTTCTCCTTGCTTCTCTTCCTAGAAGGAAGCAAAACGACGCGAACCAACAAACAAGCGGAAAAAAGCACATAGCAGCCGGAATCAAAGGCAGGCATTCAGTAGCTTCAAGACCGTATGAGAGAGCAATGTCACACGTTAAACGTATGACCACTCCCCTACACGGCTCAAGCTCATCCTGCTCACCCGTCCGGTTGCCGCTTCATCCGCAAGCGCGTCGAGCTCCGCCAGCGCCTCCTGCATCATGGCAGCCCGGCGTAAGTCAAGCATATTGTTGACTCGCCGCAGCTGCGGTTGCAGGTCCATCCGCAGGCCCACGCCCACACTTCGCCGCCGTACCAGCTCTGCCTGTCGCATCTGCACGCGCAATGACAGCTCCACCTCCAACGTCGGAGACGGCGATGGTGTCGTATGTCGCCGTCGCAGGGTCTGGGACCCATGAGACGACAGCAAACTGGAATTCGACACGTTTCGCTGTTGATGAGGATAAGGATTATTGGACTGCTGTTGCTGAATTGGGTTCGTCTCGTAACGATTGTAGCGTTTATTGGAAGGGGGTGGGTGATATTTGTCTTTCAGTTGTTTCGGTTTCTGATAATGTTGCAGATGGTTTTGGGAGGCACTACCGGAGCGGGCTCGTTGCTACTCGACCCCTACATCGTCCTGGCGACTCCCACGCCGCCCTAGAAGTCCTGAATGGCCGACCTCGCGCATAAGGTCGTCCTGTCTTGAGCCTCTCCGCCCGTAGCCCGAGCTGGTCTGGCGGCGCCTTCGAACTGCCAGCTTATGGTGCGGAGTGCCTGTTGTTACATTTGGGTGGTGCGGAGTGCCTGTCACACTTGGGTGGTGCGATGAATGCGGCGTCGCAAACCCTGCTGAGCCAGGTCCTCCATAAACTTGGCTCGGCGGTGTACCAATCACGAAACTGCTCCTTTCCCTGTCGCTAGCATTGCTGCCTGTGTGCGAGTGGGCGTGCATTGGACTAGGCCGCGGAGTGCTGCTGGGGCTTTGACTGCCATTGAAGCTCATGTTCGCTCTCCTGCTGCTTGGCCTGACATTGACGGGAAGGCGGCTCGATTTGTTCGATTGCACACTCCCACGGCGGCCATCTGGATAAGAAGAGTCGTTCGTCGGAGTGCTCATAGAATCCTCTCCACTGACAGCCCATAGGGACGACGGGTCATTGGTTGAAATGGATGAAGACGAAGTCGGCTTCGACAGCGTGTATTCACGCGTGTGACTGGAGCTCGAAACGGCGGTCGACGTAGAACTGTTTGAACCCTCACGTGTACGGGGGCGAGATCCGGATGGATCGCTCGACTCGCGCTTATGGGCGTTCAAACGCTCGAGACGATAGTCGGAGTTCCCACTGCCATCTCTGGTTCGCGGCCGGCTATAGTGCTGAGCGGAGCTGTCTCCGCTACCCTCCCTCGACTTTAGTCTGTGGAAACTAGAGGTCGAACTATCCCCGCTGCCATCCCTAGTTTTCGGTCGATGAGGTATGGCGAAGGCTGCGGATGCGCTTTCACTGCTTCCTTGGCGCGAAAGAGGCCGTGAATAGTTCGACCGCGAAGAACTGGGCCGTGTTGTTGGAAGTCCATTGTCGAAGCTCCTGCTTGCACCAAGCAACAATGTGCTTCTAGGGCTGTCGCCAGAGCCCTCCCAAAAGCTGTTTTTACGTCGGTGCTCCACAGCAGAGTGTGGCGGCGTAGGTGGCGGCAAATGGGATGACATTCCGCTAGGCAGCGGTGGAACAGGTGGAGGGAACCCAAGTGGCGTAAATGTGACGCTCTGCCTCCTGGCACTTGAGGGTCGGGATCTGGGATACTCGACGCTCCGGCGCGCAGAGGTGGGCGACAGCAATGTCTGGCTCTCACATGTTTTGACGAGCTCGTTCGCCATTTCGCGGACAAGAATTGCAGGATCCGATTCAGCCAGTCGCCTGATGGCATCCAAAAGGCCGTGAGCTTGAATGAGAGGCGCGCCGCCACCATTCTCCTCGGTTGCATCGCAAATGCTGCGAACAATACGGAGAAGGTTCAGGCGAACCACAGGTTTCTTCGTATGCAACTTTTGGCCAGCGCGACTGAAAAGCTCGGGACGTGCTAAGAGCGCAGCAACCGGAGGCGAAAGGCGCAAGAGCTTCTGCAGCGGTTCCAGGAGGTTCTCGAACGCGTCCACAGAGGAGTCTTGATTTGTGAAACAAGATACGATAGCTTCAGGGAATGATCCCGAGATAAGAGCCTGCTCAACACGGGCGGTCTCTTCCTGCAGCCATATGAAGATAGCGTCCAAAGCAGTGACCTGCCAGTACTTGTCGGAGAGCAGAGAAATATAGAACTGCAAACCCTTATTCTGCCACAAAACCTTTCGGCCGACCTTGCCGGAGTGGGCCATATCGCACAAAATTGGCAGCGCGAACTCCTTCAGAGGCCATTCTGTCTTGACAATGGTCTGCAGGAGAGGAATAACCCCATTGAGGGCAGCATCCTCTTGCCTCGGCTTGCTGAGCCTGCAAAGGTTGTAAAGGATGTTTAGGATTTGGTTGGATACTTCCCGGAAGTGCTTCATTTTCATGCTTGACTTGAGCAAGTCCGTGAGCACTTCGATAGCGTTCGAGTTTTGCAAAGCTTCATGAGTGGTCGTGAGCATAGATAGGTTCTTAATGAACTTGAGCATGGTAATCTGATTAGCTGGTCGCATGCGTTGCAGATCCTTAAGTACTCCTATGACTAGTCAGCTTTATCCGTTTGGCGGTACACTCGAATGCTGCTTACTCTTGAGGACCATGCGATCCGCCACAAGTTCTTTGACGTGCGTCTCTGCTTGTGAGAATAGCATGAAAATGCCCACGATGCGGTCTTGGAGAAGCTCAGCGACCTCTCCATCTTCTTCAAGAACCTTACTCAGAACAAGCGAAAGAGGGTATAGAACGGAACTGCGCGAGAAAATTCGACAGAAATCATTTTTCGGCGTAGGTCCCTACACTCGTTAGCAGAAACTAAAACAGCATACTCTCTGACCACTTACCTGAAGGTTGAAGACACTCCACACGCCATTGACACCGATCAGGACAAAGTCACGATCGTCCTCTAAATCTTCCTCTAGGAACTCCACAAGCACATTCAGACCTCCACAGCCAATGAACATTTGCAGCGTAAGCGTTGAAGTTTGGTACATTTGCCGAACGAATGCTGCCGCTTCCTGGCGGATCTCTGAGGGAAACTTCTTGTGAGCAAACTGACTAATGATTGGAATACCTCCAACGAAGCAGAGATTTTCCTGAATTTCCACGTTGTCTAGGATAATCTAGTTTCAATCGTCAGTGAGAGAAATTACGTGAACCCAAGTGTCAAGTAAACTCACGATGTTCACAATCTTTAGCAGGCTCAAAATAATCTCCCGGTTCCGCAGGGTTTCCAAGATCTCTAGAATCGGGAGCATTCCATGGGAGCTGATAATTACGTTCTTAGTTTCAGGTGACTCCATAAGGATTGAGAGCTGCAAGATAGATCAGTATGGTTATGAGAGTTGTTTGTGATAGCGTTACGTACCAGTTCGTCCGAGACGTCGTACAGCACGTCTTCTGGTTGTGTCGACTTGAGCGAGCTGACTCTGTTTTCAACAAGGCTGCAAAGCCGTGCATGACGATCTCGCGCCACGTTGGTCTCCTGGTCCATCTCATCGAAGCCCTCTTCCAATTGCGCAAAGGGATCTTCTTCGTCCTCTTCGTCACCAAGCCAAGATCCAGATATTTTAGAGTTCATCATGCGAAGCGTTCCCCGCTCTGAGCCGCTGTCACTTTCATGCTTCGATTTTAGGGCTGGTGCGGCGCCGTCGTTTCCGAATACATCAGAAAAGTCTTCCTCTTCACGTTCCGCGTATTTTTCGATCCCTAGCTGCAGATTTGGGCGCCGCGCAGGACCCTTCCCATCAGAACTGCTCCCTGAGGCGTTTCGGGGAAGACTGCCGTTCTTCTTTCCGTTCTGGGCTGAGCGAGGTACGTTCGTGAGGTCTGACGGGTGAAATAGCCGAGGTGTGTATTCCTTATTGTTGCGTGCTTGAAGTGATTGCAATTTTCTTTGAAATGCTGCATCATCGGCGGCGATAAGGTCTGAGTAGTCTTCAACAGAATTCTCTCTGAAGGCGGCCGTCGGCTTCGTGAACGACGAGATTCGAGGGTTGATGGGCGGAACCACTGCTGCCTTAGACATTCCGCGGAAGAACTGTGTCTTGGGTTCCTGGGCTCCTCTTTGTGCTCCTGAACTCGTCCGGCTACTTTTCCCACTGTCGGGCTCTTGCTTAGAAGACGATGAAGGCCTGATAGTCTCTATTCCATCAAAAGGATCCAAGGTGGACGGACTGTTCAACGTTAAGGAATCACCAAAGACGTTATCTGCATTGGGGTCTCCTGACACCGTGTCGAAGCCGGTGGCGTATGCTTTCAGCTTTTCGCTTGACAACAAGCCCGCAAAGTTGTCGTGGGGCCTCAAATGAGGCAACTGCAGGGCACTGGCACTGATGGACGATGCAAAGTCGTCGTCCCAGTTATCATTATCATCTTCTTCAGCCGCAGCAGCAAAGACCTCCGTGGCGGGGCGCATCTTTTTAACGCGCAACCCACTCTGTCCAGGCACGGGCGCTGTGATCGACGGCGGTGGTTCCCTTCTTGGGGGAACTGGACTTGCAGATATCGGTCTCGAAGCTCGGCGGAGAGTCTCATTGGCTGGAAGTTTCAGGGCCTCGTTCCACTCCTGCACGCTTTTGACGGCCTCATCATACTTGGTGGGCTTGGTCGGTACGACTTCATCCGCCCGTCGAGCATTGACAATCCAAGGATGTTTCAGCAGCTTTTTGGCAGACACTCTGAGATTGGGATCTTTCTGAAAACATTGCATCAAAAAGTCTCGAACGGCCTGTTTCTGGTTAGGATGTCGTCGTCTGCTCAAACGTTTCTAAGAAATGTGGAGATGAGACACTTACCGGTGAGGCAGCTTCTGGTAGCGGTGGGTGGTCATCATTGACTATCCGAAATAGCGCCGGCATTGGTTGCAGCTTGTGATATGGCGGTTTCCCCTCTAAGAGTTCAATTACCGTGCAGCCTAAGCTCCATATATCCGACGCCGTAGTCGCGCCGGACAGCTCGATGACCTCTGGGGCCATCCAATATGGCGTGCCCACGACGCTAGAGTCGTTCAGGCCGGCCGTCTTGGTAGCAACACCGAAATCCGCAAGCTTCACCAGACCCTCCTTGGTGGTGAGAATGTTGGCGCCTTTGATGTCCCGATGAATGACACCCTGGTCATGCAAGTACAAGAGTCCGTGCAGTACCTGAGACATGTAAATCGCAACCAGGTTTTCCGGAAACTTTCCAAAGTTCTTGCAGATCGAGTGGAGGGAGCCGTTCTCGCAGTATTCCAGGATGATGTAAAGCGATTGCGCGTCCTTGACGAAGCCATGGTATTTGACGATGTTGGGGTGATTGAGATTCTTGAGCAGGTCGATTTCGAGCATTATAACACGCAATTCGTTCTTAGGGAGGTCCGCAAGTTTGACCTGCTTGATCGCGACTGTCTCGCCCGTTCCCCAGTTGAGGGCGCGGTACACTGAGCCGAAAGCACCTTTCCCTAGGCAGTCGCCGAGTTGCTAAAGCACAGAAGATGTCAGTCCGCACTTTCTTTTACCACTGCCAGCGACAGCTATTCTTGCAATGCTTGATTCCATTTCGGCCCAGGCTCTGGCGCCAACGTAGTACAAAACAGGAGTAGGAGGTCCTCACATAGTCTTTCAGCCCAGCAACATCCTGCGCAGCACGCTGTGCCGCTCCATCTTTGCTCGGCGGCTTCTCCTTCTCTCGGTCGGCCGTCGTTGGCCTGGCTGCTCGGGTATGCGCCGAACCAGGAGTCCCTCTGACTTGCTGCGGTAACGACGAGCCTGGGGTGTTCTGGCCATGTGCGCCGGCACGGCTCTGCGGCCTACGGCTGCCATTCGAATGTTTATCCGCACTATGGTGTGCCGACATGTGGGCGACCATAGCGCTCCCCCTTGCCCCGGCCAGGCACGGCGTTCGCACGTAGTCGGTCGTCGCGGCGGGGCGCAAGGCGGAGGTAAATAAACGGCGAGGTGGTGGTCTCGCGGGCGGGGACCGGGAGCGAAAAGGAAGGCAGGTATGAGGCCGGGGCGCGAGGAGATTAGGTGGAGCTCTGGGCGCGGTGGTAGGCGGCGGGGGGTGCTGCTACGGTGAGCTGCATGTCACCCATCCGGAAAGCGGGCCTGCGTGGTGAGAGGCTGGAGGCTGAGCAGCTATGGCGGCGCAGTCGATGTGCGTCACTCGCTGCTCGAGCTCACACAGCTCGGGCGGCACGGTGGTCCAGGAGGGCGGAGGGAGAGGTCGTGCGAGAGTTGGCTCTCTGGAATTGGGCGGTGGTAGGGCTGAGATGTTAGGGAAGCCGTCAGTTGTCGCGCTAGCTGCGCCGGTGCTGCGCCGGCTTCCAAGGCGAGTAGCGTAAAACGGCGGGGACCCTGGCTTGGACTGGTCGCGTACGTCAGTAATTGCAGGAGCTCTCTGCACGAGCGGCTTCGAGGGGAAGTGAGTGAGCCGCCGAGCGCATCGAGGAAGCGAGCGATGTTTGTTGGCACAACAGCTGCAGGGCCCGCAACCAGGCCGTCAGCCAGCCGCCGTCAGCGATCGTCCCGGCCCGACCACAAGCGACTGCCAGGCTTAGGTCCGCCCAACACTGGCCCCGGCCGCCCGTCCTTCATTATTGCCGTTTCCTCTGCCTCTCTACAGCACACACCATGCGTGAGCCACAGAAAAGCCATGCGGCTGAGCCATACCAGCCCGCCTCTCCCCAGCCATACGTTGACGAGCGTCTCATGGCGCTGCATCACTAGCCAAAAACATCACATGCACGGCATTCGGACGGGGCTCACGCGACCTCTGAAGTCTGCCCGAACCCGCCCCTTTTACGGCGCTCCCGCCGGTGGAAATCTTCACGACCGCTTGGCATTCAAGTCAAGTGCCATTCCAGCTGAGCCCGCCCTCGCTGGACCCTCTGCTTTCCTTCTTTGGAAGTTTCCCAGTGCTTTCCTCCCCACTTTCACCTTCCCGAAACGACGTTAAGCACACCGCCATCGACCGCGAGGATTTCTCCGTTGACGTACGCGTTCTTGGTCAAAAAGAGCTGCGAAGAAATGTCGTCAGCTGCAACTCTAACGTCAAATGTGGCAGGTTGATCTGCCCCGCCGACCAATTGCCAGCGCAGGCTTCCTATGATGCCGCGCGGTAACCTTGTTGCCATGGCCGAAGACGAAGTCGCCATCACCGCCTCTCCAGCCACTCTTTTACTCATACGAGCCCCGGCGCTGGCCACCGGGAAAAACAACCAACCACATGACAGGAAGAAACACTTACCACAGCCTGCGCCATCTCCTCGTCGCTGCCCGGGCGTTGCGCCGGCACGTGTCCCTTCGCCTGAATGTTCTCTGCTGGAAGGTGGCTCTTCTGGTCCGGACCGCTTTGCTTTGCCGTCATCTCCGACGGGAAGTAGCCGGGCGCTATGCTGTTGACTCTGACACGGACCTTCTGGAACTCCGCACTCATAAGCTTTGCCAGGTGAACAGTGCCACCCTTCGCGGCGTTGTATGAGAAGTGGCCCTGCGCGTGGCGCATGATTCCGCTCATGGAGGAAATGACGATGACTGAAGCCGAGAGATGGCCGTGGGTCTCTGTACCTGCTTGCAGTAGAGGCAGAAAGGCGACTGTTGTGAAGTAGACCGATGTGACATCGGCGTTATACACGTCGTTCCAGGCCTCAAACGTCTCGTTATTCCATAGTTTCTCCTTCAGGCTCCCAGCGTGCTGCTGATCGGGCTCCGCCTTGGTCCCTGCGATTCCAGCTGCGCATACTATTTGGTACTAGGTTAGCACTACGAATATAGGAGCAATTGGCGGGCTCACTGAGAAGATTGACGTATTTCTCCTTCGAGGAGATCTCTGCGTACAGCTTCTCAAGGTCATCTTTCTTAGTGACATCGCAAGGAACGCAGCTGAAAAAACGATTAGTAAACTCTCCCGGAGTAAAATTTAAGTAGGAGGTAAAGTTAGAGTAATATTGGAGATATTCTTGGCCGCCCATCATGTCGGTGAACAGTGCTACGGAAACTTACGGGATGATCTCTCCCATCCCATCAGGACTGTGAGACTTAGCCGCTGCTTCGAGGGCCTCCTGTCCTATTGCCTTCGTTAGTATTCCCAGGGTATTTCGAGAAGCTCGTTGGGGACCTACTCCTTCCTGTAATGTACACCTTGGCACCTATTCGAGTCAGTCATCATGCAGCACTATGTGCCTAGCGTAGGCCAGCATACCATTGGCGGCCAGAGCTTGTGCTGCCATTAGGCCAATGCCCGTGCCGCCGCCCGTGACTACGCATACGTAATCCTTGACCGAGAAGAGTTTCTCAACTCTGAGATCCTTGGTCGAAGCCATTGTGCTGAATTTTGTTGTGGATTGTTGCGTCAAAAGTCGCTTGAATGGGTAGTAAGGGCGAGGGGTCGGTTCATAAAGCTGAAGTGATTGGATCCAATGACGCTTGCCTGAGGTCAACCCGTCAAAGAAGGGCAAGCAGGACGTAGCATCGCATGACGTCAAGGATGGTCCTCGCTTACGGATGCTCCCGCGCGACGCATCGCGTCGATCATACATCGCGATGAGATTCTAGGCTTCTGGAAAAATCGTGCAGTTCGTAAAAAGCATTGGATTTTCGTGCTTCAGCCACCGCTGTTTTGAGCCAATTTTAAAAAGACCATTTTTGCATCCCACGATAACGCCGCATTTCTAGGTGCATACCGCAGCATTGTAGCCGCCGACACGCACCAAATCCCTCATAGATTGCATAGACTATAACTCCAATGCCTTCTGCGCCATCTTCAAGGCGCCCTCGTACGTCTTGTTGCCGCCAATGAATCCACTCGCGTGGACAAAGACGCACCCCGGGATGCCTGACACCTCATCCAACTTTTCATCACGGACTCCCTTCCACGCGTTGGGCAGATCCCTTCTGTTGTCGAATCCACCACCCTCGACAGAGACGGCCCGGATCCTCCACTTGCTATCCGGCTCGTCGCTCTCGGGGAAGAGGACGTACAGCACCTGCGACTCCACCGGCGTGCTGCTCTCCGCCTCCAATGTGTACAGGTGGTCCATCCATGGCATGCCCTGCTTCAGCACCATGATGCGGCCCTGAGGATCGTATTGCTTGCGATCCTCAAATGCAGCCTTGACAGCGGCGCGCGCAGGCAGCCAGTTGCGGTACTTGTCCGTCAGTTCCATCACAAACTGCTCGCCAACAAAGGCCGATGCCTTCTCGAAACGCTTATCCTCTTCGTGCTGCACTTCCTCCTTGCTCTTGCCCGCGTCGTCCTCGAAGTGGTAGTTGTAGCGGTTGACCACGGACGCAATGCTAAACCCACGGTCCTCAAAACGCTTCTCCAAGCCTGCAGTCTTGAGTGCCTTGCTGTCGTAGGGCGAGACACCGGTATCGTTGGCGTCGAAAGCCTCGATAAGGCCATCGTACAGCTTCTGGTAGAGGATCTCGACATCCTCGCTGTCAATGCTCAAGCCAGTTTGCTGGGCAATGATATCCTTGCCGAAATGCTTGTACACCAGGCCTGCTGACGAGAGCTTCGTGGCGCTCCTGCCGGGGAAGTAGGCATCAAACTCGCGCTGGTGGTGGTCGAAACGGTTCTTAGTGTGGTCATAGACACCACCGACATCGACGACAGTGTGGCAGGTCTCGAGGACAGCGGGGTCACGCGTGCGGACTAGCGGGCTAGAGTTGTAGGTAGGCAAGGTGCGTAGCAGGTAAACGGCCAAGGCCTCGTCGGCGTGGAAGTGGCCGCTAGTGGAATTGTCAGTCAAGGAAGCAGGATTGCTCAGGTGGTACAGACTTGTGCGTGCCGATCAGAGGGCCAGTCATCTTGAGGCGCTTTGCCTGGGGCGATGCAGAAGTCATGCGAAAATGAGGTGGTGTTGCGCCGAGTAGAGTGGTGGATGGACGAATAGCGGGGCGGGCGAAAATAACGGCACTATGGCGGGAGAAGAGACGCATGCATCTGGCCAGCCAGCGCACTCGGATTTGGCGTGGCGAGGTCGGCACCGGTCCAAAATTGAGTGGGCGGCCGCAGCGCCTGTCGGGCCGGTGTGTTTGAGCAGCGCGGGGCTTGGCGGTGAAGGCGGGTGAGGTGTTGGCCAAGAGAATGCGGGTGGATAAAAACGCGACCTTGAACGCCAGCCGCGCGAATGCTCAGGTTGCGGAGGAACCAGAAATCTGGCGCCAGGTCCACAGCTTCCTGTTTAATGGCGTCCTTCGCCCGCACACACCCAGAGACTCAGCGTCCTCCATCTTTAGTCCCGCCCCTCACCATTGCTTCTTTCACGCCCACACGACCACCCCGCCGATAACCTGGAGGATCTAGGGTGCCGCCCTGCTGTTCTACCTGCATCTGCAACTGTGATCACCAGGCCGATCCCGGCTCAAAAGCACGCGACAACCCACGGCCCACCTACCGCTCTGCTCCGCCCTCTGCACCGCGCGCACCGTCCTGCCCGCGCAGTGCCAGTCTGTCCTCTCTGAAAGCACTCCCGAGTGCGTGTAACGAGGCTGACCTCAAAGCGTTGGAGGTCCAACAGCACGCACGTGAAAGCGCACCTTCCCGCCAAGAACGAGCGCAACGCGGAAGCCACGAGCCACATCTCGCTGCTCCGCTACCACCCCGGCCTCTGCCTGCTCAACGCCGCCCGCCGAACCAGCGACCACCCTCCAGCTCCCTGCGCCCGTCCGGCGCGTCGACCCCGCGCGCAACGAGTTCAGCGCTCTGCTTGAATTCTCCGCTGGTCCTCACGCCTGCCAGCTAAGGCGGCGTTCCTCCGCGCTATGTGGTTCACCCGTGCAGTTTCTTCCCTGCTGTTCCTGTTCGCCATCATCTTCACCATACCCCTCGCATTCGATGTTGGCGGCAGAACCTGCGGCTTGGCCTTCTCGCTGGCTCTCTCCAGCTTCTACTTCTTCGACTCAACGCTCCGCTTAGCCACCCCGGACAGCTCCCGCATGAGAAAGACCATCGTCAGCCTACTCTCGCTCTCGCAGTGGATCGTTATCCCGACGCTCTTGATTTGGAGTTTGAATAAGTTCTCGGTCGATGCGGATAATAGCAGTGGGTGGGTGCAGAGGACATTCAGTGGTTCTCGGGCAGAATACACTTCAGTCAGGGAATGGTTGTTTGGCAGGGAGGGTCTGGTGGAGACCTTGACGATCGGAAGCTGGGATAGGCTATTGCGCTGGTCTACGCCAGTCTTCCAGATCAGCGAGGGTTTCTGCAGTCTGCTGGTTATCCAAGCTCTAGGCCAGATCTCCAGATGGCTTGTCAACCGCGAACGTGGCGATAGCTGGATGGTAAGGCTGGCGCTCCCTGTTTTGGTGCTGAAATGGTACTTACCAAGTCACAGATTGGTCTCTTGATCGTGTCGGCATCCGTCATCTCAAGCTCCGTGTACTTTTTGTGGAGGATTACGACTTTCCCGGAGATCGGCAACGTGGACGCTATTCTGATCGGAGCCGCCATAACCTGCGCTATCTTCCTGTGCTCCTGGGGAATTGGAAGCGGTCGTGGAAATCCGGTGGAGAGCTCTCTACTCGTAAGCTCAACTTGCTCGCCCCTGGCTGCGTGTATTGATCTGTTGCTCTCTAGTTTGCCTACGTTACCCTCTGCATCTACCAAATTTTCACGGACTACCAACCCTCTGAGCAAGCCCAGAGCGAACCCTCTGCTCAGCCAGCACTACCTCCGCTACCTCCTATCATCATGGCTTCCTACACTACCCTGATGCACGCCCTGTCGACTCTGCCTTCCACTGTACATTCCGCCTTCAGCTTCATTCTCGCCGCGATCATGACCATCACGCCGTCGGTGCTTATCTCTCTCGCCTACCGTGTCTTTGTTATGTACGCAGCAGCTCGTATTATTCCAGCCGTCCGGGAATCGGGTGCACGCGCTCTTACACAGGATCCGTCCTTGGATGATGACGATGAGGCTGGCCGCGTGTTAGGGTTCCTTAGCTGGTTCAGTCCGAGTATCTTGATTGCTGTCTACACAAGTTTGCTCATGCAACACTTCGCTTCTTCCAGCACCAACGGCGATGCGGCTGGGGAGTGGTGGACCAGCCAAGGTGGCGACGCTGGGGGCAACCTATGGCGGTGGATCAACCTCGCTGCTACAATGGGCCTTTACGCAATCGAGCTCAACCTTGGCAGAGCTGACGATGACGGGCGCTTGACTAGCCACTGGAAATCGGACTGAGGCAAGATAAGCGAGGTCTCCACGGATAAAGGATCCCTCGATGAACTTGAGGTTGCTTGCAAAGCAACATGAGATTAGGGCGTGAAGGAGCATAATCCCGCCGATGCTTTCAGTGTCTTTTTCCATTCTGGCCGTACTGGAACATTGCGTTTTTGGACCTTGATCCTTCCCACACAAGCTCCATCCAGGCCCGCACTGCTTCCGTCTGTGGGCGGACCGCGTTATTGCATTATCACCGAATCAGCGCAGCTGTGGCCAGCTCTACGCCCAGGAGCACACGACGCCTGCGCCTTGAACGCACTATCACCTTTCCCAATCATCACACTCGGACACGCTGCAGCCGACATTGACAAATCCGCCGTGCTTTCAATTGTTCGTAGCCAACATTCAGAGCGCTTAGATACCCGGCTAGGGGAGCGAGAACCTAGCACATTTTGGTTTCCCTTTGTGATGTACGCATTGCATTTCGAGTTTTGCATCGGAGCTCACCAAACAACCTGAAGAGGAGAAAAATGGTTCGAGGAGGGTAATGGGATCAGAGGACACAAGGAGAAGCTTAATGAAGGTGCGAGAAACAAAATGGGATCGAAGCGAAGGTTAAGGGCACATCAGCGACGTCTGCTCATCCTGTAGATATCCTGCTTTCAGTAGCATGCTTCATTGGGATTGCGAATTAAAAGTGGCGTCATCTAAACCACACAATTCATAAATTTGATGTTAAAGCTGGACTTATGTCGCCTTTTGATCTGAAATAGTGTGAAGACCCTTCATCTCAGTCTGGTTCCATGTCGTCGAGCTTTACAACAAGGCTTCTTCAAATTTGACTCCCCCATTTCGAGAATTTGACTCCCTCAAATCTGGATTTTACTCCCCTTCGAGAACCTAATTATCTATCTTTTCACGGTAGCATCAAATGTCTCTACCCCGTAGGTGGCGTTCACTTTACAAATAAAGCCGGCACCGACGCGCTCTTGTTGGGAATCTGCGGATTATTCAACGTACTGCAACATTTATTGGCAATATTATATGCCAAACTGTATTGCCTGACCTTAGTCGTCTACAGCATTTTATCTGAAAATGTTCTAATGCATTCTATTATGCTACCTAGCAGGTCTATCTTCCGCTTTCTGGATAAATGTATGTATAAGGATGCACTGCTGTTTCAAACCGGGCGGTAAACATTTATACTGAAGCTCAACGCGTTCGTTTCTCACTCCTTTTCCGCACCACCTTTTCAGTTATTTTCGTCCCGGCCGCGACTCAGTCTCAGGCTCCGAGTCAGATATGGGCTCTGCCTCTAACATGGTCATCTCGCCGACTTCACCGACGCTCTCAACGTCGTCTTCTCCTATAGAGAGATTGTCGTCGTCATAATCATCAACCAGAATATCTTTGTTGGTTTCAGATGCCACAGGGATAGCAGGCGCCGGTGCAAAGTCGGTAACAGCCGTGGTGCGGCGAGGAGGCTGCGGCGGCGGCGCATCCTCTTTTTCGGACGGTCCAGCCCTGGGTTGAGAAGGTCGCGGGGGTTTCTCTGGTGGCATCTCGCTCTCCGGAGCGTTTGCGGGCTGGCCAACGGGCTTCCGGGGAATGCTTCGGTTCTGCGATGGACGGAGAGGAAGTTGTGGACTGGGCTCTTCCTGTAGGCTTAGCTTCTCAAACGGTGGCGCCTTGCCAGCCTCCGCTCCCCTCTGGTTTACGGTGGTCGGCTCGTCAGCTCTGACACCAGTCCGCATTTCCAGCAGTTTGGCTTCTTCTTCGGCGACGTCTTGCATGATGATACGTCTCTCCTCCTGGCTGTCGCCAGCCTTCTCAATTTTTTGCTCAACCATTTTCTCGTTCTCCTGCTCTGCCTTGCGCTCCTTTGCCTCCTCAATACGAAGTTCCTCTTCCTCTTTCCGCACCTCCTCATCGTCCAACTCCTCCATCCCAATCTTCTTCAGGATGGTACCAGTCAGCCATCTGTACCTAGTGTGGCCGTCGACCATAGCGCTCGCGTCAAAATTCTCTACGCCTTCAACACCTTCAATTTTTTGGAGTCCCGCGACGCCCAATTGGATACTGCTTGTCCTGTATAGGAAACCGAGGATATGGTCGTTAGAGCTATACACATTAACCAAGCGGCCCGCCACCACCGTCCGCATCTTTCGCCACGCGGCGGCGTCGCTCGGGGTAGGTGCGCCCATCATGACCACGTTCTCAATCAGGCCGAACGCGCGGCGCTCAGCCAACTGCAGTAAACACGAGTAGATGACCCTCGCGCCAAGCGAGTACCCGATGAGCGTAACGGGACGCTCGCCCTGGGCCTTGTTGATCAGAGCGTCGGCGAGCACAGCGCCAGCCTTCTCGCTGCGCTTCTTGGCGATGGAGAAGGGGTTGTCGACTATACGACCCACGCGTAGGAGCATCAATGGCCACAGCCCTGCCGCCAGGCTGCCCAGCACCGTACGTTTGACGATCTCATACTTGGCGTAGCTCCAGGCCGCACTCTTCAGCACCGCCGAAAGCGACGTGCCCAGCTTCAGCAGCGCCTCGACCTCCCACCGCAGGGCGAACGTCTCGAGCTGCGGCCCCATTACGAACCACGGCGTAAAGACCTCGGTCGAGTCGGTCAACCAACCGCTGATGGTGATAGCGACGCGCAGGCGGTGGTGCTCGGAAGCTGGGTCAATGGCGGAGGAAGACGAGGTGTTGGAGCGGCCTGGCGGCTTCCAGCTGCCGAGGATATCCTCCGGTCTCCTGCTATCGCGGCGCGACAGCCCCTGCGCCTTGCGCTGCCGTTCGTACACGCCGCCGTCGTCGCCACCGCGCACGGCGATGAAGCGGAAGTCGGAGACTTCGGCCGTGTACTTGTCCATCATCTTGCCCGTCATGCGCCCGCCGTACGCGCCGAACAGCCCACCCACCAGCACACTGCTCCCCGCCAACCCGCCCAGGAGACCACCGACCGCTGTGGCACCCAGGCCGACGCCGCCGAGGACGGTGCCCACGCCTGCTGCGAGGAATGGAGCTGCTAGGCCGCCGGTGACGCCAATAAGGGCAGCGCCGGCGACGGTGGCCAGGCCCACTTTCCATTTGCGAGAGGTTGCGTTCGAGGATGCAGCGCGGGCCGTTTCCTCCTCGGCAGAGAGCTGGCGTGCGGATGTGAGAAGAGCTTTGGCGAGTGCGGTCTCCTGTTCGCAGAGTGTGGCTGTAGGCACGCGAAGACTGGAGGAGAGTTGCAGGAGAAGAAGGCGTGAATGGGCAGGGTAATTCTGCAAAGAAAGGAGAAGAAGCAGGATAGAATTCAGTATGAGAGTGCGAGACTCTTCTGGCAGCTGGGTGAGGGTAGTGGGAATAGGTTTGCGAGAATGAGGGGAATCAGGAGGTGTTTGGCTGTCATCAAGGGACAGCAAATCTAGCTCTTGTTTCTTCGCCAAAGATCTCTCCCGCTGCTGCTTCAAAATGGCTATTTCCCTGCCATGTACCTTGAGGGTTTCACCTAGGCGCTTTAAGACTTGCACACGCCAGTTGTTGAAGAAACTGAGAGCAGCGCGGTACAAGTCCTGAACATCGTCGGCGGCGAGCTCCTTCTTGATCTTATCGACGCGCTCAGCTCGTTCGGCAGCACGCGACGCATGTGCCCTTTGGTTTTCATCAAGCGCAATCAGGTTTTCTTCGGCTGCAGGATCATGGAATGATGCGGCAGTCTGGAGAGCTGCTGGTACCTGGAAGGTGGCACTGAGGTCGTTGCGGATGGCATCGGTGCACAAGACCACAACGAGGGCGAGCTCAGCGCGTAGTTCTGGCGTAGGAAGTATCGTCTCTAGGGAGGCCTCTTTCTTGGGGCCAGACGTTGGGTGTTGTGACGAGTCTTTGTCTTTGAAGATGTTGGAGAACATGTTGCATATGACTTTGTGCAAGGAAAGAGCATAGCACGGCGAGGCGCGGAAACAGACAAGCAGATAGAGACGCGCGCGACGAGGGGTATCTGACCAGAAGTCGCTGGGACGGAAGCTCCGCGGTGCGCTGAAATGCGGAGAGCAGTTGGTGAAAGAGGCTGTGGTCTCAGCAGATATGCTGCCTAGTCTCGGTGGCCGGGTACCTTTTCCGGCCCCCACAATTTGCGGCCAAGACGATCCTGGCGCTTAGTAAATCGTAGCAAACGGGGTGTTGTGCAACGAGCAAGCGGCAAATGCCAAAGGGTGAAGCAGAAACGGATGTGCGTTCCGCGACGTCATCCATAACTCCTGCCTTTCCTTTCCCCTGGCGACCAAAGCGGCTAGCGCCGGGATCGGAGGCCCAGGCCCACAACTGCTGAGCTTCCATGTCTATCACCGCCGGTTTCCCCTCGATTCTATTGTGCGCTTGTCTGGCAATCTGATGCAGCCATCCGGAGGGCCTGCGGCTCGCTTACAGTAGCGGAGGATAGGTCATCGGGTGACCTTCATGGTTTGAGTTCCTCCGCTGCATGTTCCTGTACAGATGACATTCATTCCGTCTTGCGGGGTAGGGTCCAACACCCTCAGGGCAGATATTCGCAGGGCCCCCCGACCTAATCCGGCATGAAGTCTGGCTCAGACCCTCTTCTGGGCCAACCCTATACGCATCGGTCCATCGGCGTGGCTGGATGTGTACCTGCGCCCTCGAACACCTCGTTCCCCATCCAGCTCACCTCGCCGGCGGGCGCGTCTAGACTTGAGGGCAGCGGTGACAGCCTCACTTCTCGCCTTCTTCATCTACCAGGCCGAGGCTCCGCTGGCTTGCGGCCTGCAGATCACAGTGGCGACTGCTTCGCGCAGTGTTTGAGAATGCGCGGTCTGCTGCTCCTGGTCACGTCGGCAGCGGCATATGGAGGTGGGGGTGTGTTCGCGCGGGAACGTGAAGGCAAGACCAGCCAGGATTCTGGGGCCGCCTTTTTTAGCTCGGCACGGAGTAAATTGCGGTCAGGACAGCGGTCTAGTGAGCAGTAGCTAGAGGACGCGTGGAGGAAAGAAAGATGTTGCGGACTCGATGCGCTTGCCGCTGTCCCACGCGCGTGCGTGCTGCTGGCCTGCAACAACGCGCGCATCGCAAGGCTCTCTGCCGCTTTGTACACACGCAATCGCGATATCACGCTGCGCGCTGCAGGAAGCTTGCCCGCCTATAATTGGAACGCCCCGGGGCAGGCACCGCACCTAATCCCCAGCTCCCTTTGGCCGTTCGCGCGGCAGTTCCCGAGCGCGACCTTGACTACATCACCGCCCGCGCAGCCTCATTTTTCTGCCCTTCGCATTGAGCCGCCAGCAACACTGCTCGGTCCTGTCACCCACCACCACAGGCGCTTTTCCACCGGATTTCCTAGGAGCAGTTACAGGACCCGCTCACCACCCGCGCCGCGCGCCTTCCCGTGCCTCGCGCCGCTTCACGCAACGCCCGTGCCTGCCGTTGGAGCTGCTGCAGCTCCACAGGCCGGCCGCTCGCTTTCACGACGGCGTCCATCAAGAAGCGGAAGCTCGCCCAGGACCCGCCCCCAGAAGCCTCAGACAACCCCTCGTCGTCCGCCCCAGGGCCTGCGCAAAGGACGACCTTCGACCCGCCGCCGCCGTCAGCGTCGCCGCGCTCCTCTCCACACCCGCCCTCCGTCGGCAGCCGCGCCTCCGCCTCGCCGCCGCGCTACATCCCGCCGCATCTGCGCGACGAAGTCTTGGAGCCCGTCGCCGAGTCGGACGGTGCCTCCTGGGACAACACGGTCAGCGGCGGCAGCTCTCCCAGCGAGGCGTACGCTGGCCTGAGCTTGGAAAGCACGAGTAGACCCGGCGCGCCCGCAGGAGATCGGCGTGGCTCCTCAGCAGCGCCAGACGGCTCCCGCTTGCAGAACACCCCCTCCGGCGCCTGTGTACGCTCGCCACCGCCCCGATCAGCATCCCCCGCAAAGCGATCCGCCTCCGAGATGGCTGGAGAGAACGACAGCAGGGAGCAGATGGAGCTGGAGAACGGCACCGCGAGAGGCTCCTCGGTGGATATGCTCAGAGATGAGCAGCCCCAGCCCAAGGACCAGACCAGCGGTGCCAGCTCGGATACCGCCTCGACGTCCGTCAATGAGTCCAACACCGTAAGCACCTCGGCCACCAGCGATGCTGCGCCCTCACCGCCAAATCCCAAGGACCAGTCTGCCACCAGCGCTACTGCATCAGGCCTCTCACTTGATGAGCAAGTCGTGCGGATCATGACGTTACACGAAGCTCTGCCCCAGGATGGTCAGAAGGGCTATGTGGTCAGCATGTGGTGGCTGTCGCGTGTCCTCTCACGCGTGTCTGACAGCAAGCAATTCGGACCATTCGACAAGTCCGCTTCAGAGGGCGAGATAGGACCCATCAACAACGAGCCTCTCTTTGACCAAGGTACGTTCTTTTGCTCCTACAGTATGGAAAGCACGGTTTGACAAATACTCCTCCTTCGAAGATGCCTCTGCCTGGGAGCAAGACCACGTCAGCGAGTCTTCTGGCCAGCTATTCGTGCCCATGAAGCCAGGCCTTCAGATTGGCGAAGACTACGAAGTTTTTCCAGAGGGTGCATGGAACTTGATGGTCGAATGGTATGGCGTGAAGCCGGGTGTACCTCCCATCATCCGCTATGCTCACGACACCGCGCCGCCCGGTTCTGGCATGCAGAACGTTCAGTACGAAATTTATCCTCCGTTCATTACGATTCGCAAGTTGCGCAATGACTCGGAACCTATGACCGCTCAAAGAATCAAGGAAAATACTAGCAATGCGGTCAGGCTGCTCTCAAGCCGGAGCGAGAAATTTCAGAACTTCTTGAAAAGAGCAAAGGAGGCAGCCGGAATCCCCGTGACCACAAAGGTTCAAATTTGGAGAGTATTGGAACCCATCCAGACCGGATCGGCGGGTCAGCAGGAACCTAAGGCGGAGGTGCTCACCCCGGCCACGTCCCGAAACAGCTCTCCCGCTAGGACGCCCCCGACTCCTCTGCTGATTGACCTGGCATCGTTCACAGCCATGTCTGAGGGCACTCAGAGAGAAATGGTTGACCACAAGGACGAGACAAACAACCCGAAATACAACGGTAGCGTCAAGATGGATCTGGTTGGTTTGAACACTAGCCAAGTTCTTATCTTAGAAGAACAAATCGGCGGTCCTGCCGGCGGTGAGTTTGTCTCAGATAATGCGCGTAAGTCGGCGGCGAAACACGGCGTCTCACTCAGCACTGGTAAGATCCCGGACTCCAAGGGGGACAGTGGACGCAGCAGCCCGGCGCCTGGAGGGCCCATGACGCGTGGACGGACGAAGAACGGCAGGACACGTGGAACTGTTGGTCTGTCTAACTTGGGCAATACCTGCTACATGAACTCTGCTCTGCAGTGCATCCGTAGCGTCGAGGAGCTCACTGCTTATTTCATGCAAAATAAGTACAAAGAGGAACTTAATGGAGATAACCCGCTCGGCCATGGAGGCTCTATTGCAAAGGCATATGCGGGTTTGCTCGCGTCCATCTATGACGAGTCTTCTCCCACCTCTTTCGCGCCCAAGAACTTCAAGTATGCACTCGGACGTGCACAGCCTATGTTCTCCGGTTATGGACAACAAGACTCGCAGGAGTTCCTCAGTTTCTTAGTGGACGGTCTTCATGAGGATTTGAACAGGATCATCAAGAAACCATACATTGAGAATCCTGATTCGGATGACAATACCCATAAAGACCCGGAAGCCATCAAGGCGCTTGGCGAAAAGTACCGCGAGAACCACCGTGCACGTAACGACTCGGTGGCCATGGACCTGTTCAACGGTTTCTATAAGAACACTATGGTCTGTCCGGAGTGCGACAAAGTCAGCATCACGTTCGACCCCTACTCCTCCCTCACTCTTCAGCTACCGATCGAGAAGAACTGGCAACACAGCATCTTCTTTGTGCCCTTGGTTGGCCGTCCTGTGCAAATCGATGTGGATATGGACCCTAATAGGCCGCTCCGAGCTGTTAAGGAGTTCATCGCCCAGCGCGTCCCGGGTGTTGACCCCAAGCGGATAATGATGTCCGAGATCTACAGCCACAAGTTCTACAAGCACTTTGAGGACAAACAAGCCATAGTGGAAAGCAATATCCAGGAGCGCGATGAGATTGTTTGCTACGAACTGGACGATGTCCCCACAAACTGGCCGCCTCCAAAGAGATCTAGTAAACCCAGGTCCATGCTTTCTTTCCACCACTCTGACGATGAAGAAATCCCCGACACGGACTCGCCCATGGCGGATAAGTTGGTGGTCCCTGTGTTCCATCGGGTTCGCAAGTCTCCTTCTAACAAGTGGGAGGTGACCCTCTGGCCTTCTCACGTTCTCGTCACGCGCGAGCAAGCGAAGGACTCTGACGAAATTCTGCGTAAGATTATCGGTAGAGTGGCTGGAATGACCACCAGGGAAATTCTTGAGGAGGGTTCGTCTTCGCCACGGGATGAGTCTGACACCGTGGTGACGGCTGACGAGGATGCGTCATCTAATGCGGATGGTCGTGTCCAGGCCAACTCCGTTGAGGGTGATGAGAGCATCGTGGATGTTACCATGACCGAGCCTGGTGAAGCGGAGAAGACCAACTCTGATGGAAACACTGACGGTGATGTGACAATGCAAGAACAGAGCTCATTGCCGTCGGTGCTGCAGCCTGGTGGCTTCATTGCCCCTGAACTTCGGAGGCTGTTCACCCTGAAGTACACGAAGCCTGGCAACGATATTCTTCCGACGGGCTGGAGCGGGCTTGATTCCAGGGAACTAGCCACTCTGGACTCTCGCATTCCAGCACCCCCGAGCCGCCGATCCTCCATCCAGTCTACTGCCAGCGGTGCCAGCAGGTCTACCCAAGGCACCCAGCGCTCTGATACTCCCGAAAGCGACGTCGACGAGGAGACGCCTCAGTTCTCCAACACCATGGAGTCATTTGAGGCCGAACCGAGCGAAGACGAGCTTGCAGGCGTATCAAACAAGCATGCAAACCGTCAGAAGTTCCAGAACAAGCAGGCCAGAAGAGTAAAGGGCAAGAAGGGCAGGAAGATGAAGACCTACTCTCGGAAAGATCGCCGCGCCGGTGCCAACGTTAGAGCCAACTCTGAGCCTGTGTCTGAGCCTGATGGCGAGCCCATGCTCATCCGTCCTGGTGAAGTCATCATCGTGGACTGGGAGAGTGAGAGCTTTGATGCGCTCTTCGGCGGTAAAGTCTCAGACAAGAACGGCCTGCGTGGCATGGGCACGTGGGATCTGACCGAGACTCTACCCGACCCTGAGCTCACGGAAAAGAAGAAGAAGCGGGCTGCGCGGAAGAAGTCAGGCATCACGCTCGAAGACTGCTTTGCGGAAACTGCAAAGACTGAGATTCTTTCTGAGGAGAATGCTTGGTACTGCAACCGCTGCAAGGAGCTTCGCAGGGCAAGCAAGACCCTCGAGATCTGGACGGCTCCAGACATTCTCGTAGTCCACCTCAAGCGATTTGGTGCCAACCGTGGCTTCAGGGACAAGGTTGACATCCTCGTCGATTTCCCCATCGAAGGGTTGGATATCACCGAGCGTGTGGGTCTCAGTGAAGGCAAGCCTTTGGTCTACGACCTTTTTGCAGTGGATAACCATTTTGGTGGCCTCGGTGGAGGACACTACACTGCTGTGGCAAAGAACTTCTACGACGGGCAGTGGTACGACTACAATGGTAAGTTTCTCCGAATGAGTACTTGTGTATATACTAATGCGAGACAGATTCGATGGTCAGCAAGAAGAGCCCTTCGAACATCGTCAACAGCAGCGCATACCTGCTCTTCTACCGCCGTCGCCGCACCGACGACACCCCTTTAGGCCCGCCCTACTTGCAGGACATCGTCCGGCAGGCGTTCGCTCCCGCATCTGATTCCGGTGAAGACTCGCCGTCGGGAAACGGCCGGCGTCTCGGCGGCTCATCCCCGAATGGGTCGCCGAGAGACTCGAGCGCAGCAGGAGCTGGTCCCCAGCGCGCGGCTGGTTCGGTTGGCGTGACGACGACAACGACAGCCTTGACGAATGATGATGATGATGACGATGACGCCCCGCCGCCATATGAAGATGATGAGGGCGTCTCCATGGATATCACCAGTGGACCCAGCACCAAGGCCATCGGGCTCCTCCCCGCAGCCAGTGAGCCCTCTTGGGGCTGGCCCACTGCAACGCACCAGATGGATGGCGCAGCTGACGATGATAACACAGATGTGGCGAGCGACGTCGCCGCCATGCCCGAGTCGGCTGGCAGCGACATCGAGAACCGCATGCTGGACTTTGAGGGGGAAGATGGCTTGCTCTCCGGACCCGGTAACGTTACCCCTGTAGACTCGGATCACGAGGGCGGCAACGGCATGGAGGGCCCGCCCGCGCTGCTGAACGTTGGCGCGGACTTGGAGGCCGCGGAGGCTGAAATGCCGGACTTGGACGATGTGGCGGAGGTTAGGGTAGACGAGAAGGATGTCAAGGTGGACTAGAGACATGAAAAGGGACATGGAAAAAAAAAGAGTAACTTATGAACGAAATAGGGGATTTTTCATTTTTATTCCTTTGAGCATCCTCAAGCATCCGTTGTGGGCATTTTTGGGTGGTTCCAAGTCGTTTATTGTTTGCTTCGTCTTCCCTTCGTTTTCTTTTCTTGATGACTCGACAAACAAGAACATTCATGCTGGAGACACATAAAATCATCCTCACGTCAAGGGTTGGTCGCAATGGCACAAATGAGAGAATCAACAGAGATCGGGTCTAGGTGCAAGGAAGAACGACTTCGTCCTCTATCTCTATCTCTTTTCTCCTTAGATCGCATTGTGTGGGCTAGGGATTTGATGTGTGATGGGAAAATATCTCTCTTCCGGGGGGTGACAGGTTATTGCTTACAACTGATGTAGAACGACGAAGATGATCACGGTTGGTGGATACCGAGGGTAGAACATGCATTACACGGTCCTCTGGGAGTATCTTCGTTTCTCCTCTTTTGTTGTGTTTCAATTTTGACCTCTTCGTCCACGAAATGGTATGGGGAGTTTAATGCGAACTGGAGAGTATTGGAAGAAAAGAGACGGGAGAGGATTTTGTTCTTTTTGCTAGTCTTGGGATCTCACAAGGAGACAGTGCGAGGTTCCAGGCTTTATGGCCGTGTTAGAACAAAGTATAAGAAGTCAGATTGGTGTGAGTTGGCAAGGATGCGTCGATTACTAGTTGGTTGGCTGAGTGACTCTCAGTCTCTGTCTTCTTTTTATCCGTTCAACTTTGTATTTGGCAATTTGTAAGGTTGGAGTCATTTTGTATGTAAATACGTGCACACATGAATATATACATGCATAGATCGGCGGTTACCCTTATGACAAGCACATTTACGTAGGTGATTAGATGAGTTGTTCCTCTCCTGTGGTCTTGTTCCACGTGAATCAGTATAAAGCCCTACAATTCCTCCTTTTCTTTTGTATTTGTTTATAGAGGGGCGCTGCAGCTGATGGCTAGCGCGAAGAATAGCAGGACCAGAGAACATAGCATAGATATTCCCCACTTCATTTCTTTTCCACTATGAAAAGAATATGTATGGGTAGTTGAAGCTATCGTCCGAACGTGAATGTACAATTACTAGTTCCTAATTTACATCCGGATGAGAGTTTCAACTGCCCATGGTATAAGCGAAAAATAAATTCATGCTAGCCGTCGGCTGCAATAACCCCCCGGACTGTGCGTAGAATTAAATTTTGTGCTCTTGTGCTCTCCCTACGTTTCACTCTAACCTGCATGTTGTTGTCACATTTAGCATCCTGCGTATCTGCAAGGGGAGTAATATTGACCTTCTGTACTCCCCCTTTTGTTATCTATTACCTTGCGTGAATGCCGAAACCCGCAAGCGAAGGGCTGAAGTCTTGGTACGAGCTGGTGCGCTGATGATCACTATTCATTCACTCATTCCGGTCGGAAACCAGCCGAGGCATAAAACGATCAACACCATGAAGATGCGTACCGAATCACGTTAGTCGTTGATCCCACCATATCGTTTCGTTTCAAGGGCGGGTAGGTAAGCGGAGGAGAGTCAAGGATGCTGGAAAGGGGCACTTAGGCAATGTCGAATATGTCTCATTTCCTAACTACATTCCGGGCAGCCCTTCAGGAACAGAGGATCAGAGCAGAAAACAGAAAGGGAAGCAAAGGTCAATAAGAAAAGCCGTACGCCAGTAAAATTTCAGATCACCCTCTTTTTGATGGAAGTGCATGTTGCCCAGTCCTTGCCGGACGTTCTTGCTCCCTCTCCCCCTCCCTTCCCAGACGCGATAACGCCGCCCGCCCAAAGTAAACGGTCTCGCTTTAGTACAGTCCAGGTGATACAGAAAAGAAAATCATTTAGTAATGGAATAGCATTACACTTCGTCAATAGTCTCTCACGAGCTCCCTTGTTTGAATTTCGGGAAACGCTTCGTGGACCAAGGAAAGGGGTTAATCAAAGCCTTAAACTTCAGGAGACCCTCTAAGGGACTGCCGTGTTTGGCTTGCATGCTGTTGAATAATGTATTATTCGATTGGCGAGAAAGAAAAGGTCAACAAAGGAGATAATTGATTTGGTGTGTTCGAGGCGGGTATTTGCAGTGTGAAAGGACCAATCGTGATGAAATAGGAATAACAGACTGGCCGAGGTGAAGGGTATCTCAAAGTGTGTCGTGGTCCGTTTTTCAGATGTACGATACCTTGACGCCCATTCCCACAGTTCTGCGCATCTTCTCCCACGCGATCCGTAGTAGACGTTTCACGCGATCTCGTAGATCCTGTCTACCGAATGCTAGAGCAAAGGCTAAGAGAAAGAGTAATGTGCGAAGGAATGCCATGGGATTTTGTGTCAACGACTGTGTGGCGTTCTGGAACATGTTCTGGGCGGCGCTCAATATGGCTGATGCCCGTGCAGATACGCTCTGGTTCCTTGGGCGGGGACTGAGCGCCTTCTTATTCGGCCCAGGTCGTGCTCCTCTGGATGCTGAAGTCGCAGCCCGGCCAGTATTGTTCGATGCAGGATGTGGAGACCCGTTATTTGCGGACCGATGCATACGCTGTCTGGCCTCACGTTCTTCTTGCTCCCGTCGCCGCCGAGATTCCTCTTCTTCAGCTTCGCGGCGATGTGTTTCCGCTTCCTGGCGGCGGCGTTCCAACTGTTCCTGTTGTTGCTGCCGTAGCTGGGCTTCTCTCATGGCCGCGCTTTCCTGCTCTTCCTTGAGGCCGTGCAGAGCCAGAAGAAATGCTTCCTTCCGCTCGTCATCAAGCACTTCGCTCATGCCTATGAATTCGCGAGCATATTCCCACTCGTCGTTACGCGGAAGAACGTGAAGGGTATACAGCTCGAGCAGCTTCAGGCGGGAGTTGAGGTCTCGTGGCGTATTCGTACCATGGCTCCTAATACCCGGCCGTTTTTGGGCGTAGAGGGGAGAGTTCATGTGCGCAGTGATGTCGAAAGTGGGTTGTGCCGAGGAAGAGAGGTATGTTTCGAGACGCTGCTGGGTCACTTGTTGCGACGGGGCGTGCGTCAACAGCAATGTCGCTCTACACAAGAAGAAGAGTTAATGCGAAGTTCACGGAAAGCAGTGCAGCAGTTGGCACACACAAATTTATAACGACGTCGGGGTCGACACTGCCCTCAACTCCGCCATAGCCGGCCCGCACTACTTCCTCCCACACGCTTCCATCGCGGCATTTGGAAACCAAGGCCTTCCATTTTGTACTGCCAAATGCATGCTTGCCTTCCTCGGGCCCCAGTTCTATAACGGAGTTCAAGAAGGTCAGGTAGAAGCTCCAGACCTTGACGCGGGTGCCGCGCGACGCATACGCGATGGGCGCGAATGCGGCGTATTTACTATCCTGGTCTTGTTCGGCTTCGTCGGGGAGCGCAGGAGTGATGACGGGTTCGATGGTGGAGAGGGCCTCGGGCAGGCGTCGTGTGAGGAACAGCTGAGCAGCTTGGCGGTATGTCTTCGCGATCTGCGCGGTCTGCGGCCTCTGCGGTGAGCCGAGCGAGGCGACGGAGGCCGACAGCATGTTCTCGTAGGTCATGGACATTGTTGTTGCTATTCCATGGAGGAGGAGATCCGGGGGATATGGGGGGCGCGCAGGAGGCGTTCGCGCATGCTTCCCGCACGGTGTTGTGGTAGTGATTTGCGGTGCTCAAGTGAGGAATGTCGGCCGCAAACACGCAGGCCCGCTGACGAGGACCTCGGCTCGTCGGAGCGCGGAGATTGGACCACCAGGGCACGGGGCAACGCCCGCAACGGCCTCAATCGCGCGACGGGGCCAGGGTACGCGAAGCAGGCGGGCGGCATGTGAGAGAGCCTCGCGGGGTGCGGCTCGCCTGCCTGTGCCGTGTTCGATAGTACGTATTGCTGGGCGCGCCGTCGCCTTGGGGCTTGCGACGGGCCACGATCCGGCATCGGCACACGCCAAAGCTACCCGGCGCTCCTGCTGCATCGGCAGTCGGCAGCCACCGCGCCTGCGTCTCGGGCGAAAGATGCCGTCATACCACCCCGGGCTCCCTCATCACCACCGCGCATCACGTCCACGGACCCTGGCAGCATCATTGCTTCATTGCTAACACCAAACCAACGCATGCGGGTTGCCGCTTGCAAACAACACTGCAGCATCAAACAGCCGGCAAATTTCTCGCCTTTGCCACCACCCAGCACTTTGAATCGTTTTCTAACGGGCTCCTTCGCTGCATCACAAATCCAACGCACGCCTGAAAATTTCGTACACTCCCCTGTTGTTTTGGCACGTGCGGCTCTGCTTAAGCCTCGCCGCTGCCACTTAAGTTTTCTCGACAGTCCCGAGAGGCATTCAAACGCGAATTAACCCAACATGGAGGTCGATAAGACGGCCTTCTGGGGCCGTCTCCTTGAGATCATTGAAGCTGTATCCACCGCTCACTTCGTCGCTTTTGACTTGGAGCTGTCTGGTATCCCTTCGAAGGGGACTTCCGGCACCAAGCAGACCTTGGAAGAGCGCTACAACGAGATCAAAGACGCTGCGGACCGCTACCAAATCCTGCAGATTGGCCTGACTTGCGTTGAGCAGGATCTACAGTCTGAGAGATATGTTGTGCGCCCTTACAATTTCAATCTCAGCCCTTTGCTCGAAGAGAGATTAGACATTGAGAGAATCTGGTCTTTCCAAAGCGGCGCCGCCGAGTTCCTTCTGAGCGTCGGTTTCAAAATGGATCTTCCCATGACGAAGGGCGTCCCCTACCTCTCCAGGGAAGAGGCCAAGGAAACCATGAAACTGACACATAAGAGGTGGGACAAGTCTACCATCGCGGATGTTCAGCTCAAGGAAGACGAAGTGCAATCTCTGGAATTCGTCAATAAGGTTCGCACTGCCATTGACACCTGGAAGGAGACAGGCAAGGTAAGTCACGTAATAAGCTGTGCACCGTCCCACTCTACGGTCGGTGACAGGAAGTAGCTTCGCACACGCATGTGAGCGGCTGCTATGTCTTTGTTCCCACTTCAACTACCTGCGATAGTGTTGTTTCTTGGGCCGATCCGTTGGTAGTTTCTTCCACTAATCACTGGTAGCCTTTCCCGGATCTTCTCAATATCGTTTCTACCAACCCTGTCGGTGTGCAACCCACTTACCCTGAGCTTGGCAACTTCGAAAAGCGCCTCGTACATCAGCTGGTTCGTGCCGAATACCCGGACCTCATAACCGTTTCCAAGCCCCAGTCCATACAGATCAAGCCCTTCGACGAGGAGAGGGAGAAAGGTTTCTTAAAACGGAGGAAGAACAACCTTGACCGCCAGATTGAGCGACAGACAGGCTTCCGCTGGATCATAGAAGCCCTCTGTGGCGGAGAGCTGAATATCAACCCAGAATTGTTCGCTCGAGATGTCGATACTGGGGCGGCGAAGTCTGCTAATATGATTCATCTGAAAGCGCGCTTCGACCGCGCCCGCTTAACGCTGCAACGCAGGAGACCGGTTCTCGTTGGACACAACTTGTTCACAGATATCCTTTACTTGTATCGCACCTTCATTGGCCCGTTGCCTCTAACGCTCGAAAAATGCCGTGAAAAGCTTCACAAACTCTTCCCTCTTGTCGTCGACACCAAATACGTGGCTACCCACAACTGTGGAGACATAAACCCGAGGTCTTCTTTGGAGGAGATCCACCACAAGCTCCGCGACCAAGATAAACCCACTATTGGTAACTATACCGAATATTTGGGCATATATGCAGCAGGCTGAACAAAGAGTAGTTACACATCCTGCACATGAAAAATACCACACTACAACACCGCTGCATGAGGCAGGATATGACAGCTTCTTGACTGCCCTCATAATGATTCGCTTATCGACCAAGCTTGAACACGACGGCGCATACCTGAAAGATGTATCGCTGGCAGACAGCGACGACGACGAGGCTTATGACACGGCTGAAGAGATCCTCCCAGATCGAAGCGGGTCTCCCCCGCTTGCTACGCCAAATCAAGGAATGATCACTCTCGATGGAGTAACCGAGCTTCTCACGCCAGCGATCACGCCCGGTGTCGACGGCGATCAAACTGCTTTGATGCAAGAAGTTGCACCTCTAGCCGACACGGACACGGCGCAGAAGAAAGCATCGCGTAAGAAGAAAAAGAAGAAGGGCGGCCAGACAAACACCAACACCAAGAGCTCATCAATGTTCTCTTCGAAAAATAAATTCGAACAATTGGCTATAGCTGATACCGAGAGCGAGGGCGAAATGGCTGATGTCGAGAGCGAGAAAGAAGATGCAGGGGCAACGTCCGAATTGCTGCAGAATGACTTATTGAGCAAACGGCCGGAGAAATCACAAGTCGAGGCGGTTCAGTGGGGAGGAACAACCTATTATTCATACGAAAATGAGGGCGCGGCCCCGCAGAGTTCCACTGTCAATCGAGAAGCAACAGAGCCGATGACTCTCATGCCTCCGTTCGAAACGGACTTTTGGCGCGTATATGGCAACAAGCTGCGGGTTTTCGGTACCACGGAGAGTGTTTGGAAGCTGCGGCCGTGAGTAAGTGTTGGTGGATGGATATAGCAACCCTGCGGGCGGTTGGAGAATTGGACAAGACGCGTAAGTATAGAAAACCAACAATCCAACATGGGAGCCAACTCTTCAGCTGGAGCACGATTGAACAAACAATTCTCCAGCCGGAGTTTCTGCTGTGGCATTCGTGGGCCTCGACCTAGGCGGCATGGGCAAAGGCGTTCAGCGAGCGGGTTAGCATAGCGATGGACCATAGACAGGCATGGCGTGGCGTCGGGCGATTCCATGTGGCTGATGCGCGGGAGAGAAGAATGCGCCCTAGCACAATTCGCGCGGCGGGGCGGACGCAGGGTTCCTTGGTTCGACCTGCGCCCGGCAAATGGGATTACGTTCCTGCATGCGCACCAAAAAAAGTTTGTCAGGTGTCGGGCCAGTGGGCTGTGAAGCGCTGTCAGGGACGGCTTGTCAGCCGTGCCTGATGCGGGTTTCGCGTCAGAACGCAGGAGGAATCCAGGAGCTGGCGTGATTGCGCGTGCATGCACAAGTCCTGCAAATTATCAAAAGACGTTAGAGTTGAAGACATGATCGGCCGCAAGCACACGAGCTTGGCGCACGCGGCATGGGCGCCAGGCATGCGGCGAGATTGGATGTGGAGTAGCTCATGGTGTTGTGCGAGTGGTATCATGTTGACAAGGGCTGCTTGCCCGATGGCAGCGATAGCCATCGATCTCTGGCGGTGCGAGAGTCAGGCGCCGTGGAGCGCTGATGACGATTTACTCGATAGGCGGGGCCTAAATGCTTGCGCGGTAATTTGTGGCCCTACCGCCTCTTTCTCCACGGCCCCTAAGTGCTTTTAAGGTGCGCCAGGCTAAGCTGTCAAACGGCGATAAAAGTGCCACCATGTCTTCTTGCGCCTAACAGGACCCCTTGCCTCCAACAAACCCCCAACTGACAGGAGCTACCCGGACCTTCAATTCGCGAGCCTCTAAAGACTCCGCGGCCGCGCGCCGCTCGCTTTGTCCGCCGTCCGACCCACCCCAATCCTTCGAGAATGTCCGTATCGCCTACGTCACTGCCTCGCCGGCCGGTGCGCTATCTCGTCGCTGCCGCAATCGCTGCCTCCCTTTTCTTCTACTGGTCCGCCATTACCGACCGCCTCTCCTCGCCTTTCCACCAGTACAATGTCCACGGCATTCCAGCGACCAATTCGACCCTAGGCTTCGGTCGCATCTACGCCGTCTCCAAGCAGGGCTCGCCGCGCCGCGAGGGGCTCATCCACGCCGCCAATGTCACCGAAATCGACATCACCATCCCCGAACAGCCACGCTGGACGCTAGAAGATGAGGAAAACTTCAGGCTGCCCGAGAACTCGACACTGGGGCGCGGCTCGCTCCTAGCCTGGCTAGGACACCTGCACGCCCTTCGCGAGTACGTCCGCCCTTTACACTGGTGCGCAACCTGAGAATAAGTTATTGATGGAGCTCGCAGGTTTATGGACTCCGGCGCCGAGACGGCCCTCATCCTTGAAGACGACGTCGACTGGGACATCCGCCTCCGATCGCAGCAGATCCCGCTTGTCGCATCCGCCATTCGCGCGCTGCTCCCCGACGCCAAGTACCCGCAGTACCCGTACGGACACCCTAAGAACTGGGACTTGCTATACATGGGACACTGCGGCGACTACTGGCACGGCATGGACATCGGCTTCGAGAAGGGTCACGTAATTCCGGAGAACCTGACGGCCACTCCGCACATCGCCTTCCGTGACGAGTCGCTGCCGGATTTCGACAACCTGCACCCATGGACGACATCGCTGTTGGAAAACCTGAACGTGACCGAGCGCACGCGTCTGGTGCACCGCAGCCGCTTCCCGCTGTGCACCTTTGCCTACGCTGTGACGCGTCATTCAGCCAACCGCCTCCTGACGGAGCTGGCGGGCCGCGAGTCGTCGCGCCCCGGCGATCACGCGTACGACATCACCATCCTGCGCGGCTGCATCTCGGACGGTCTCCGCTGCTGGAGCATCAATCCAGAGCTCTTTCACCACGTTCCCGGCGACAGCATGATCGCCGGCATCGAGCACACGCCCGACCGCGTCCCGCCCGTCGACGAGAGCGGCTGGTGGCAGGTCCAGCAACGTGCTGAGACGACCAACATCGATTGCGGCTTCTGGACGGGGGCATTTGACTTCAAAAGTAACGATCTGGATCGGCTGCGTTGGCTGCAGCAGGAGGTCGGTCGCAAGGGCCGTTGCATCAAGCCCGGCAGGGAGCTCCAGACGCAAACGGTAGAACGACCGCCTCCGAAAGTACAGCCGCCGAGCGCGGAGCGCCCGAAGAAAGCGAACCAGGTCCCTTGAACGGAAAACGAGAATAAACGACTTGTGCTGGATTCAACGACTGAGGGATTTTGACTTTTTTTTTTCTTCTCATTTTGCGTGGAGGAAGGCTGTGCATAAGGTTGGTTTGCCTCCTGGTGTCGCATTTTTGTACAGGACCCTTTTTATTTTCTTCACCCTCACCCTTTCATTCAACCAAACTAAACGCGGAATGGCGTCATGGTAATGTTTTGCGTCATGCATATTGGGAGTCAATGTGGGCTTTCTCACGTTTTGCATTTGTTCATGTACTGATTCAGTTGGTTGCATGAATTGCGACTCTCGTTTCCTCTTTGGCTATTTCACTGCGCTTCCCGGAGGTGGAAGGCGACAGTCTTTTTTGAAGATACCTCAAATGTTGTAGACTTGGAATTTTCCCTTCATTGAATTGATACGTGTAATAACAATACCTCTGGACACCTTTTTCGACGTGTCGTTCTCCATCCGTGTGCATCTGGCAAACATTTTGAATGCAAACCTAGCGGGTCGCTTGAAGGTTGTTGGACAAGTTGGTTCATTCATCTGTAGATGTGTGTCAGCAGCAGAGGTACTTGGTTTGAACCAACCGTGGTTTAGTGCATCCATGTGGGCTGTGCACGTCCGACTCGTTGGCTTCTTACATGCAGCTGACTCTGGCGCTTCGCTAGCAGATGGTACTGTTGGCTTGGTTTTCTATTTCTAGAATACGGAACCGCCAACTCCCGCGAGTACGTTGATGTAGGAAGGTTCCTGCCTGCGTAAAGCTGCCATTCATCGGACCTAGCTTCGGAGACGGAAGGCTCGCGGTATAACCTGACCTTTAAAGGGAGGAGGAAGAAACCCCCTCGAAGAGAACGATAGGCCCAACACAGCAGAAATTTGGCAAATGGTCTTGCCCAGGACTCGACCGAGGATCAAAGTGACGCGATAATATCACAAGCTTTGCTCCTAGATTAAAAACTCTAAACTTTGGTTTAGTCGAAAGTCTAAGAGTAAGGTGAGGAAGCAGACAATTTTATCAACGGACCTGAACCTCGAGTGAGGTGTCATAGTATTTATGATTTTAGATGCGTCTGAATAGGAACTAGCCGTGGTATAGGGAGTTATCGCAGCCGACGGCTAGCATGAAGAATAGTAAGGCCCTCGGCGTAGCATGCCTCAGCTCTTTCTCAGAAAAACAACGTACTTGGGTAGCTGAAGCTATTGTCCGGACATGTATGTAAAGGTTTTAATTCCACATTCTTGTTCGGACGATAGCTTCAACTACCTATGGCATGAGCAAAAAACAAATCCACGCTAGCCATCAGCTGCGAGAGGGGACTGTACTTAGCTTCTTAGTATATCATCCCTGCTTGCATGGATTTACAGGAGCTACCTATCACCACGTGTCAAAGATGCAGGGAAAAGAATGCTGGTCAATAGAAGCTTCGATTTATGGCACGAATCGGAATTCACCCCGGTCGTATATCCACTAGCGCCGCATCAACTTCCATTAGGCACATTCTCCACGTCTTCACTGATGACTGACAACACCGTACTTCCCCGGATCTACGAAGAAAGACCGTAGCTTGGGGGGTTTGAGTCAACGAAATTGCGGGGTAACGATGCTCAAGAAAGCTTGAGTCGAGCGTTCAGTAGCGAATAGGCTTCGTTTCGGAAGAAATAGGAGACTAATGGACACGCCTTATCTGCTTCGCGCCTCGTCAAGCCAGCACGAGCATGCGGAGAGGTGCGGAGATGAGCGTCACAAAAACTGGTATCATTATTCTCTCCGGGACTCTGAGGGGACCGATTTCCAATCATCTTTACTCCAGGCCACCTCCATTTTTCCGGAACGAGACCTTCTCCACTCCTACATTTTCGTTTCCGTTGGCGTCCTTGCGCAATTGGTACACGTAGAGCACCAGAACGTCTCCCTGGACCTGTGATTGACGCGTCAGCCTGTCGGGTGGCTGCCTGGAGCGGAGGAGCACGCAGACGCACATCCATGAGCACGAAGCTCGGGGTCGGATCCTCCTCCTCGGGCCACCAGCCGGTGGTCATGGCGCCGGTTGCGCTGCCGGGGTTGACGAAGAACTTGCCCTCCATCTCGTATGCCTCGAAGCGGTGGGTGCCGCCCCACAGCAGGACGTCGACGTCCATTTGGCGAGCGGCGATCAGCAGGCTGTCCGGATCGCCCGGCGGGAGGATGGTGTGGCCATGGGTGAAGCCGATGCGCAGCGAGCCGTGGGTGACGACCTTGGAGAGGGCGAGGTTGGGCGCCTCGACGTCGAAGTCGCCCTTGACGATCTGCAGGTCGGGAGCGATGCTGCGCAGGAAGTCGTAGGTATCCTTGTCGGTAAGGTTACCGAGACATAGTATCTGGCCGATTTTGCCCGGGGCGAGGAGCTTCCTGAACTGCGGCGCGGTCAGAGCGAGGGAGGGGTCGCGGCGGGAGCTCTGTCTACCTTTGCGGGAATGTCCTGGTGGAGGGCGTCAGCCGGGGCGAAACGGGCGCTGTGCGGGGGAGGAACGGGGGCATACCGCGGCCCTGTCCGGGATGAAGAGGTCACCGAGGCATAGGACTAATCTCGAAGTCATGGCGTGGGCGCATACGATGTTGAGCGGAGGAGCAGCACATGGGCGAGATGGCGGGCAGGCCGTACGTAGGAGCTCCCGCCGCGCACGCGCCTCCGGGCTCGGGGCAGGCGGAGGAGAAGGCGGAACTGGGCGCGCCAAGCTCCGCGCGCCCACGCAAAACCCTCCCGGCGGAATAACGCGAAACTGTGCGTTTTCGTGCGGGAAAGCGACCCCGGCGCTTGCAGGCTCCTTCTCGGGCGCTATTGCGAAAATGCAGCCCTCAATGGCAACCGCTGCCTCTCCGGCGGCGGGTCCAGGCGCTCAGCACGTCCTCGAATGACACTACCCCGGACGCGACCCGAAGTCGGCAAGTGTACGTACCGAGCCTCTGAAACTTTTTGTCTCCTTACTCCGCGTCCTCCAGAGACATAAATTCGGCTTCGCTCCCGTTGCAAATCGCCCCATCCGCATTGGAAGTGTGAGGTGGGCCCTGAGCGACTATCTCCAACGTCACCCGAGATCCCTCGCCCGAAACCGGCACCCCGGCCACCCCGCGCCGCCTCTTAAGCATCTACCCCTCCTTCCCGTCGGCCGCCAACCTGGCTTCCCGAGCGCAGCCCCGTCTAAGTCTCATTGAGAGACACTTGGACGTTAAACTTCCCCTCAACACTCCCTTCTGTGTTGCACCACCGGACAACGACTTCGACCTCCAACAAGCCGCAACCACCCACGACGATCCCACAATGTCTACCCAAGAAGAGCACCCCACCCTGCTCATTCCCGGGCCCATCGAGTTCGATGATGCCGTCCTTCAGGCGATGAGTCACTACAGGTACGCTGCGCCGTCACTCAGCGCCTCTTAACAAGTCACTGACACGCATTCACCATGCAGTGAGTCGCACGTCGGCGCTGCCTTCGTCTCAGTCTTCGGCGAGACCCTCTCGATGCTCCGGAAGCTGTTCCAAACCTCCAACCCCGCATCTCAGCCTTTCGTTATCTCGGGCTCGGGAACATTAGGATGGGACCAGGTCGCGGCCAATCTTACGGAGCCGGGCGATGAGGTGCTCGTTCTCCACACCGGGTACTTTGCCGATTCGTTCGCCGACTGCTTTGACACCTACGGCGCCAAGCCCACTCAGCTGAAGGCTCCCATTGGCGATCGTCCCCAGCAGGATGCCGTCGAGAAGGCTCTTAAGGAGAAGAAATACAAGCTGATTACTGTCACTCACGTCGACACCTCTACCGGTGTCCTCAGCGACATCAAGTCCCTGGCCGAGCTCGTCCACCGCGTCAGCCCCGAGACTCTGATCGTCGTTGATGGTGTGTGCAGTGTTGGCTCGGAGGAGATCCGCTTCGACGACTGGGGTATTGATGTGGTTCTCACGGCCAGCCAGAAGGCCATCGGCTGCCCTGCCGGTCTGAGCATCGTCATGGCTTCCGGCCGCGCCATTGAGACCTTCAAGGCCAGGAAGACCAAGCCCGCCTCTTACTTCGGCTCGTGGAAGAACTGGCTGCCCAGTGCGTTTCTTCACCCCCACTTTCATGCAGTCTGCTGACCACTTACAGTTATGCAAAACTATGAGGCAAAGAAGGCCTCCTACTTCGCCACTCCTTCCCCTCAGCTCGTCCGCGCCCTCCACACCTCTCTTACCCAGATCCTCGCCTCTCCTCTGGATGAGCGTTTCGCTCGCCACAAGGAGGTCTCGCAGAAGATCAAGCAGACGATTACCTCTCTTGGTCTGAAGCAGCTCGCTGAGAAGCCTGAGAACCAGGCCAACGGCATGACAGCCATCTACCTGCCCGAGGGCATTGCCGCAGCCCAGATCCTGCCCAACCTTCTGCAGAAGAAGGTCATTTTCGCTGGTGGTCTCCACAAGGAGATCGCCTCCAAGTACATCAGATTCGGCCACATGGGTGTCAGCGTGATGGACCCCAGGAAAAATGACATTGATCGCGCCCTCGACGCGCTGAAGTCGGGTCTCTCGGAGGCTGGCTACCAGGCGCCCTAAATTTGAGCGTAGAGGAATATACACAGTCTCCGCCTCTGATCTTGGTATGATGAAGATGTTTTCATGACAAAAGGTTACGTGACATAGATTGGGGGGACGACAGAGAATGGAACGGGTGCATGCGGCACCCATGTACATACATGGCAAAAAAGAGGGGTTTCTGCCCTCATTTGTTTCTTTTTCCCCACCGTGCTCGATTTTATCCCGTGTGACTCCTTTGAACTTGCGTGTGCGCATCTTTTTTCCTAATTAGGAAATATGACTCGTTCCCCCACGGACCCGGATGGTGCATGGGTTTTGACGTGGCCCGAATCCTCCCGTAGGTTGAGCTTGTTTAGACGTGCATGGTCTCGTCATCGTGGCTAGGCACGGTGTATGAGATTGGTTCGCTTAATGATGCTGGCAACAAATAGTGAGGGAAGTGATGCTGTATCCGGTTTCGTAGGTAGGATGCAGGTGTGCGTCTCTATGAATGCTTTGACTATCCTCTGGAATTGTAGTGCCCAGAGAACCAGTGCTCTATTGCCTCGTTGGATAGCATCTATGAACTTTGCTTCACATAATGGATTTGAACTCTTCTATAATCTCGCAATGCTGCTGTAAGATATATTATCAGCATTACTTGATGATTTAATTCTATGCTCTAAGAGAAAGTCCTAGACATACACTCTATAAGAACACCATTCTAGTTTGTAGTTTTGAGAAGTTTTCAACAAATGATCGGATATAACAATCTGAATTTTGTGATAAATGTATCCGTGACAAGGTGAGCTGTTGTTCCCATTCAGTGAAGAGTCCGAAAATAAGGTAGGGTTTACGGTTGAGAACTAACGAAGGAGCGTGTCTAATGCTGAGAAAATAAATATTCTTCAAAGTGCTAGTTACGAGACAGACGCCTCAACATGAGCAATAGCATTGATACTTCATCTATGCCGGCCACTACCAAATTTCTCGGGCGATTGACTGATTGACAATGACTCCGATAGTAATTGATTGCTGGGACGGCGCGCGAAGCAAAGATATTGAAACACTTTTCTTACTATATTCAATGCTGAGATTCTATCTAAATGCAACTCAATAATTTAACTTGTCGTTTACTTGAAGGAAATCGTCACTGATTAAACGCAACTTGTGTTCTACATACACACAAGCTAAGCAGATCCGCAACAATATTCTCGGGTTACTACTCCGTCGAAGTGCTCTGCAACAGCATAAACGGACTCACGGCAGTCGTATGGCGTGGCTGAGACGCGTGGTGGGAACGGTAGTCGGCATCGTCCCGGTTATAACGGCATTGGGACCTTACGCTCTTGCTCCACCGACGATGCCGAACGCATTCTAGTCATTTGAGACAATGCTCACCATCTAATCCTTATTTGTATGTTCTGATGCTGTTACTGAATATTATTGTAGTCGTTACTATCACACTCTTCGTTCCCTCCCTTTCTATTTATAAAGTGTTGACGGTTTAACAAAATTAAAGCAGAGCTCAAGTGAGACATATCCCAGAGTCCAATGACAAAAAGAAACCAAAGCTCAACCTCGAGATACCAAAACAAAATGCAAAAAAGAACAAACGGGTTATTATGCGACACCTGTGAGATTCGAACTCACGCTCCCGAAGGAACTGGCTAACAGCTGCTTCCATCAGAAAGTAGCAGGCCAGCGCGTTAACCACTCCGCCAAAGTGCCATAGTAGCACTGCGAGAGACTTGACAGCTCTCGGAGTGTGATTGTTGAGAAAGCGCATTAATTTTGATCAATATATGCTGCAAAACAGGTCTCTCGAATGCTCAAAGGCTCACTTGAAGATATTTCATCGTCAGATTAGTAACTTTCCTCAATTAGTAGCCAAAAAGATAAAGCAGAATCGGCTCTACATAGCCCAGTTGAATTTTAACAATATAAAGGTGAAAGCGGGAGAATGCAGAGATTTTCATGGGTTCGGCGACTCTTCTTGTTCCTCGCCAAGGGCGCTATTTTTAGCTCCCGCCTAGTCTTTTTCCAACCTCAACCTAAGCTATTCCAGATAAAGTAGGCTAATGGATATTTATCGGGTTCTTCCTTGAATTGCTGCCGCTCCCTTCTACCCAAATCCACGGAATGAAAATGAGCACCTATGAAGAGAATGGATATATTACTTACGTGTGCTGCAGACTGAGACTCCCTTGCGCCTAGATGGAGGATCAAGATCCATTCGCTTTGGTTTGGGCAAGAAAGATCAAAGCTGGTCGTTATACTTAGAAGAGAGCGAAAATACAGAGGCTCAGCGAATACTTAACATATATGGGTAGTTGAAGCCATCGTCCGGACGTGTATGTAGAATTTTTAGACTAGAATCGATTCATCTGTAATAGTATTCCTATCTGCGCCCGCGCCACCGGCTGCTCTGACACCCTTTGCAACTTCATGCACTGCCCCAACATTTTATGCTGCCGCTGAAGTCGTTGAACCTTGTCCCAGTCAAATCCACCGAGCCAGGCCAGACCATCTGGTCAACCAAGCCTTCGCAATCATTTCCACTTCAGCGTGTTAGATATTCAGCCTGTGGCATCGGAGTAAATGGAGAAACATACGCATAGAGGCCACAAATGCTGTTTTGCCCAGGTTGTATAGATGAGATTTTGTTCGTCCTACGCGCTTGCAAAAAATTGGTTTGTCGTCAAGAAAAATGTCCAAGTCAGGGGTAGAAAGAGGGCACTCACCACTCTGGACCGAGTGGCTGGCAGTAGTTGAATGGTCGGGCGATGTAAGCGCAATCTCCTTGGAAGTACGAGTCTTCACAGAAGAGCACCTGAGATTAAAAAAGACGTGTTAATTTGCTCTCTTCGGATGAGACTCATTCGGAGTACGTACGAAATAGTAGTCTTTTGGCAACGTGTAATTATGGGGCGCTTCGAGTGGAAAAGCGCATATAGTTTCGGCAAGAATGCCCAGTATAAGTGTTAAGGGGCGCTGAAGTTGCATCTCGTTGACAATCAAAGGAGTCTGGCGTAGGAGGATGGGGTGGGAACAATTTGGTGGTTCAAATAGCTAGCGACCGAGCCATATATCTCTTGAAGCCGTCTCGCATGTCCGGCATCATAAGGTTTGGGCGACTGACTTTGGCACGGTCATTCAACGGACCCCATCGGGATCGCTCGGCAAAAGGGAACTTGGAATGATTGGTCATTAGCTCAAGTCACAGAGATGTTGGAACACACCACCAGGCTGGAGATGGATAATGGCCTTCTTGGTATTTGATCTGTCTTAGGTACGTGCGACCAAAGTGAGGAGGTACGAATGGTTCACACATCACAATGAACGATATGAAATTGCGCCAGAAGACATCTCGGCATCGACTTGAACATCTGTCTAAATGGAAATCTACTAGTGACAGGCAGTTAGAACGGCACTGGAGCTCTGGCATCTCCGGGTTCAAAGTTCAGCGAGAGGTTCTCTTCCGAGGTTGTGTTCTGCATGTCGCACGAGCGCACCCCGTGACGCGCAACTTGTTGTACCCAGGGATAAATCGGTGATACAGGCAAAGATAGTTTCTGATTGCTAGGCTCGTGACTTGGGAAGGCGACAGTTTCAAGATCTCATGTTGCTAGTATGACGCCAAAACGCCGTTCAGCACGGACCCTTACTTTGTGATTCCAGCTCTGGTACTTGTATTTACTTCTCGTCAGGTTGGTCGAGAGAATTATCATTTGTACTACTCCTCAAGTGGTCAGAAGACGGGCTTCGGCAATATCCAGGGATAACCAAGGGGGACGACACTGTATGCTTGGGGGTGACCTGCAAACTCATCGAGCCGGCCAGAAGCAAGCAAAGGAAAGGCAGCATTCATGCCCGAGTAGGAAGGCGTAGGTGGCGATAAGCAGGCGCCTATCATCTGTACGAGCACATCATAGATCCACCATGATTTATCCAAAAAGAAATGAGCTTCCCAATCGAGAAAAATTATTCCACAAGCTGCGGGATCTGGTAAAAGGCAAGAAAGACGTGTTCCAACCTACCAGGTCCCGATTGTGGTGATTTCTTGCCAGCATAATGTAATGCTAATGGTCGGTGATTGCGAGACTCGGCGGTGTCCACCGGAACTCACTCACCTGAAGCGCGTGCAAAGAGGGTTTGCCGGTAACATGTGTGCTGTCTGCACAACTTTTGATGCTTTCCTGGTTGGACAGTCATTTTTCCCACCGCAAGCAGAACCACGCTCGGCATATCCCAGCCATAACGCCTGCCGAGTCATCATACTCCATTTCCTTTGTTTATCCTCGCCTCTCAAGCTTGGCCTTCTCCAAAGCCTCTGCATCGGCCGGCTTCTCTGCAGACAAGGCGTGGGCATCCCTACTAGACTTGATCTGCTCCTTGCTGAACAGGGCTTCCTTTAGCAGTGATGATTCGGAGACTTGATCGGCCTGGCCGTGGCGGCGACGCGCCTCGTTCTTCCAGCTTATCTGACCACCGTCTGCTTCTCGATGTTTCTGAGCGTTGAGCTTTGCGGCGCGAATTGAGGTGCGAGTGTAGACGAAGAGGAGGCTAGCCATGGTTACGGCAGCAAGGGGGGCCATCATGGTCTACGAGTGGACGTTAATTTTGATCACGGTGGGGAGTAGAAATGCCGACCCTGCCGTTGAACTTGAAGGAGCCGGGCGGGCGCGTTGGGCGCGACGTCTCATTCAGGCCGTCGGGGCCGCGCGGAACGGATTGACGACCACCCATGGTGCTGGCGGGTATCGCTCAGGGGGTGCGAAGGTGCAGTGGGTAGCAATGGGGAGCTTTGCGATGGCGTGAGTTGCAGCTTCCAGATCGACGTCATGACAAACCCGGCGGGACGGGAGAGCACGGCGCCGCGCGCCTGCAGCTGCCCGTTGTAGTGCGGCGCATTGACATGGATGCCGGCATGCACGCTCTCCTCAGCGGCTGCAGTATTTGATATTCTCATCGGCGTCGTCGGCGACGTCGCTGACTAATGTTGCCGGATGCTGGCCGCCACGGCGAGCAAAGGCAGATTCGGCGACTCAACAATGTTTCTGATCGTTGATTACGGATCACCAGGCTGACTTGCATCATCAATAATTGGACGCATCGGGACTAACTCCAACGCCGCCTAGACCCTGTCGTCATTAACAACCCGCGTCGCGCGTCGATACAAATCCACCCCGCGCCCCTCCACGTCTTCAGCCGCAAGGCCAAGCTGCCAAACTGTCTTCCACAATTTTCTCGCGGACCCTTCTTGCTACGCCGTCAAGGCTGGCTCAGAACAGGCTTACGGCTGTACAGCGTCAATTTTCCTCTTTCCGTCCCGCCATGGCGCCTGTGCCCAAGGAGTGCGACTACCTCGTCATTGGAGGTGGCAGCGGTGGTCTTGCCTCGGGCCGCCGTGCCAGCGCCCTGTATGGCGCCAAGACGATTGCTGTCGAGAGCAAGCGTCTAGGAGGAACCTGCGTCAACGTCGGGTAAGCCCTGCTCTGCGCCCCACCTTGCACCACCACCATACTGACCCGGCGCAGTTGCGTGCCCAAGAAGGTGACATGGAACGCCGCCGCCCTGGCCGAGAGCTTCAAGGATGCGAGAGCCTACGGCTTCAAGTACGACAACCTGTCCTTCGACTGGAACACAATGAAGACGAAGCGCGACGCCTACGTGAAGCGCCTGAACGGCATCTACGAGCGGAATTTGGGCAACGACAAGGTCGAGTACATCCACGGCTTCGCCTCGTTCCAGGATCAGAACACGGTCGAGATTGCGCTGGACGATGGTGGCAAGGAGCTGGTCAAGGCGAAGCACATACTCATTGCCGTCGGCGGACACCCCGTTATTCCCGACATTCCTGGCAGGGAGCTCTGCATCGACAGCGACGGCTTCTTCGACATTGAGCACCAGCCGAAGAAGGTCGTCACTGCCGGTGCCGGCTACATTGGCGTCGAGCTGTCGGGCATGTTCAACGCCCTGGGCACCGAGACGCACTTTTTCATCCGTGGAGACAAGGTCCTGCGCAGCTTTGACCCCATTATCCAGGACACCATTACCGCCGAGTACGAGCGCCAGGGCATGAACATCCACAAAAAGTCCACCATCACCAAGGTTGAGGATGCTGGCAATGGCAAGAAGCGCGTCTACTACGACGAGGGTGACGGCAAGGAACATATCATTGAGGACGTTGACCACGTTCTGTTCGCAATCGGCCGTGCCCCCGAAATCGAGAAGCTCGGCATTGACAAGCTGCCCGGCTTGAAGCTGAACCAGAAGAACCACATTGTTGTTGACAAGTACCAGAACACCTCCGTCGACAACATCTACGCTCTGGGTGACGTCTGCGACCGAGGTTTCGAGCTTACCCCTGTTGCCATTGCGGCAGGCCGTCGTCTCAGCGACCGTCTCTTTGGCGGCAAGAGCGATGCCCACCTGGAGTACGAGAACATCCCGTCTGTGGTCTTCGCCCACCCCGAGGTCGGCTCTATCGGTTTGTCCGAGCCTGAGGCGCGCGCTAAATACGGCGACGCCGTCAAGGTGTACAAGACCAACTTCACTGCCATGTACTATGCCATGATGGAGCCCGAGCACAAGGGTCCAACGGCTTACAAGCTCATTGTCGAAGGCCCTAATGAGCGTGTCGTCGGCCTTCACATTCTGGGCGAGGGCTCTGCCGAGATGCTGCAGGGCTTTGGTGTTGCTGTCAAGATGGGCGCAACAAAGGCTGACTTCGACCGCTGTGTTGCGATACACCCAACTAGCGCAGAGGAGCTGGTTACGTTGAAATAGATGTAAAGGAGATTTGGATGTAGATGATATCCCGAAAGAGTTGAATAGCAGCATCCCTTGTACTCTTGGACCAGCCTGGACAAAGTGAAATTCGAATCGCCTGAAGAAAGCGGGCGGCCAAATTTAGACAAGGTTGTCTCGGGCAGTGAAGGAAGGGTTGAGGTCGTACAGTCAGCCAACTGACGCCATGTGCCAAGCAACTTCCGCACACCGAATCACCCTGGATGTTCGTAAAAACCTAGCCACTCACCTCTCCTGTCCTCGTCGCTTCCACCCTTCCGTCACGACTCCACTAGCCAGGGAGGTCAAGCGTTCCTGATGTCTCGTGAAATGAGCGAGAAAGGCAATTCACGACAGGGAGGCTCGCATCTCCTTCTAGCCTCTTTCACGTACACGTTGGCCAAGCACCAGCCTCAATTACTCCCTCGATCGTGAAGAGGCTTGCACTCAGCCAGTCCTTTGATCTCACCTCAGCCTTGAGCATTGTTACGCATGCTACAGAGAATCAGGAGCCTTAATCCGCGGTTGGTATCCTCGGTCCAGCGCAAGCCACTTCCGCCTCACGGAACTTAGCGAATTCAGGCTTACGGAGGACAGGCTGTTACTAAGGTGCAGGTTCTGGATTCTTCTCTCCAGAGCCATGCAGCGATGGGTCGATGAGGCTTGCGGCAGCAAATTCGCCTCATTAGCCACCGCGAAGCGGATAATTATTCAAAATACCACACAATCTCAAGCGAAGAATGCCACTTCCCGTGCGAATAAGGTGGGAATCCCCTGTGGCTGGTTAGGAGGGAAGCACGATCATTCGCCACCCCTTGCCGGAGGCATTCCCCATCGTCTTGTCCCGCATTCCTGATCGCTCAACCACCATCGTAGCCACTTGACAATATGGCTACGCAAGGGTTTGACGCCAGGACGCGCTGGACGCGTTTCAGCGCGTGTGTTTGCCTCTTCCATTAGCATGTCTAACCCCCGCCACGGATGTCTTGCCGCGCAAGCTGGCCTCACAGCGTAGTAGCGAAAGGCTCGCTGACGGGTGCACAATTTTTTTTCGACTGTCTCTGGCTTTCCGTCTTCCTCATCAATTCCAAGGGCTGTTGCTTCCCAACAGTGAGAGACGTCGAACGGCTCGGCATGCTGCTGTTCATACTAACACTGCTGCTCGCTGCAGCCATAGAAGCAGCCCCGATAGTATCATTCCCGCTCAACTCACAGGTTCCGCCGGTTGCCCGCGTGTCGCAACCATTCGACTTCCAATTCTCCCCTGGAACCTTCACAGGAGCAGCAGGATCGCTCGAGTATAGTCTCTCCGGATCTCCGACATGGCTCTCATTGGATTCGCCCAATCGCAGACTGTACGGATCTCCCACAGAGAAGGATATCGGAGCACCGTCATTTACGATAATCGCCGAGGATGCTACCGGCTCAACGCCTATGCAGGCAACCCTTATTGTCTCCGCCGATGCCGCGCCAAAGTTGAATGTGGACATCACTGATTCTCTGGCAAAGGCCGGGAAGCTGTCCGGTCCACGAAGCTTGTCGCTTCAACCGTCGGAACAATTCAGCATCCAATTCCCAACGGACACTTTTACCTCATCGGCGACGGCAGATTTGACATATTACGCCACTTTAAGCGACAGATCTCCATTGCCATCTTGGGTTAGCTTCAATCCAGACTCGATGGTCTTCTCGGGGACATGCAGCGCATCATCGCAGACAGTGGACTTGATGTTGGTGGCGTCGGACGTCATAGGGTTTGCTGGCTCTTCTCTGGTCTTCACTATCTCTGTTAGTACCCACCAGCTGTTCTTCAGCAACGTCGAGCAAACTGTCAACGTCACGGCCGGGTCGGAAGTCAATATTGCAGATCTCCGCAGCCAACTTTCCCTCGATGGCGAGGCTCTTTCCGACACGGACCTTAAGAACGCCACAGCTAGCCCGCCCAGCTGGCTTTCGTTTGATCCGAAGACGCTGGGTATAAGGGGAACTGCGCCTCAGGACGTCAACTCAACCAGCTTTACCATTTCAGCCGCGGACAGATTCGGAGATGTTGCTAACACAACTATACTACTCATGGCAGGATCGGAATTGTTCCGAGGTGCTGTCGGCAATTTGAACGCAGTGGTTGGCGAGCCGGCCAAGTTTGACCTCAGCAACGTGGTGGCGAAGCAGCCAGGGCTACAAGTCGAGGTGGACCTGGGCTCAGCAGCGCAGTGGCTCCACTTTGATGAAGACTCGCTCACCATCTCAGGAGAGATACCCTCCTCTGCCGCACCGCAAGAGATTCATGGCAGCATCAAGGTCACCACAGCCGACGGATCGCAAAGCGACACGGGGTCTTTCGACATTGTGGTCAAAGCCGCAGAGGCAACTGGGAGCAATCCGCGCTCTACATCCGCGACGGCCAATGCGAGCACAACAGCGGGGTCTTCAGAGACGTCGTCGGCAGGCCTTGCTCCGCATGAAACATCCAACAATGGCGCAGTCATCGCAGTGTCTGTTGTTTGCATCGTTGTGGCCATAATTGCCCTAGTCCTAGGGTTTCTTCTCTATAGGCGTAGCGGGCGCCCTGGACGACCAAGCTCTCCAAGACGGAGAAAGGAAGACATCTCGAGACCGATATATCACGATGAATCGGACTGGCAGATGGCAGACGACACATTCATTGGAGAACGGGATGTGGAGAAAGGCGAAGGCACTGTTAGAAGAACAAACCTACCGCCACCGCAGATCGGCACCCCGTCAACGCTAAAGAGGGCTACTATGGAGAAGAGGGGAATTCGCCACAATTACCGGCCATCGCACGCCACATCAATTGGCGAGAACGACAGTCAAGTCCTACACAGCGCTATTCAGTCTGGAGACTGGAGCGTAGCCGCCGGCGCTATACCGGTATCTCACGGGGCCGGCCCAAGTTCAAGGCCCCTGGAAGACTCTCCTGCTAGGGGTCGTCGTTCAAGAAGATCATTTAGGGTACATCGAGACTCGCAGGATAGCTATGGACGGCGGAGTGTAGGCCTACCAGCAAGGCGCCGACTCCATGGAATAGGTCATGGAAGGACTTCTTTTGGCTCTCCGTCACGACGCTTCTCCTCTCAGCGCTCTCGAGGAGCTAACAGCTATAGCTCGTTCAGCACACTGTCAACAGGCATGCTCTCGAATGGCCTTCTTTCACCTACGGCATCGCAGTTCCCAGCACCGCCGCCCTCGCCCTGTACGACCAACCGCTACTCCAACGCCGAGAACCGCAAAAGCGTCCGAATAGTACCCGGGTCGCCGGCAGCAGACAACAGCACGATCTTGGCCGACACCCGCCCCCTTGACGAAAGGCGGCAAAGCTACATTCGCAATCGAGCTTTGAGTCGGTCTCCTTTCTTTGCTGCCCACACTTCCTCTCGTGGTTCTTCCAGCCAGCGGCCCTCGATGATCGGCACACTCGGTGATCCCCGGCCTTCTGGTGACGCAGGAGAATACGCGGGTCGAACGCTTTCGCCTTCCTCCTATTACGGCTCGCATCCGACGGCTGCTGGCGCCATGGTCAATTCGACAGAAGAGCGTCCGCAGTTCCCCGGAAGCCTACGTCGCAAGCGGACCGGACAAGGACGCACGGCTCGCGCGTATTCCGAATCCTCCTCAACGGCCGCGGACACTCCCAGCCGTTGGAGGAGTACGAACAACGGCATGATCGGCCCATTGACAGGAACTGCGCCGACCGAGAGCCCACGAAGTAGCATGATCTTGTCCGGGCTGAGTGATAGCGCTTACACCACGACCGAGGGCACAGGAACCGAGGAGTACAGCAACGGGCGCTCCCCCGCCGACGACGACGAGGGCGATCCGATGGACATCGACGACCCGGAAGAGCTGCGCATCTCGAGCGACCTGAGTGGCTCGAGCGAAGGCATCGCGACCCGCCCACCAGCCTTCATGACCTCTCCACTCAGCCCCTCAGCGCTCAGGGTCAAGAAGCGCCAGCAGCAACAACAACAACAGCAGCAGCCATCGTCAACAACACCTGCTCACCACTCCGCGCCCGGCATCGTGCCTTCGCCCAGCAAAGAGGAAGAAGAAGACGACAGCAAAGCTCTCGAAGACCTCCTCCTCCACCGCACGCCCTCGCCGGCCAACTCTTTCAAGTCCAACATCACCCACAGCCCCTTCCACCACCACCACCGCCGCAACCGCTCGACCGCCGCCTCGGCCCCGTCATCCCCGACCAAGCCCCCGCCGCCCCTCCCCGCCAGCGTGATCCCGCCCCGCCACCCCCGCCACCGCCCCAAGACCTCCCTCACGGACCTAGCCACCATCACCTCCCGCCGCCGCGGCGACAATAAGGACGCTACCGCCATGACCCCCCCTTCCCTCGAAGACTTCAACCACGCCGCCCTGCTCCGCAACTCTGCCGTCGCGACGCAGCAGCGTCGCCGTAGTAGCGCGGCCGGCATCGGCATCGGCGGCGGTGGTAGCGGTAAGATTGGTGGTGTTGGTAAGCTCGGGCTCAGCGCGGCGGTGCGGCAGCAGCTGCGGCAGCGGGACAGCATCATCAATCGCGGAAGGCATCAGTACGGCAGCGGCGGCAACGGCGGCGGTAGCAGGGCGGGATCGATGGGGAAGATGGGGGGAGGAGGTGGAGGAGGGGGAGGAGGAAGTGGTGGTGGCGGTGGGCCGATCGTGTCGAATAGCGGGAGGTTCAGCAATCGGGCGGGGAGGGAGAGGAAGAGGAGGAGTGGGAATGGGAGCGGTGCGGGTGTCGGTGTTGCAGGGGGGTCGAGGCTCAGTGCGTTGGGCCAGCTGGGAGGGGCAGAAGGGGCGTTGGTGGGCAGAGATACGGGCGTTGGGGCGGAGGCGCCGGGGATGATGGAGCAGGAGGAGAGGGACGACGAGGTGGAAGGGGGGAGGGAGGAGGCGCTGACGGATGCTCGTCCTGCTGCTGCTACCAGCGGCCTCCGCATCCCGCTCAGCATGATCAGCAATGCCGGCGCCAAAGCGAACTTCCTCGCTCCTTCATCTCAGCAGCAGCCTTCGTCTCTCTGCCCTCCACCACCACCGTTTGGCTCAACCCCTTCGTCCCCGTCAAAGAAGTTCCAGACCGGATCTTCCGGCAGCAGCGGCATATACGGCCTTGGCAGCAGCGGCTTCCGGGACGACGACCACTTCTTCATGGGTCCGGGCAAGGCCAGGCGGCCAGTCAGCGTCGAGAGCAGTCCTACCCGCTTCAGCAGCATGCGTGGCACTCACGAGAGTGTGATTGGCGCCGCGGCTGCGGGCGCCGAGAGAGCCGGTGCGTGGAAGACGGGCGAGGTGAGCCCCGTGTCGCCTGGGGTGCCGCCGCTCCCGAGGAAGAGTGAGGAGAGGAAGACGAGGGAGAGCAGTGTGGTTGGGAATGAGGCGTTTTTGTGAGGAGTAGTGACGAGTGATGATTATGGTGATGATGAACGATGATGATGACGACGACGATGATTGCGACGAGGTCAAGGGTGATGATAAAAATGTGTGTGTGTGAGATCTTGATGATTTTGTTGCGTTGAGACGGTTTTGCATAGCCATTGAGCGGTTCTTGGGCTTTTAATAGTTGAGAGTTTACCGCAGGATATCAGCGTGCTGCTGCTTTCTAGAACCAGGGTATTAATGACATTTCGGCAGATGGCTCGGGGGAGTTCCGGAAATGCTACCAAAAGCACTGCTCTACCGCTAAATTGTTCTATGCTCATGTCATGGGTAGCTGAAGCTATCGTCCGGACGTGTATGTAGAAATTTTAATTCCAAATATACGTCCGGACGATGGCTTCAGCTACCCATATATGCTCTGTTTCTAAGGCAGAGCTAAGGTATAGTTACACTATGTTCTAGAGCCCTGCTATTCTTCGCGCTAGCCATCAGCTGCAGCACCCCTCTGCACATGGCATGTTCGTTGCCTGGACCTTTTGAGTAAGGTTTAACCAGGACTAATCTGTTCACCTCACTTCGAAAGTAAAGTAATGAAGATAGTAGGCTGAGATTGATTCAGCTTAGATCACGCAGTCAGGTCTTGGTTTCTTTTCATGGAAATCCGGAGGGATGTTCACAAAAGTGTTGAGCAGTTAGATCCGGACGAATGATCTAAATACCTCCCGAGTTATGTCGTCCTGTACCTGCATCATACATCAGGGCCTGACACTTGCCATGAATAGCTATGATTATCGGCTGAGGGTTAGCAAAATTTCATCTTGTGGGAACGGGGGTGCACCATTTCTCTAAACTTCGACGCACTTCTGTGCTGTGGATCTTGCAGCCTTGGCCCGGTCGTAATATGTTGATCTTGGGAGGCTGATAACGTCATCATGGGTGAGTTCTGCCGCAAGGAGGAAACGGAATGTCGTCAAAATCGTCCGGAATGCATACAGGGGACGTGCATTGACAGTTGTCGAGGCATACTGTGTAGCGCATGGAAAGTGGGGCAATGGAAGCACGACGAAATTGTAGAAAACCCAGACTCATTCATTCGTCACTGATTAATGCAAACTGTTGTACATGTTCCTTCGTCGAGAAAAGAAAAGAGAAAGGTAGCAAAAACATTTGGAGAATAACCCGGCCCATGGAAACCCCCAGATCACATCATTAGCTTGTGATCCTTTCTGTAAGAGTCATCGTTGTAGCAGCAAACGCTCCGGCAGCCAGAACAGACGCCATTCGAGAATTGCATGGCCTAGAGTCAGAACCGCGCCACTACCGCAGATTTCCCATTGCCGCAAAGCAGACAATGCTGTAGAACGCCGTAGTTTAAGCCTTCTTGTTGTGGGCCGAGTCCTCCTCCTGGATGCTGCCCTCGGTGTTGCTGCTGTCACCCGTCGACATCTTCTCGAGGTCGGTGTAATCCTCGGGACGAGGGCCGTGGAGTTCCTCCTCGAAGACGGGCTCAGCATCGATCGTCTCGAACTTGGTCTTGAAGTCCTTCATGTTGTGGGCAGTCATGCTGTTGGAACGGCGACGAGGGTTCGTCATCGTGTAGTCGTAGTCCTCGAGTTCGTCACCCTCACGTCCCCTAGAATAGACAGTCAGCTACTAGGAATTGGGGTGTGACGCAATGGAGGGCTGGATTGACGCAAGAGACCGGTTGGGGCAGAGCTGTTGGGAATGAATGAAAAAGGCACGCTTACCAGTTGGCTTTTCCATGGCCGTCCTTCTTGACCTTGTTCGGCTCGCAGTCGACGTGGCCGTGCTTCGCGAAGTAACGGGGGAGATTGGTCTCGGGGTGGCCGCCCTCGTTGACACCCGTGTGCTCACGGTCGTTGGCCTTGTGAGTGCGAGTCATGGTGAGTGCAGTGGCGGAACTAGAGAAGCTTGCCGGGCGTTAGAATCAAGCAATTCAATTGATTGCGGGTGGCGAGGGCGATGCCTCGTCAGCTTCGTGCGGACAGGTCATGCCACAGGTAGATGAAGCGGCGGATGGGACGGAAACAGGATTGACTTACTGCAGACGGGAGGAATTGAGGGTGCAATGCGTGTTGCGGTGGTTGTGAGTCAAAGTGGGATCAAGCAGTGAAGCTGGAGGTTGAGGAGAGGAGAGCTGTCTTTGGAATGCCCTTATGTATCTTCGACGGGGTTCTGCTCTCGTGACCCCTTCTTGGGAGCTTTGCACGGACCAATCGTGGCTGCGAGTGACGGTGGAGCCACCAAGACAGGCACGCGTGTGATGAACTCGTACCTGCAGCAGGGTCTGCGGATGCGGCTGGCACGTCTTGCGCAAGGGCGTGTGGGGACGGTGCGGTGAGTTGCGGTGCGTGTGGACGGAGTGGTGTGCTTCCCTTCACCTCAAAGCGCAGCCATCTCACGCGAGCGCAACTGCTCAGCTCTGGCGACAGCCTGGGGGCGGGGTAGCTAATGCGCGCATTGCCCACTGCGCCTCCCCGCCTCTCAGCTCATCACCAGTCTGCTAACGGCCCGTTTGGCGCTGCGTCAGAGAGAGCAACCGCGCGATGTCGGCCGAGGGCGCGCCAATAGCATGCCGCGACCGGCTCCCTTCCTGCTGGCACGCTACTGGGTGCAGTAATCTATCGTCGACATGCTCACAAGCAGCAGCAAGCAGAGCTGGGAGCGGACGAGCTGGACCCTTCTTGCACCTGCCTGGCCCGCAATCGCACCTGCCGTGTCCATGCTGATCCGGGGTATGTGCCTACGTCATCCGGCCCGACCGCCTTGGCTGGACGCGCCTTCTTCCGGAGTCGATGCCTGCTCATCGCTGCCATATCAGAGATCAGCCATTGACATGCCTTTCCGGCCATGCTTCAAGCGTGGGGGGCTCGCTGCGCTTCGTCTTCACCGCACGAGACGCGGCGAGAGCTTCGTGGGCAAGCTTTCCCCGCATTTCGTGGTGCGGATGGCGCCAGCGCTGCCGTCACGAAACGAGCATAGCGTGAGCTCAACATGCGCTAATCCTGGGAAGGGCTAGCCTGTCGGCCTGGATTCTGAGGCCGTCGCGGCACTCGAAATTTGCCGCTTTAGAGGTCCGCCGCGCACTAGTTCCTTGGCAGCTGGCAGCGTCGCTCCACCGAAACGCTGCCAAAGTTGATTACAAACGACCCTCTCTCCACGGAGTTGCCTTTTCTTTTATGACGCGACGCTCACCACCTGGGCCGACCATAAATTTTGCCTGCCCTCCTGGCCCTATTCTCTCATTATTTCTCCTCGTTTTGCCTGAATTCTGCGAAAATGGCGCCCTCCGTCACGCTCGATCTGTCTTCAGATTTCGCCCCGGTCGCCGCTCACCCCACCAAAGCCGCTGCCGGTTCTCGCACGCTGCTTGTGGCCCCACCATCCATAGCTGCGCACCCCGAGTCGCTCAACCGCATCTTCGAGAACCATGACCGCTCCACGACCGATCTGCAAATGCTCGACCGCCTGGCCATGGGCCTCGTCGCCCTTCCTGCCTCTACCTACGACGTTATTCTTCTCCTGACCGATGTCGACGGCTCCCGCGCCGAGAGCCAGAGGCTCCTCGGAAGGGAAGTCCTTAGCAAGCTTGTGGACGCCCTAAGACCGGGAGGTAAATTCCGCAGCGAGGATGGTAAATTCGGCTCCGAAGGCGCAGAGAAGACGGAAGCCATTCTTGCAGGGCTTGTAAACCAAGACGGAGACGGCATGGTCAAGCCGGACAACACAGTCGAGCAAGTCGTTCCCCTGCGCTTCGGGAAGAAGAAGACAAGCACTGCAGAAAACGGCGCAGTTCCTCTTCCGCTGAACGGCAAGCGAAAGAGTGTATCACAGGAGCCCCCGAAGCCAGCAGGCGTTGGCTTTGTGGATTTCAGTGACGATTTTGACGAGCCTGTGGTGACCGGGGAGGACGACGATGACGATGATCTGATCGACGAGGACGATCTCCTAACTGAGCAAGACAAAATGAGGCCTGTCATGCCCCGTAAGTTGCCGACTCACGTCCCGGAACGCATTGAATGCGCAGCTGACATCAGGATAGCACCGGAATGCCGCCCCAAGGTCGGCAAGCGGCGACGCGCGTGCAAGGATTGCACCTGCGGGCTTGCACAGCAGCTCGAGGCTGAAGACAAGGCCAAGCGGGAGGAGGCCGACAAAGCCCTCAACACCATGAAATTGGACACAAATGACCTGGCCGAGGTTGACTTCACGGTCCAGGGTAAAGTGGGGAGCTGCGGTAACTGCGCTCTGGGAGACGCTTTCCGCTGCGATGGCTGCCCATACATTGGACTGCCTGCCTTCAAGCCTGGCGAAGAGGTCCGACTCCTCAACAACGATATCCAGCTTTAATTATCTGCATCACGACGGAGTTTGGGCGGCTGGCGGGACGCTTTCATCGTGCATGCCACGGTATGTACGCGGCTTGGAATAGTTCGGTTGCTTTCGGGGTCATAGGAGCTCTCGGTGGGTATGTCATGAATTGTTTGGAGCCAATCGGTAGCATGCAAAGCGGCGTTCGATAGACGGATTTTAACGTAAAATTGATGCGTTCGATGACTTGATGTAGATAGCATCTAACACAAATGAGAAATGAAAAATTGTGTTTGGAGAATTCCTCAAGAGTCGTCTGCCATGCTGCGTTTGAGAGGGTGAGGCTTGGCGCCAGCGCGCGTTCGCCGATCTTGTCACCGCGCGCCTGAGCGCATCCATGCAACCACGAGCCGAAGACAGCTTCGAGAAAACAACACCCAGCTCCGCCCCCTACCCTCCACCCACAACGCGCATCGCGTCTTGTCGCCGTTGCCCCGCGCCGCCATGTTTTCGCCGGACGCTTCCTTTCACGGCGTGCATGGCACTGTGTCGCGCAACCCCCGGCGCCGGCAACGTCACGACTCTGACAGCGCGAAGAATCAGCCGGATCGGAAGCGAAGCAAGATCTCGGAGACAACCTTACTCGACCCGGAAAGCCCTGCGGTCAACGGCAATGGCTCGTCAACATCGAATGGCCACCCTGTGAGCGGAGACGAGAAGCGGCGGTCAGCATTGCGACACGAGATACCAGTGCGCGAAAAGAAGCATTCGGGAGCGCCTGCAAGAAGCGTCAAAGGCGACGGCAGCCTTACTTTGGTACGGCCCAGTGGATATTTGATGGTGGCGAGGATGCTGACAAGCACCATAGACCAAGTCTCCCAACTACAGTTTTAGACAGCTCCCCAGCTTGCCCGAAGCTTTGCGCTCGAATCCCCGCGGTATGCGCTACTGACAACTACTGCCAGGCATGAGCTGACCATCGTTTAGAAAATTACCGCGCGTTCGTGTTGCCTTCGACACGCTTTGCCGTAGCATTCACTCATGAGCACGCCTACGTCTGGGACTACACTACTCCTGTTCCTACACCCTCCTCGTCACGAACCCTCGCTCTACCGTATCCTCTAAAGCGATCCGAGCCTCTGCCTGTAGGCTCTCTTGTGAACACAGGCCCTTCCGGAGACCTGGGTTTGCTCGTAGTTCACCCAACGTCCGGCAGAATCAAATTCTGGGAAAATGTAGACAGCGCAGAGGCTCTCGGCCTCTTCCAGCAGCGTCGTCAAGGCATCGAGGGCTCTGTAGGCAATTTGCTCTCCGGAGAGACCGTTGTGGATATTGTCGACGCCGACCATGCGGGTTTCATATTGGTCTTCAGCACCGGCCGGGTAGCACAGTTGAGGGTCCGCGATTCCCAAGGACGCCCGCAAATAAGCGTGCAGTTTCTACGCAGCCAGTCGCAAAACGGCTCCACAAGCTTCTTTGGAAATCTTAGCAGCTTCTTTTCCGGATCCGGGTGGAACAGAGATGTAGCGGGCGTGAAAGTCCGTTCATCTCAGCTCAAGGGCCAGTTGGAGGTAGTGGTGGCCACCGGCTCTGGCTCTTTCCAAGTCTGGGATTTAAACTGGGCTGGCCAGCATGCTCTCAAGGAAGAAATCAATGCCCAGGAGGACATCGTTGCGTCGTTCCAAACTGGAGTGATTCCGGAGATGAGAGGCAACGGCGTGTCCGCCAGAGTACTGGACTTCACCATTCTAGGCGAACCAAAAACCCAAGGATCCGACGACAGCCTCCTCGCAGGCACGTCAAGTATTGGACTATTAACACTTGTTGCATTTTCTGCGCCAGCCGGTACCAGCTATGGACTTGTGGAGGTGGACCTCCTTGGAAGCACAGCCAAGGTGGCAAGGATGATAGCTCTTGACACGTTCGCCGGCAACTCGACACAGCAAGGACCAGCAACGGGTAAGCTTCTGGTTCCATCTCCGGGTCATACGGCTTTCGCGGTCTTCAGCAATGCAGTCGTTATCACGTCCTTGGTTGAGCCCAACGAGTCGCCGGATACGCAACTAATGGTGGATGTTGGGACCGCGCCGAAGCCATTCCAAGATGCAGTCTACTTTCGCAAGGAGAAAAATGTGCGCTTTGTGGGCTACGTATTGGAAGAGTCGACCCGGAAGACGAAGCAATCCAGCTGTGTGCTCTTCACTCAAGGCATTGGAGCCATCCGCGTGGCAGCGCCTTCACCAACCTTGGATGATAAAGATACCGAGCGCTTGCGCCCCACTGCAAAAAGCCGAATTTCCCAGGCGGTGTGGTTCGGCAGCGCGTCGGACAGCATATTCGACTTTTCGGCCAAGCCTGAATTGACTTTTCAAAATGACGAGGTGGAGGCGGCAGCTCTTCAAATAAGCAAGGAAGTCCTCGACTCAAGCTCGGAAAACATTCCAGTCGGATTAGCATCGCAATCCCAGCAGCTTGCTATCAGGGCGGGAGCCTTAGCTAACCTAGCAAGGCATCTGAAAGAGAACTACCCGCCATTGTCACGTGTCGCAAAATGGCAGTTGCTCTGGGATGCTGAAAAGTTGGCATCTGCCCAAGGAGTCTGGGACCATTATGAGGATCGTCTGAAGATAAAGACCCCCACCAAGCCTTTGCTGGATGAAATTATAGACATGCTCCACGAAAAGCACAAGTCCGAACTAAGACCGGAGCTTGGAGAGCTGGATCCGGTTCGGCAGTGGTTCGTCAAGGACGTGTCGAAGATGCATGTCATGATCCCTTGGGCTCAGCTCTCAGTAAGGGAGGTTTACAAGGAAGGAATCAAGGACTACAGAACGTTGATTCTGCTGGTCAGCGAGGCTGATGACATTTGCCTGAATGCGCTGGAGAAGGCATTTATCTTCCGAAGGGATCACCTGTTCGATTACGGCCTGGAAGCAGAAGAGCTCGACTACAACATCCTTACGACGGGCTACGAAGGATTGCCCCTGCCTTGGACGTCCAACCCCAACATTGTCAATTCAATCCGGTCGCTCGTGGACTTGGCAAGGGAGATGGTCTTCCAAATCTCCGAGGACGAGGGCGAACTACCCTTCTCTAAGAAGGTTGCAGGTGATAACCCGCGTCTTGTCAAGCTATGCTGTCAGGTGCACATGGAGCGCTATCGCTGGTGCCTTGCACAACCTGACGACAAGACCCGTGCCACCGGCCAAGCTCTCAAGAAAGAGTTCGAGAGTAACATCCGTTATGAGCAAGTCACTTCTCTTGCCAAGATTGGAATGGCAGAGAGTGGCATGGTTATTGCTGAGCGTCTCAAGGACATGAAGACCCTGGTGAGTCTCGTATGGGACGAACTCAACTACCTTGGGGATGAGCGTGAGAACACCGAGAACGAGGATGAAGAGCGTCATTTGGAGATCTCCTTGAAGAAGCTCGAGGCTCGTATCCGCCACTATTTCGACAGATTCGGTCAAGCCTGGGCGGATGCCCTTTTCTCCAGCCACATCCACATGCACAAATCAGCCATGATGATCGATAAGAGGGACGTTGACCAAAAACTTCTCACAAAATTCTTACGGTCACACCCTGCTTTTGCCAAGCTGAGCTGGATCAACGACGTTCTCGGCGAGGACGACTTCGCTGCTGCCAGCGAAGCTCTCATGCATGTTGGCACTAAGCAGGAGACTCGGGATTGGAGCAAAAAGGTCGAAATTTCCCTTGCCAAGCTTTCCCTTCTAGCTGCCACGTCTGATGACAAGGGCGATGCCATTGAGAACGCTGATGCACGGCTCAGTCATTGCAACAGCGAGCTGCGGCTTCTTGAGCTGCAGGAGAAGGTCTATAAACACATCAAGCCGACGATCGACGGCGCACTCGACGATGATTCAGCTATTGATCTCGTCATGATGGACTACGGAACTCTTTTTGTCAAGGACAGGCCCGCTCTTCAACAGCTGCTGAAGCGCGGTTTCGAGGAAATCATTGCTCACCACGCGTTAGACGCCGGCTTGCTCATCGATGTCCTCACGCTCATGGATCATGCACAGCACGAGCCAGGCCCTCAGGATATCAGCGGCCGCCAGAATTTCATGGCTTTCCAGGCCCTGGCTGCCTCACAGGATGTTATGGATCGAGTCACTTGGGAAGGAAGCTTGAAGCTGGCTTGGAAGAGGACATTCCTCTGCGACGATTGGGAGGCAATCAACAACACGGTGCAGCAGGCGGATGAGCAGGTGCAGCTGGCGCTAGAGAATACGTTGGTCTTTTGGACTCTCAAGCAGGGTTACCAGACTGGTATGCGTTCCTCCACACTTTTGATTAATACGAATATCTCGCTAACAGCTGGACCAGGTCTCTGGGACGCTAATCCCAACCTGCACCTACTCTCTCCCTCGGCGGTGCTCGACGCTGGGTGCCGGGGCGAGGAGCTTCAATCGCGCTTCCCGTCGGAAGACTTGCGCGATCCAATCATCAAGGACAACATCAAAGATGACGACGACCTGCAGGGCTTCTTGTCTGCATGTCGCCTGGACTTCTGGTATGCAGAGATCAAGGAGCTTGCCAAGAGGCGGGCCTTTGACGATGCGGAGTTGGATGCGCAGGGGGCAGGGCTCAACTTGCAGGTCGTGCAGGAGGATATGGACGTGACCCCGCGTGCTAAGGCGCGGGTCAATGGGGTGATGGGCACGGTAGAGGAGGAGCCAGAGGAGGAAGAGGCAGCGACCGTGGAAGACTCGGACGCGGTGCTGCAGTCGGCTGGCGGGTTCGAGGGCGACGACGAGCAGAGCGAGGTCGAGGGTGAAGCGATGGAGGAGTGAGCGGGATGCACATACGGCTTGTTTTCATAGGGCACGGAAGCGGGCAATGATGAGCGCAAAATACAAGACAGGGTAGCGGGCGCTCCACTGCGGCCATGGCCTCCTCGGCTCACCGATGGGGAAGTTTGAGGATGATGGGCAGGACAAATGGAGCAGCCCGGTGGTACCAGCTTCGACCGTGCATTATTTCGGGGGCTTGCAGCGGCATCGGCTAACGGCTGGGCTCATTTTTTCCGGCGGCTCAAAAAATGCAATTGGCGTGGACGGCGCGGGAGCTGGGCTGGCGGCAGCGTGTTATTTATATGCCAATGTACCTGTCTTTGCAACGCAATGGCTGTGGGCGCCCCAGCGCGTTGGAGGTTGTAAGCGTGCCAGGGGGGCCGTTGGCGCCTGGTTGGTGTCTGAGCCTCGGCGGCGGGTGCGAGTTCGCGGCGCGTTCCAGAAGAAGACGGTCAGCCGCGGGCGGAGCGAGTCGCTGAGCCAGCCCAAGGAACAGCGCCAAAGTAAACGGCGCGACTGACGGCTTCTGGCCGGGATGGCAGCCGTTGCGCGTCGTTTGATTCGTCCTTGACCGGGGCGTCAGGCCGCCTCAGGCCGGGGGGCGTTCCTCTGCGCTGCTGCCAGCACAGTGGAGAGAGGACGCCTGCGGGCTGAGTTGTATGTTCCTGCAGCCGTTGGCGGGCGGCAGCAGCCTGCGACTCCGCGACAGCAACGATCCCCTTTTCGTGGGCGGCGCAGCGGGGAGTGCAGGCGGCGCGGCGACAGGCCTGTTGTGGCGCGAAGCGGCCGGCTCACTGACAGCGCTCGCCCTCGCCTAGCGAGGTTGAGAGCCCTAGGCCGCTTCCGTACCCTACGCAGCACCAGCCTCTGGACTAGCAGCCACCCCAAGCACTCCCCGTTCACCGCAGCGGTCCTCCACCATCACCTCACGCCCACGGCTCGACGCCTCCTCCCGTCGTCCGCCAGACCTGCGCTGCCCTCCTCCGCCCTCTGTCCCGCCCGGCAACAGCGGCCTGCAGCAGCAGCAGCGACGACTCGCATCGCCCATTCTTGCGACCGCCCGTCCGTCTTCAGGAGTCCTCGCCCGATCCGTCCTCGCACCCACGCCCGACTCCCTCCTCGCACCCGACCCAAATTCCACCCAGCCTGATCCCCACGACAGCCTCTCGCAACCATGGCTTCCTCGTCCTCGAATGTCGTGGGCGTGCACTACCGAGTCGGCAAGAAGATAGGAGAGGTACGCCGTCGCTCTCCCGCGACACCGCGACCACGCAGCCGAACTGACCGCTCTAGGGTTCCTTCGGCGTCATCTTCGAGGGCACCAACCTGCTCAACAACCAGCAGGTTGCCATTAAGTTTGTAAGTCTCCCTCCGCGCCCGCCTCTAGGGGGTGGGGCGCCTAGGCCGTCCTTCCCGACGCCGCTGACATGGACGCGCTGTGCTGCAGGAACCCCGCAAGTCGGACGCGCCCCAGCTGAGGGACGAATACCGCACGTACAAGATTCTCGTGGGCTGCCGTAAGTGGACTTTTTTCTCTCGCACGTCTGCTCATCCGCGTCGTCAAGGGCGGAAACGATCACTCGCGACGCAGGCTCGTCACTCAGCGCAACAGCAGCGCCCAGACCGAGCCCGCCGGCGATACGATCAGTAAGCCCAAGACGTTACCGCGCGATCACCGCAAGACGCCTTGCCTCGGCTCGTCGCTAGACGCCTCTGTGCTAACTTCACCGTAGCCGGCATTCCTAATGTCTACTACTTCGGTCAAGAGGGTCTGCACAACATCCTGGTCATCGACCTGCTCGGTCCCAGCTTGGAGGACCTTTTCGACCACTGCAACCGCCGCTTCTCCATCAAGACCGTCGTCATGGTCGCCAAGCAGATGGTGCGTATCCCAGGCATTGTGCTCTGAGACGTGAAGCTGACATCCAATCGTAGCTGTCCCGCGTCCAGACCATCCACGAGAAGAACCTCATCTACCGTGACATCAAGCCCGACAACTTCCTGATCGGCCGCCCTGGCACCAAGGCTGCCAACGTCATCCACGTCGTCGACTTTGGTATGGCGAAGCAGTACCGTGATCCCAAGACGAAGCAGCACATTCCCTACAGAGAACGCAAGTCGCTGTCTGGTACGGCCCGTTACATGAGTATCAACACCCACCTCGGTCGCGAACAGTCGCGGAGAGATGACCTGGAGGCGCTGGGCCACGTGTTTATGTATTTCCTGCGCGGCGGCCTCCCATGGCAGGGCCTGAAGGCTGCTACCAACAAGCAGAAGTATGAGAAGATCGGAGAGAAGAAGCAGACCACTGCTATCAAGGACCTGTGCGACGGCTTCCCTGGTTAGTATTTCCGCTCTTGAATTGGCGTACGCAAGCTGACCCAAGACTCAGAGGAGTTCAACAAGTACCTGAGCTATGTCCGCAACCTCGGCTTCGAGGACACCCCTGACTACGACTACCTGCGTGAGCTCTTCACCCAGGCCCTCAAGAGCACCGGCGAGGTTGAGGATGGCGAGTATGACTGGATGAAGATCAACAATGGCAAGGGCTGGGAGTCTATGAAGAGCCACGCGTCTGCCGCGCATCTGCACCACAACAACGCGATACCCAACTCGTCCGCTCGCGAAATCCACGGCGGCCAGCCCCGCGGTTCCAAGACGCCCATGCCCCCCGGACGACTTGATGCTGAACTCCCAAAGCCCGGCGCGGCTCGCCCCCCGGGCGGAGCCGCAAGGCACCCCTCCAGGACCGACGTAGCAAAATATCAGTCCGACCACGTGAAGAGAAAGAGTCAAGGAGATATCCAGGCACCCGAAGGCTCAACCGCAGCGCAGTTTCAAAACAGCCAGCAGAACCTTCCGCAAAGAATGAGCACTACGCAAAGTCCCATGCAGGGAAACGCGCAGGCGACGCCGGCCGGTAACAGGCCGCAGCCGGCTGAGCAGAAGCCCTCTGTCTGGAAGAAGATTGTCAACACGCTGTGCTGCGGTGAGTGAAGAGGGGTATGATGACTCTCGCCGTTCTGAGACTCGGCATTGAAGTTCTGTGACGTTGCGGGCGACCGCGATCTCTTCTCAGCATGAACATATGGAAATGGACTCGAAGTGGCTGTCGAGTTGCCCGCCTCCAATATCCTCTCGTCTTCCCGGTGGCTGTTCCCTCTCCTAATCCTTCCGCATCTCCCACCGGGCTCTCTGTCTTATGGTCTTTTACTCTCGCGCGAACATGCATATTGGGGGCGCGGTGCGCAACCTGTGGGGCTGGCTTGGCGCACTGCGGGCCTTCTCGTCATACATACTGCTTTTAGTCCACCCCCAAACCTGGATGTGTCCACGATTCTTTCTGGAGCTTTTTTGTTTTCTTTCTCTACCGCACTCTCACGGCCGGCTTGGTAGTATAATCGTCTTTCTGTTGTTACGTGGGTGTAGGGGCGTAGCTTCTGGGGGACCGCTTGATGGATTTTCCTCCTTCACCGTCTCAACGCTCGTCGAACCACTAATGGGAAATTTCTTGCAACGACTCGCAGCACGGATCTTTGCGGAGGTGTTCTTAGGAAGAAGGATCACTCAAGAAGCAACTCTACCACCACCTCACTACCGAACCAACCACCAAAAAAAGCGCCTTTTTGTACTGTTAGACTTTTCCACGCTCATGCACTCAGCACACACACCGCGTTCGTTGTTGGCTGCAAGCACCGGCGTTCTTGTCGATCGAAATTTTAATTGGGGGCTCTCTTCTTTCTTGTGGTTTCCTCAGTCTCTCTCTCTCTCCAAAGCTCCGTTGCGCAAGAGCAGCGACCTCTAATTTTCTCGCCCTTTCCTCTTCTTTGCCTCTACTACCTCATAATCTGAGCGTTGACTGCGTCTGCTGCTTTGTGCGCGGGGTTTTCGAGTTCCGAGAGCGGGAAGGCGTTTATTTGATAGTCGTCTTGTTTTATTCTGCGTTTCAGCGTTGTTTTACTGCTTCATCAGTAGGACGTTGATGAGAAGAAGGGAGAAGTGTGGCGGATTTTGTCAGTTGGCATGATGGGCGAAGGCGTTCAGACAAGACCAAGTTCTAGTATGACTTTTTGTTTTCATCGGTTTTTTAGCAGCCCGTGTTTGTTTGGTCTCACTATTACTGCGTGGCCTCTTCTTATTTATGGCATAGGCAACAAAAATCACTCTTCTTATACTGTCACTCAAAGATCCGGTGTGTGAGCAAGCCCGAGAAGCGACGACCTGACTCGGTCGCTTCCCTTGTTGTCTCTTTACCCCAGGAAGACAGAGGAGCCTCAGGGAGTTTTCCGACGGGTCGAGCCTTGTGGGAGCTTTAGTGCATGACTATTTCCAGCCATTGATCTCATGGTTCGTGATCCAAGCTTTACCGCTTCACTTGCACTTTTGCAACCGCCTTAGATTCCTCTCTATCTCCGCATGGACCAAGTCTCATCTTCCCTTTTCCTCACCGATCATTTAGTAGCCGGTGACCCGCTAGGACACACGGTTATCCCCCAACCGAAAAAGTCTGGGAGCATTGATCGTCTGGAGGTAGGTAGAGATCCCTCGCATTCACCGCCCTTGGCTTTCTCTCTCACCGGCTCGCACTCTGTCTCTCTTTTTCTAGTTTCTCTCGAGCCCCCCTTTTCCTGTCGTCTTGGCAAGGTTGCTCAATGGCATCACGCGTTCATCATGCTTTTCTTTTCTCGACTCGTGTTATATGAATACAATATGTAGAGCTATTGAGCAGTCTCTCGCTGAGGAGGCGGACGTAATGTGAAACCGATCGTCTCCTTCCCGGCAAAGGGACGTATGATCAGCGCTTGCGACGGGTTTTACGTGGTTTCTTTCCTTTTTCCTGGATGGAGATTCCCGTTGAGTTTCAGGGTTTTCCGGGCGTAAGAGCGGGAACTTAGAACGACTTGAAACCGGGATTCGGGAAGAAGTGAGTTAGAGAGAAGAGAGAGCGGGGGCAGGGTAAGGGGTGGTAAAAAGTGGCGAGATCAACGGTTCGTCGGATGGTGGACCATATCCGATGGGTTGTTTGGGATGCAGATTTGGAGGAGCCGCGCTTGTCGCAATAATGATTTTTTGCAAATTACGTAGGTGGTCTGCGTTGACGTCAAGAATCCTCTTTCTTTTTTACGATGATGTTTTGCACCTTTCTTTGCCACCCGTCAGAACAGAGACGTGATTTGGTAGGGCTTCTCTTCTGCGGCTCGGAATTGCATCGCGGAACCAGCCCTGCTTCAGGGTACGTGGTGAGACTGGGTTGGTTCGCCACAAGATCAACACGGGGGCCAAGTATGTGGGCTTATCGTTGGACCGATGCTTTTTCTTTTCCGCTTGCTGCAACGGCTGCAGTTTCGTGGATGTGCTGGCCGCTCTGTACCAGGGTTGAGGCAGATTGTGCGGCACGGGATCTGCGGAGACAGCGGGCGGGACGGGGCAAAAAGTTTGAAGTTGTTTGAAAGAACGGTGATGTGTTGGAAATGGATGATTGGAGTGAGAAGAGCATGGATAAGTCGACGGGTCGCTATTGGAGGACTGATAGCGATGGCTCGCTTAAATCCCCAGTATTGCTTGCATTGAGGTGTATCATTGGACATCTGTAGACCTGAGTGAAGCAGACAAGGATGTTAAAACAGGTGGGTATGCACTATCTGCTGCCAGACATCCCTACTTTTGTCTCCGAAGCCTATAACTCCAGCCGACAGCAGATCCTAGAAAACCAAGACAGCCAAGGCTGGAAGGTCACGGGAGAGACCTATACAGCTATCTGTGCAATTGATGCTCATTGGCAGACTGCCTGTTGCTGCAGATCCTGAGGTGTAACCCTGGCGACTGTTCTCCAGCGGCTCCTAGAATTACCATTCCTACCCAACCAGGTGCCTATCCACCGTGACTAGACGCAAGGATACACGGCGCCCAATCATGACGTGGAAGGCCACGCTCGAGCCCCCCTTTTCCCTCGATACGAAAGGGAATCAACGCAATCCGACTCCGCTCGCCCCGTCATCCGTGCTCCAGAGCTTCGGCTGTACGGCACTTTTTTCTCTGCATCGACACCAGCACTGACCTGCAGCGCATTGATCACTGGTGATGGAATGAGCTGGCGCGTCATCAGTCGGCGGTGGGCCGCGCTGTCGTGCACATCTTTCTTTGTTGTTTTACCTTTGCAGCTTTGCTTCAGGGCTTGCGTCTAACGGAGTTTGGAAGGAGAGAAACCGCGTAGACTACGGGTCACGATGCCGGAGAACAACCTCCTTTGAGGCCTTTAGCCAGACTGCGAGGCTTACTGATCGCCCGATCGCTACTTACCGTCAGACGTCGGCACTCAAGGCGTTGAGGGAATACCCCTGCCGACGCCTTGTGGCTTGCACTTCCGCCTTTCGACTCTGACCGGCTTCGGCTATGCTTCGGGAGGGTCCTCGTGACTCTGGGTTGTGGAAAAAAGGGCCGGTCTCCACTACTATTGAGGCTTACGGATAGCTCCATAGGATTGCAGCGTGCTAAGATGATTGTTGGAGTTATACTTTGGAACTTGCAATGGGTGGTGGCTGTTCGACAATTGCCTGGGTTCCGGCGTGGGCATAGTGCATTTAACTTCTCAATGTTGTTCGTAACCCTCGACTATCATTTCCGATTCAGGCGAAAAAAAAAAGCAGTTTAGTACATATACACAATAGTTTCAACTCCCTGGCATCCAAGCAAAGAAGGCCAACCTTCTTAATCTCCTCCGCTTGGTGTAGTTGGTTTATCACGTTTG